TTTAAAATTAAAAATATATTCTAAATTTAAATCAGTTGAGATTGTACCCACTAATAGTATAAATGAAAAAAAAAAATTTTTTTTTATTCAAATAATCGACTATTTTCAAATAAATATTTAATTGAATCAAATAATTTTTATTTGAATTAAATAAATTGTATTTGAATCAATATATAATTTATGTATTTAAATCAAATACCATTTAATATACTCAAATAAAAATTATTATTTATTATTAATTATTTATTTGATTCAAATAAATTTTTATTTACGCCAAATAAATAGGCTATTAGGCTGTGAGACAAATATTTATTTAACTCAAATATATTATATTTGGTTCAAATAAAACATTTCTCTGGATGATTCTCGTTTATTTTTATAATTAAAAAATAATGATCGGTGTGAAAAAAACAATGATAAATTAAAAATTTTAATTTTGAATTAAAAAATTTTTTTTTTTTGAACATATATAGTTATTTAAAATTGTTTGTGGAGAATTAACATATCTGAAGAATAAATAATTAAAAGAATTATAAGGGCAGAAAATTGACAGGAAACGCGACAACCTGTTGAAACCTATATATATATATATATACACATTTATATATATAAAACCTGATATACACGTCAAAATGAGAACAATGTCAGTACTTTTTCACTCATGAAGAAGTATAAACATTAAACTCTGATCTCTCTTTCAATATTACATATTTTCATTTCGCTCAATCGATCAAGCGCGAAATAAAATATGAGAGAGAAATGAATAAAAATATATCTATATACCATATCGACTCTTTTATATATGTAACTTATTAAGAAGAGGATTTTTTTTTGTTTTATCTTTTTTTCCATAATCAACATTCATTTTATATTTCGATATAAATAGGATTTCAAAATGGAATAGAAAATATCAATCAAATCCAGCATCCAGAAAACAATTTAGTTTAATTTTTTTTTTTTTTTTTTTTTTTTTAAATAAATTTTCAATACAATTATTATTTTATTATTATATATAGATTTATTTATTTATTATACCAGAGAGGAAAAAAATACATCTTGTAAAAAATTTTATTAAAAAATATTTAGAGATTTTTTTTTAACGCTTATTAAATTTCTATATATATATATATATATATATATATATTTGTCCTAATAGTGAAGCTTCTCTCGCGTATAAATAATTAATTTGATATGTGTAATTTACATCACTTGTTTATTCATTACTCGGTTATTATTAATCCCCTATATAATAACAATATGAAAGCCAAGGGGAATTCCGAATCATGAAAGTGCTTTTAAAATTTTTAATTTATGTCGGCAATTATGATATTAATTTTCAATAATTATTCATTTATATTTTAAATAGTCTGATCGTACAAAAATTGAAAAATAAAATCATAAAAAAAATTCTTCAAAAATATTAAATAAAATATACTTAAAATTTTTGTTTTTTTATTAATTTATTTTTTGTTTTATTTATTTATTCTTAAATTTAGTGCTATTATTATTGTTATTATTATTATTATTATTATTATTATTATTATTATTATTATTATTATTATTATTATTATTATTATTATACTATTTTTTATTATATTATTTAGTTTTATTTTACAACTAAAATTTCGCGTATTCTATGTATAAAAATAAAATTAATTTTTGATAAGAGAAAACACGAGAGAAAGAAAGAAAAAGAAAAATTATTTCCAAAGGTAAATTAAATTTGATAAGAGAGTCGATCTTTTTTACACTCCTATCAGCCTTCTTTGCAAACAAAAGTATTTTATATGTAACACCTATGTATGAAGATTTACAAATCTTGCTTTAAAGATTTAATATAAAATTTTATTTTTCCTTTTAAGAAAAAAAAAAAAATCTTTTCCGAAAATTGACGTTTATATTTTGTATATTAAAATTTAATTTCATTTTTTTTTTTTTTTTTTATAAACTAAATTAATAATTTTTGTTACTTTTTTTAGAAAAAAAAATGAAGTAAAAGAAAAAATGTAATAAATATTAATAAATTACAATAAATTAAAATAAATAATATAAGAGTAAATAAAAATATATTAATAATTTCGTAAATATTTAAAAAATATAAATATTTTTTCTAAAATTATAATATTTTCTTTAGTTATTTAAATAAATTTCAAATAAATATTTGAAATAAAATAATAATTAAATAATAATCTTTCAATTTCAAATAAATTTAAAATTTTTGTAAAATAAGTATAGCATTTTTGAAAAAATACAAACTGATTGCATTTGGTTTTCTCGATAGCAATGAGAAGGAAAATTAATTCCTTTATTCTTTGAATTGCAAATAAGTTGAATGACTGTGATTCTGGTTCTTATTATATATATATATCTATACATATTATCGAAAGTCTCCTTTTCTTCGATGTACTTTTAAAGAGGCTTTTTTTGTATAAAACATAATATTTTTTTACGAAAATTTACACAATTTTCAATTAAACAATATTTTTACTTTGAAATTATTTTTTCTTTTATTAATTAAAGCAATTTTTAATTCAGAGATACATAAAGGATGTTTAAAAATTCATAAAATTATTTTAGAATTATTTTTGTGATTTTTATACTAATTAATAACCAGGGAGTATGAATTTTTTTTTACGATTTTTAATTTGTTTCTACTTTAAAATATGCTTATTTTAAACTTTTTATAAAATTTGGTTTTTATCTTTCAACGTATCTCTGTTGTTCTAACAATAAATTCTAAACTGAGTCTCTATATGAAGAACGAAAGAATTTTTTGAATTAGAAAAGATTCTAAATTTAAATCACATCGTTTCTTTTATATATATATAATGGAAATCAACTTTTTCTTGAAAATGTATTTTTGATTTATTGTTCGATTTTTATCTTTCAATTTTCAACTTTTGTAGATTCTATTTTTAAATTTTTTTAATTTTTCTATTTTCAAAATTATTATTTTTTTTTTTTCATCATTTTTATATTTTACCTCTTGTCATTTTCTTTTTGTATTTTCATATTTATTTTGTAATATTTTTTTAAACATTTTTTTGAATTAATTTTCATTTTTTTAATGGATTTTTTTTATTTATTTACAAGTAAATTTATTTTTATAACAATGTTATTAATTAAAAAATGTTATAATTAAAAAAAAATATAATAATTTGTGTCACAATTAATATAATAATTACTTTGACTTAGTTGAATTTATCATTTATTGGGGAAAAAAAAATATTTTTTTTTTTTTTTTTTTTGTTAATTTTATATTGGTGTTTTGTGAGAGACAAAAAGAAAAAAAATAATTACAAACTTTTAACAGTAAATAAAAAGTTCGTCGCACATGTAGACACTGAAAAGCATCAATTTCCATTATCATTAATCAAGGTTGTTACTGTGTCTGTCAATGTTTCTCTATCGATATAAACAGAATCCGATCACTGAAATACGAAACGTGTAAGTGAAAATTTAATTACATCTCAATTTTAACGAACCAAAGTTAAGCTAAATTCAAAAAATCGATTCCACCACCAACGACAAAAAAAAAACTTTTTTTCAAGTTATTTTATTTACTTTTAATTAAAAAAAAAAAAAATTATATATTTTTTTTATTCAAAATTATATTTGATATAATAAAAAAAAAAAACGTGTTGACTTCATATAAAATATGAAAAGCAGCATAATTATTTTATGTCCACGAACGTGACAAGTTTTACAGTCCTCGAAGTAATTAAATACATTCATTAATTATGTAATGAGGGGTTAGGCTCAAAAAAAAATGGTAGCACAAGAAAATTTATTTTTATACTCGTCTTTTTTTATCGCACTTTCACTTAATTAAGTTTATGGAAAAAAAAATTATGCAAACATTTTTTTTTTTTCAAAAAATCAATTCTCAAATTTAATTAATTTCCTTTATTTAAAAACTTTTTTTTTTGTACTAAAACCTTTTTTCATAAAATATTTTTCTAAACCTAAATATATATATATTATATAGAAAACTACTTTATGGAAAAAGTTTTTCCCCTCTTATAATCGAGAGGATCGATATGATTATAAATATGTCAGAATTTATCGTTTAAATTCCGATTAGAATTTTAAGTACGAATTAAGTTCAACTTTTTCACCCTCCAATTCTGGGATTTCTTTCTCTTTTTTTTTTTTTTTTTTTGATAAAAATAACGAAATGTCGTCGTAAGATGATAATAAAATGCGTGACATTAATATCTTGAATTTTTTAAATAAATCTCAAGATTTTTGAGCTTGATTTTATTTTATAATCCGCATTATATATATATATATATATGTTTTTATTTATATTATTACTTTTATTATATTTTATGTATATGTATACGCACACGTGGAATACTTTATCTTTAAAGAAATATTGCTTCTGAGATTATTCGTAAACTTTTTGAGCTGAGGAAAATTTATTCAAAAATGGAAACAAATTTTATTATTTCACGCATGGAGTAGAAAATTTTAATTTTCAAAATTTACTTCCGAATTCGAAGTAGAAATAAATTTATTTTTTTTTTAATATATGAAAAAAATAATTATTTTTCTTGCTTTTTTTGAATTTTTTTTTTTTTTTTAGAATTAAAAAAATTATTTTGATTTTTAAATAATCGCGCACTAATTGAAACTAGTTTAAAATTGTTTATTAAAATTTTTGGGGAAAAAAATAGAAATAAAATAAAAAATTGAAAATAAATAAATTAAATTCAAAGTGGAGTTTATTTGGATTCAACACTTTTAATTAATCAAATAGATTAATAAATCAACCAAATGATTTGTTTGACTAAATCAAATTTTCAATTCGTAACAAATTTTTTATTTAAAATAAAACTAAAATAATATTTAAAATTTTCTTTTTGAAATTAGTTTGTAATTTAAAAAGTTGAATGTTTATTCAAAAGAAGAAAAAAAAACTCGTTTGAAATAAAACTTTTTCTCCATGATATTACTTGTTCAACAAAAAAAAACAGAAAGTTATAAATTAAACTCACCATTTTCGAAACACGTACATTTTATTATTCACTGCACTTTTTTTTTTTTTTTTTTAATTTCACGTTCATTAAATATTCTCCTCCCACTCGTCCCGCAATGATTTATATATAGAAAATTTAAAAATTAAATCGAAAATTATTGACAAATTTGTCCACTGAATAAATAATTTTTTTTATCAACCGATTTTTTTTTTTTTTTTTTTTCTTTTTTTAATGAAAACTTTGTTCTCAAAAAAAAATACGAAGTGAACACGCGTGAAGCGCGAAACCAACTGATGAAGCTGACTTGGTGTATCCACGGATCCGATTCCTGCGCAGATCCGCACCACATCTCTCTTTCTCTCTCTTGGCTCCGGATTCGAGTCTCCGGAATTGCATTTCGTACCGGTGTGTTCATTAAATAGCTAGGAACCTGTGAAAGGACCCACCACCACCCTTTCGAATGATCAAATATAAGCTGGACTTAGAACTACATTACGTACACAACACAAAACGTGATTGCTTCAATTTTCTGCGATTTACCTGTTATATATAGAAAAAAAAAAAATTGAAATCTCAAGCGAAAATCTTTTTAAGATTTCTTAATATTTTTGAAAAAAAAATTTTAAATATGAAACTTGGTGAAAAAAATTGAAACTAATTTAACTAATTTGAATTTATTAATTCAATTAGTATTAATTAAATTTTAATAATAGTGAAAAAAAATTTTTTTTTGGTTATTAGTTAATTCGATAGTAGACATTTTTTTTTACTATTTATTAATTGAATTTAATTAATTTCATAGTAGAAAAATATTTTTTTTTTTACTATAGAATTAGTAAAATTTAACTAATTATTAGAAAATGTTTTTTCTATCTATCGAATTATTAAAATTTTACTAACTCGATAGTAAAAAATTAGATTACTATTAATTAGTTAAATTTTACTAATTCGATAGTAGAAAAATAAATTTTTCTATTAATTAGTTAAATTTTAATAATTGGATAGTAAAAAATTTGTTTACAATTAATTAGTTAAATTTTACTAATGCGATAGTAATTTTTTTTTTATTATTTATTAGTTAAATTTCATTAATTTCACAGTAGAAAAATATTTTTTTTTACTATAGAATTAGTAAAATTTAACTAACTCGATTTTAAAAAATATAGATTACCATTAATTACTTAAATTTTATTAATTTCATAGTAGAAAAATATTTTTTTTTACTATAGAATTAGTTAAATTTTACTGATTCAAAAATAAATTTTTCTAATAATTAGTTAAATTTTATTAATTGGATTGTAAAAAATTTGTTTACTATTAATTAATAAAATTTTACTAATCCCATAGTAATTTTTTTTTACTATTTTACTATTTATTTTTTAAATTTTACTAATAATTCGATAGTAGAAATTTTTTTTATTATTAATTAGTTAAATTTTATTAATTCCACAGTAGAAAAATATTTTTTTTACTATAGAATTAGTAAAATTTAACTAATTACTGATAAAAAAAAATTTTTCTTATTAGTTAAATTTTATTAATTCGATAGTAGAACAATAAATTTTTCTATTAATTAGTTAAATTTTACTAATTGGATAGTAAAAAATTTGTTTACTATTAATTAATAAAATTTTACTAATCCGATAGTAAATTGTTTTTACTATTTATTATTTAAATTTTACTAATAATTCGATAGTAGACATTTTTTTTCTATTATTAATTAGTTAAATTTTACTAATTTCATTGTAGAAAAATATTTTTTTTTTACTATAGAATTAGTAAAATTTAACTAATTAATAATAGAAAAAAAATTTTTTCTTTTAGTTAAATTTTACTGATTCAAAAATAAATTTTTCTATGAATTAGTTAAATTTTACAAATTGGATAGTAAATTTTTTTTACTATTCTACTATTTATTAGTTAAATTTTACTATGTAATTTAAAAACAAAAAAGTAAATTAGTAATTAAATTGGTCAATATTTCTGCTAATTGTATAATTTTTACTAACTAAAATTGTTCAATTTGAAAATTTTGTTTTCTATTAAAAATTCAACTAAAATGGAAATTTAATTTTTCTAATTAAAAAGTTTTTGTTAAATATCAAAAAATTCATTTTCAATTAAATATTTTTAGATTAAATTCGTCTGAATATTTTGCAAATTTGAGAAAAAAAGAAATTTTTCGAAGAAAAAAGTTTGATATAAATTTAGTGACCGATTTCACTTTTACTGATGATAGAAAATAACTTTAATTATTTACTACAGAGAATAAATAAATAAATAAATATATATATATATATATATTATATGATTATAATAGGCACTGAATCCTCTGTAAATCTCAACTGTCACACTTTACATCTATCATGATGATGAACATAATAATTAATTTATATATTAATGAGCTATGTGCGTCGAGAGCTCACTCTATGTATATATTATATATAATATAATATAATGACCGCCTTCAATGCATAAATATTCTCCTCTCGACGAGCATTGTCGATTATTATTATTATTCCATTCTCATATACATTAAAACTAAAATTACTTTCAGCAAATAAGTTTTGCTCAAGTTTAAATGGTTTATTATATATACATATATAGACATAAACAAATTATACTAATCAAATATAATAATAACAATAATAATAGAATAACAAATTATAATATTGACCAAATATTTATTTTCAATTTTACATTATTTGAAAATGGAAAAAAAATAATTTTTTTTTGCATTTATTTTGAGAAGAAAATAAAATTTATTTGAATGAAATAATATTATATTTGTCTTAGAGTCTAATAAATATTTATTTGACTCAAATAAATTTTTTGTTAAAAAAAGAAAAAAAATTTTTTTTAAATACAAAATTTTATTTACGCCAAATAAATAGGCTAGTTGGCTGTGAGAAAAATATAAGTTTATTTAATTCAAATATATTTGGTTCAAATAAAATATTTTTTATTACTAATATTATTATTATTATTATTATTGAAAATAAAATCTCTAAATGAGAAAAAAAGCAATTTTATGAGATTTATCGAATAGAATATAATGGAGACACAGAGATGGTTGAAGAAGTACCTAACGAAGTTGGAGAGTTGTGAATTTTAATGAAGCTAAAGTAGAGCGATAATTGCATGGAACAGGTGCAAATCGTATACATTTGAGCACCAGCTATTATAAACCCCAATGTATCTATATAATTGGAATTCTCACATACATATGCACAATCTTTTATATACATGTGATTATATTTCATCATTTCAGATAATACAACCAGAAATATATATATATATATATATATATATATATATATATAACTGTGCATTTAATTTACATATACGAGAGTTGTTAATGCTTCATATAGTCAGGATTATAATCACTATATGTGCGCGAAAAGGGTGGAGAGAATAAGGGAAAGACAAACGAGCAGTTACTCACAAGTACATACATACTACGTTGTTACTCTCATTTTATTCTCATGAGGGGAACACATAAGATGAAAGAATAAGCTCCACATTCTCTATATTTTCTGCTAAATTTAATGTTCACTGACTCTTTTAATACGTGTCATTTTCTTCCAACAAGTGTGAAATTAAAAATTTATTTTGAAAAAAAATTTTCTTAAATAATTTCTTAAAAAAAAATTTATCAAATTTTTTTTTTATAATTTATAATTTTCTATAAAGAGAATTTTTTAAAAAAAATTATTTTGCTATAACACAGAATTTAGTTTATTTTGAAATTCTGTTTTCAACATCAATATACATATATTTGATGGGAATTTAATCCAAAAACCGCACTGATCATCGTAATTGATATGACAGTCAAGAATTTCATTGGTAATTTCCTCATTTTCACGATATACATACTGTTAATACAAAATTTAATTAAATTTCATTAATTCAAAAAATTAATATTTTTTTTTATAAACTTTTTCATATTTTTATAATGAAAAAATTTATAAATACATCCGAGATAAAAGATATATTTGTCTCAAATAGTAAATAATACAATTGAATTTTTATTCTCTGAATAATTAAAGCTTTTTATAGTTTAGAAGAAAAAAAATTTTTTTTTTTTCTTTATAAACCAATTTTTGAATCTGCAATGCAGTTTTGAATTTCTTTGAAAAATTTTTCCACGCTAAAAAGTCGAGAAAAAAAAAGTTTTAAAACGAGATAAGTTTTTATCCGTTTTTCTCGATGAATTTAAGATCCATCGAGGGAGTAATATATAGCAAAACTGTCCACCTGGAAAAAAGAGGCAAATTAAACAATTTTAAATATTCTCGAAATCGATTTTTTTTTTTAAAGAAAAGTTGAAGCAATCAAATTAATAATTTTTTTTTAATCTTTAATTAATTTTTGTTAATTGAAGAAAAAAGAAATTAAGCAAGTGTTTGAATACTATTATTTTTTCTTTTACAAATACAAATTGTATTTGAAACTTATATATTAAATTCGTGATAATTACAAAGTATAATTATAATCTTAATATCTAAAGCCATTGTCTCTAATTATTTACATTATAAAATATCTACATAATTCTTAAACGACTAGTAGTTCATAAAAATCTAAACATTTAGATTTTATCTTAAATTCTAAAACACCATCGTATGTATATATATAAAAGATTTGATAATTAAACACATACATATTTGTAACAATAAAGAAAATAACAACAAAAAAATTTTTTTTATCGTTGTTAAAATTTTCTTGAGAAAACAAAAAAATTCAGTCTTTTATATTTGCAAATGTTTTTATCGCGTATATCTTAAAAAGAATTGTTACTGAAAATTATTTCAATGATTATTATTCGTGGTATTGATATTTATAACGATTAAAAAAAAAAAAAAAAAAATTTACCATATCTGTTGATAATTTTACTTTTTGTGTTTATTATAAACACAGTGTACTTGGTGATTCGAACATGAAAATGAACGCGATTTTATTTTAGGCTGAAGCTGAGTAATCGAGATCTTATGAACTTTCACTCTCTATCCAGACGCAGAGTATGGAATGTCTAAAAATAATTTCTCCTGGGTTTGACTCAAAAATTCCTTTTTTATTATTTTTTTCCCCCTCCGCTTGATCAATATTTCTAATTTGAAGCGACTATCAAAAAAAAATAATAATAATAATAATAATAATAATAATAATGATTGCCAATATAGCTTTTCACAATTTTATCGATTAATTTAATATTGAACTCTATACATAATATGAAAAAGTTAATGAAAACCATAAATGACAAATATTTTATTATTAATATTAAAAAATATTTCAAAGACACAAATCGATATATTTAATTTAAAAAGCTTAATTAGATTTTTTTTAAATTGAAACTTAATTAAAAAAAAGAAATAAAAAAGTCTATAAAAATTAATACTAAAAAATGTATTTTAAAAATTAATCTCTAAATTTTTTCTTTCATTAATAACCAATAAATTGGCACTTTTTGGAAAATTTAAAATTTCAAAAAAAAGTTTACTTTAAATATTTAAAAAAAAAGAAATTTAAAATTAGCGAAAAATAATTTCTATATTGAATTCGTAAACTCTATCTTAATCTATATGAAAATAGATTCCTCACAGAGGAAACTATTGTCTATTTCTTTTTTCTTTTAAATTAAAATAAAATAAAGATCTTTTTTTAAAATTGTATTAACATTAACATTATATTAGTGACATTTTTGTGCATAATTGGAGAGGATTCTAATATTTTCCTATTTTCTCACAAAACGACGTTTGAAATTCTAATTTAACAAAAATATTATTTTTAAATTTGCATTAAAGTCGAATGACGAAACAAAATTTTTTTTTTTTGGTTTATCCCCATCGTTCTTCTATATAAATATTTAATAGAAAATTCTAGTTATTTTCTTTTTCTCTAAACAAATATATAAAATAAAATACGAAATGTTTTTTTTTCTATATATATAGAAAATTTTTTCTAAACAGAAAACATTTACACATTTTCTTTATAATCTGATGCATAATTTGCTATTTTGTTAAAATCCATTCGTATGAAAATTATATACGAACATTGTCATTTTTTTTTTTTATCAATAACAAAATTTAATTTTTTTTTAAATCACGTATAGAAAAAAAATACTCACAATATTTCTTCTTCTTTTCACGCAAAAATTAATTCGGGAGTTCTTGAAAAAATTTGAAATTCACTTTCACTCAGTAAGTTTTTCATATCATTTTCACAATAAAGGCTCCTACCATGGCCTTCCAATATTGGTCATGATCTTAAATTGCGAAAATGATTTCTCATTAGATCCATAAATTCAGCGAGTGACGTCACAGATACATTGTCAATCATTTTTTGCGGTAGCCACGGTAATTTCAAATCAGTGCTCAAAATATAAGTGAAACGACAACAATTCTCGCCATTTTCTTCTGTGACAAAACATCCCAAATCCGTGTCTCCTCTTTTTTTTTTATTTTCATTTTAAAAATGAAATAAAATTCATGTAAAAAGAAAGAGAATTTTAGTTGAAAAAAAATTAAATAGAATTATTCGAATTTTGTAACTAATTATATTTTTAGAGAATATTTATGTGAAGAAAATTAAAAAAAAAAATATTCTGTTTTATTATAATGTAAATATAGTTGAATTAAGTAGTAAACTAAAATTAAACTGTTCCTCGAGAATTGCTTTATAATTGCAGTTAGATCTCACAAAGACACAAAGGCACAAAGGTAGTTCATAAATTGAATAATTACTGTCAAGTATGAATCAGTGAAACTCTGGAATGCATTCAATGCCATACCAAAATGTACATCAAGTGGACAGTGAAAATGAACACTGAAATGTTTGGTATTTTCGAATTTCGTATATTATAATCAAATTAGATTATCCTATAAATTTTGAATTCTTGCTATAATTGTATTCTAATCAATTTTTATAATTTAAAATCCTTTTTTCTAATCCACTCGGCATTTTTATTTTTTTTTAATTTATTCAAAAAAAAAAAAAATTGAAATTATTAAAATTTATTGTCTACTCACCGGATAAAATTTTTTCGATTTGGATATTCAACCGAGGGCACGGACATGCCACAGCTAACAAAATATGGACCAATATTTCCCCGATGTCGTAAAGTTACAAAATCTCTTGCAGTGACAATGCCATTTCCAAAAGACGGCGTGGCTTGATAAATAATATCCGTATTTTCATCTATTGCCTAAAGACGAAAATTAAAAGAAAAAAAAAATATCTTAAATAACAATACAAATTATAATTCCAAAAATATATATTAAAAAAAAAGAGAAGAACTTACATTAATTTTTTTACACTCTGTTAATTGTTTATTCCACTTGATGGATGATTCTACATTTTCAAATAAATGATCTGCGACTTCTTTCGCAGGAGTATTTACAATTCCCTTAAATAAAATGAAAAATTCAATTTTCAGTATTTAAAATAAATTAACTTTTTTTTTATTCATTGAAGTGAAAAACCAATTTGAAAAAATTATTCATATTTAAAATTTAATTGAAATTAAAATATAAATATTTGAATATATAATTAAATTAAAATTAAAATTTTACCGATATTCTTAAAATCTTTCTGCCAGTTTTTGGAAACTGCAAGTAAGAAACAATGTCACCAAATGGAGTAATTTTATCCACAATCCATTCTTTAGATGTCAACAATTCAGCGGAACGATTTAACAATGATCTCGCTTTATTTTTGTACTCCTCTTTCTGGTAAAAAAAATTTTTTTTATTTCCAAAATTATTGTCTTATTTTAGACTATTTTTTAAGATATTAAAATTGTTATTCAATTAAACTTAATAAATAATAATTATTATTATTATTAATTATGTAGCATATAATTAATTATACAGTAATTATTTAATTGAATTAAAATAATTGTTAAATTTAAAAATAATTTATAATTAACTGATACACCTACAATGAAATCATTGAATTCAACTTCTGTTTTCTCCTTCATAATTTCACCAGAACTTTTTAACCATTGAAAACAATAATCTTTAATAAAATTCATACTGTGAAGATGAAAAATATTAACAAGTTACTGTGCCGTGACACGATTCAAAACTGCCGACGAACAATAACTATACCAAGTATATTTAAGAAAAAGAATTCTTTTTTTAGTCACAATTATGTGGGTTTAATTTGTAAACTGGTTTTTTCCTTTCTTGGATAATTTAATTTAATAGAAAGAAAATTTAATTAATTAACTTTAGAAAAAAAAATGACTTCATTTCTTTATAAAAAAAAGAAAAAGAATGTACAATATTTTATATATTGAACAATATAAATGAAGTTACACTCGATTTCAAACAATTGACAAAATTTCCGTTTTTTGAACATTTCTATTATCTCCTAAAACTCATAAAATTAAATGAGTATTATCTTTGATTAAGAGATAAGAATTTTTCATTATTTATACATAATTAATAATTAAATTACTTAATCAACTAAATTGTATTTAAAAATTGACAATAAATGACGCGCGATATTTAAAAATAAACGAAAAAATTTACTTTATTATCGCTAAATAAAATTGTATTAAATTTTTGAAATTAATTAACCTGAATTAATTACATAAAATTTCGAACAAATGGCATTTTTACCAAATAAAAATTCTTTTAAATGACAATTAGAGGAAATAAAAATTTTAAATAAATAAAACTAACCTTTTGTTCTGAGAGTTTCACTGACATTGGACGAAATGATGAATCTATTCGATTTCTTCGTTCATCTTCATTGTCCTCAACATCAGAATGATTAGGAGAATCAACAGGAGTATAAAATGTACCCACATTTTCACTATAAAGATTTGATGAATGTGCTCCATGCTGTAAAAGTGGCGCTCTTTCTGATTCGACAATTCCTAGAAAATAAAAAATAAAAACAATTTAAGGATAAACAATGATTTTTACTTTTTAACGAAATAAAAATTGAACAAATGTTTACCTAGAGTCCAATTACTCGCTTCTGTCTCTTGAGGAATTACTCTAATATCTAAGAACCACGCTTCACCCCAAGCAATCACAAATGACATTATTATAAGTAAAACTTGAAAAACTGGTTGACTATATCGAGACCACTGCAAAAAATCATTAAAATTATTAAATTTTTTTTCTCTTCTACCAAAAAACAAAAAGCAAAAGAAGAAACTTACGTCGAACAAAAAAACTTTGGCCAAGAGAAAGGCACACGATAAGGCCGTGGACAGCTGGAAAATATAAAAAAGATCTTAAAATTAAAAAAAAGGTAAAATTAAAAAAAAACTAATTTTACTTACCGCCACTATAAACCAATGATTTATATACAATAACGCATAAAATAATAATAACACCGTAAACCTGCAAATTGCAGCCATCTGAAAAAAAATCATTAATTATATTAATTTACAAAAAAAAATTTAAATTATCCATTTGAAATGGAAAAAAAAACGTACAACTATATCAAATAAAGATGTTGAAATATTGTAATGGACCACTTGATCAACAAATGCAGATTCCGCACTCTCTCCAGCGATCTAAAAAAAAATTTTAATTAATTAAATTAATAATAAATTTTCTAAAAAAATTAAAAGAAACAATTTAAATGATTTAATTTTCAATTTATATGAAAGGATATATTGCTTTTTAAAGGAATTTAATTCAATTTTTTTTTTCTATTTTTCTTTTTACAACAATTTTTATTTACCGTGGCACATATAAGCCAAAGAAGACATGTGAAGAGAAGATCGAACGTAACAAATAGACAGAAAAATCTCCTGACATTGGACATTTTTCCATTGTGTCTTGCGCCAGCGATTAAATGTTCACTGAGAATTATGTCCGTTGCTCTATTGATACTATTGATACTGTGAATGCTTTGCGAATTAATTCCCCTCTGTGATTCAATAGAAGCTTGAAGGGTATCAACAACCGCTCTAATTTGCCTTTCAGTCTCCATAATTTTTTGTTTTTACTATAAAAAAATAAATTCAATAATTTATTATTATTTTAAAAATATAAAATAAAATTCATTGTATCAAAATTTAAACTATATTTTTTAAAAACAAAAAACGGAAAATTTTTTTTTATTGTAATTTTATTAATTTGCTTCTTCTTTCATTCATAAATAAAATGACCTTAATATGAAGAATAAAAAAAAAATTGTAAATAAAAAACAATTGTGATAAAGAACAGAAGGCATAGCTTAAGATTAAATATTATGAAAATTAATCAAACTTGTTATAGATTATTTTAAATCTTCGTATTATAACGATCAATACTATAAATGCAAAAGTATTTTTAAATTCATAAAAAAATATGAATTAGTTCCCTTGAAATAAATTGAATAAAAGAAACTATATTCTATTATCTGGTATTATCTAAAGTATAAAAATTATTTGATTAGATTGTGATAAAAATATTCTTATATAAAACAAGAAAAAATTCCATTTGTTAAGCATTATTATTTAATATATAAATATTATATTTTCCAAATTTCTTTTATTTAGAAAATATGGTAATTGATGTTACTATATAAAAATTAACAAAGAAAATTTTCATGGAAAAAAATATAATTACGTCACTAAATGTAAATTTAATTTATTATCAAATTAAAATACGTATAATTTTATTAATAAACAATTAAGATTAATAATAATTTCAGTTTATAGATAATTTTCAAGTTAAGTCAAATTTATATTTACTTTAACATAGTGAAAAAAATTTAAAAAAAAGTGACAACTTAGTAACCTAACCTCAAAATAAGTTTATTTTTCTTAAATTATAATACCTCTCAAGATTTTCTGTTTTTAAAGTAAAAAATTAAATAAAACAATACAAATTGTTGAATTTAAACAAATTCCTTCATTGTTTTTAAAAAAGAATCGTAAACTATTGTTCATAAAAAACAATAATGTTGTTAAATTACTTACATCTTTTATTTCCAATTTCCAAGATTCATGGGGTTGAAAGATATCACTAAACGAAATATTTTAATAGACAATAACATTTTATGCTATATTAAAATTAAATTAATCATTTCTCTTTTAATAAACTTTTGTTTTCTGTGTTAATTAATTATAAACACACACTTGATTCAACAGCTGACATGACATTTCTTTGTTTACAGTTTTACCAACGTACAGTAAGCCGAATTTACAAGTAAATACGTTTGCCAGTTTCGATGGGAAAACTTGTCCAACTCGGAAATTCAAATTATTAGATGAGCGCCACCTCGTGGCGAGAGAATAGTACTAAATTATATTTCCTGTGAATGTATCACGTGACTTCCAACTCAATGTTTATTTAGAGATAAAAGTGCATCATTTGTAAGCTTTGTTGTTCTGACAGTTGGCCAAGCCTTAAGTCATTTAAGAAGAAGATTTGTAAGCTTTTTATGTGAAAGGTGTATACAAAATTAAGAAAAATAATTTTTTTTTAAAGGAACAAGTGTTTTTGCTAATTACCTAGAAATTAGTTAAAACTTAAAACAAAATGGATGCAACTGATTTAAATGATCAACTTCAAACGTGTCCATATGATAAATCACATCGCTTTTTAAAAAGTAAAAGGCAATATCATTTGGTAAAATGTCGTAAAAATCATCCCTGTGACAAAAGTCAAATGAAAACATGTCCTTATGATGCGACACATATTATTAACGAAGTAGAATTTGCGGTAAGAAATTTAAAAATCTTTTATTTGTCACGTGTTAAGTTTACAACTTACCTTTTTTTTTATTTTAGTATCACATTAATAACTGTTCAGAAAGTGGAAAAGTAGTAAATTTTATTCAATCAATGGAAACGACTCGATGCGTTGGTGCAGTACCAATAAGTGATGTCGTAAATGTTTTTGTTCCACCAGTGCAAGAAAACTGGGATAATGTACGTTTGCAAAAAATTACAAGATTTTTTTAAATTAACAAATTATGAAAAAAAAACTTTTTCTAATTAAAATACCAATTTGAAATCATTTTTTTAATAATAGGATCCACCGGAGAAAACTTATGACGCCTTGGCAGCAGCCATGAGCAAAGGTGTATCAATTCCTGAAGTTGGTTTATCTAAATCAAAAAAGAAGAGTTTTATCAAATCTGAAAGATTACGAATTAAAAATCTTGAGGATAATGGTGTAATTTTCAATCCTACTACCAAGACTAGTAAAAATCAGGTAATATTTTTAAATAAAGAAATATTTGGGGCATTCTATTTTAAAATTATACCCCTAGTAAACAATTGACAATATAAGACATTTTTTAAATAATTATTTCTCCCATTTACTTAAATCAAATTACTTTTGCAATGAGTGGTTTCGAAAGAGAAATTTCTAAACTTTACAATTGTAAAAAAATTTTTTCAAAAAAACATTTAAATAGTATAAAAAATTTAGTTTGAAGGTTAAACTTGTAAATATCTCAAAACACGTTGTCTCCGATTTTGATAAAATCTATGTCAAAAGAAAGCTTAAATATTCTATTTTTTATTTCCGTAAAGTTTATAATGGACATTTTCGAGAATTTCCAGAAATTAATTAAAATTCTTTCACGTTTCGGAGGTTAAAAAGGATTGAAATTTGTATGATTGGAGAACCATTTATTTAAGAGCGGATTTTGTTTTTTAAATTTAATTTCCATTAACCTTACATTATTACATCACTTGACATTAGAGAAAAAAATTTTTGTAAACAATAAATATATTGATCTTTAGCTATTTGCAATTAAAAATTTTTCAAATTTAAAAAAATTATTAAGATTAAAATTGAAGTTTTAAAATTTATTTATTTAAAAATTTCGTAAAAACAAATGCCGCTGTATTTGAACAGAGGTTCTCTATTCATGCAAATTTCAACCCTTTTTAACTTGTGAAACGTCTGAGAATTTTAATTAATTTCTCGAAATCCTCGAAAATGTCCATTATAAACTTTACGGAAATAAAAAATAGAATATTTAAGCTTTCTTTTGACACAGATTTTGTCAAAATCGGAGACAACGTGTTTTGAGATATTTATAAGTTTAACCTTCAAACTAAATTTTTTATGCTAATTAAACGTTTTTTTATAAAATTTTTTTTACAATAATAAAGTTTAGAAATTTCTCTTTCGAAACCACTCATTGCAAAAGTAATTTGATTTAAGTAAATGGGAGAAATAAATATTTAAAAAATGTCTTATATTGTCAATTGTTTACTAGGGGTATAATTTTAAAATAGAATGCCCCATTTATATTGTATATTAAAAATTTATTTTTATTTCCCCAGAATTTCGAAGATGAACAAACTGATGCTTTGGACGATATGGAAACTCCATTACGACCACCACGTTCAAAAGCGGCTGCCGTATCAATTTGTTCGAATACAGATTATATCGATGAATCATTAAATAACACGAAGCAATTAAATTCTACAATACACTCTGAGATAAGTGCTATTTCTACGTCAACTGCAATTCCCAGGCAATCGACAAATTCACAATTTACAGTTGAATCAGTACTTGCAGATGCTGCGAAACAAAATGAGGAAAAATTTTCTCAATCCTCAAATTATTCAATAAATTTATTTAATCCTGCTCCAAATGAAGTCGATGTGAATGGCATTGATATGGGAAATTTGCATATTTCTACTGAAAATTCAAGTGCAATTACATTGCATAATATTGACAGTAATATTTGTCCCTTGAATGTTAATAGTTCTACATCAAATAATAGGAATTTATAACTTGTATTATCTAAAGTATCAAAATTATTTGATTAGATTGTGGTACGAATATTCTTATACAAAACAAAAAAAAGTCCATTTGTTAAACATTATTTAATATGTAAATTTTATATTTTCCAATTTCTTTTATTTGGAAAATATGGTAATTGATGTTAATGTATAAATTAACAAAGAAAATTTTAATGAAATAAAATATAATTACGTCACTAAATGTAAATTGAATTTATTTTTTTCAAAATTAAAATACGTATAATTTTATTAATAAATAATTAGGATTAAAAACAATTTTAGTTTATAGATAATTTTCAAGTTAAGTCAAATTTACATTTACTTTAACATAGTGAAAAAAAAAGAAAAAGAAAGTGACAACTTATTAACCTAACCTCAAATTAAGATTATTTTTCTTAAATTATAATACCTCTCAAGATTTTCTGTTTTTAAAGTAAAAAATTAAATAAAACAATACAAATTGTTGAATTTAAACAAATTTCTTCATGTTTTTAAAAGAATCGCAAACTATTATTCATCAGAAAAACAAATGTTAAATTACTTAAATCTTTTATTTCCAATTTCCAAAATTCATGGGGTTGAAAGATATCACTAAACGAAATATTTTGATAGACAATGACATTTTATGCTATTAAAATTAAATTAATTATTCTTCTATTAATAAACTTTTGTTCTCTGTGATAATTAATTAAGGTGCTTATATACCTCAAATTTCGATCAGATGAACATTATTTCTGGACCGTGAAAATGCGTGAAAAGTCATTTTCACGGCGGGTATTTTTGAATTGTTTTAAACAAAAAATGTTTTTTTTAAGAAATATAATATTAAATAATTGTTTTAATATGTAAGAACACTTTAAAATAGTGATAAAAAGATGATTTGATTGAAAAATTTAGCAAATTTTGCTTTAAAACGTTTCTGCTACAAGAAAGTGTAAAATGACGATGTTTGTGAAATGGTTTGTACAGTGTACATGTGTACATGTGTCTTTCAGTTATTCGAAACAATTAGTTGAATTTAAATTTATTTGATAAACATTTCAACTTAACGATTTATTTTCAGCACTCATTATTTATTACAAGTTAAAAAGAACCGACATAACATAAACAAAACTCTGAGAGACACTAACAAGGAAGAAGCACTGTACAAACCATTTCACAAACATCGTCATTTTACACTTTCTTGTAGCAGAAAACGTTTTAAAGCAAAATTTGCTAAATTTTTTAATCAAATCATCTCTCTATCATTATTTTAAAGTGTTCTTACATATTAAAACAATTATTTAATATTATATTTCTTAAAAAAAAACATTTTTTGTTTAAAACAATTCAAAAATACCCGCCGTGAAAATGACTTTTCACGCATTTTCACGGTCCAGAAATAATGTTCATCTGATCGAAATTTGAGGTATATAAGCACCAAGAAGACTAGAACCAGGAGGGGAAACTCCGTTGTAAAGATGCGGCGTGACAAACAAGCCACTAGAAGGCGTGGCTTATCGTTCGTGCATTGCTATTCAGACGAATTTCAGTGTTCTGCGCATACTTTCTTGACACTGATATTTGAAATGTAGCAGACGCTGTTTTTAAGTTTCTGTTTATGCGGTTATGGCAAATGGTTTACCCATAAATTTTTTGATGCGATTATATTTAATTAATTATATGTAACTAGCAAAATTAAACGCGCGCAAGCGCGCCAAATTGAGTGTTTAATTGTTTGTTATAAAGAAATTAAAGATTAATATTATCAATAATAATTTAATTTATTAGAATATTATTACATATTAAATGATAATAATGAAAATTATATGTTTACAAGCCTCGGATTATACGACTTTTTCTGACTTTTTTCAAAAATAAGACTTTTATCGACTTCTTTTAATAAAATGCGACATTTTTTTTAACATTTGAAAGAAATGTAAATAAAATACATTTTTCTAGTATAAAATGTAGATCTTCATCATATCTTCTTCAATTAAATTATTTAACAAATTTTAAACTAAAATGATTCTTCACTACATTAATTAATTTTAATAATTTTAATGAAATACATCACAAATTCAATTATATCAAAATTATTTTTCAATTAAAATTTTTATGAAATTTAACAATTGTTTATAATTTTTAAAAAAAAATATCACAATAAAATTTAATTATTTTTTAAAAATTTCAATTCAAAATAAACTAAAATTCAATTATTACCCAAAATTTTTATTCAAAATCAATTAAAAATCCAATAATTATACAAAATTTTCAATTTAAAATTTAATTATTTACCAAGTTTTCAATTTAAAATGAAATAAAATTCAATTATTTTCTAAAATTTCTATTCAAAATTAATTAACCAAATTTTCAATCAAAAATGAACTTAAATTAAATTATTATCCAAAATTTCAATTAAAATTTAATTATTTACCAAGTTTTCAATTTAAAATGAAATAAAGTTCAATTATTTTCTAAAATTTCTATTCAAAATTAATTATCCAAATTTTCAATCAAAAATGAACTTCAATTAAATTATTATCCAAAATTTCAATTAAAATTCAATTATTTCCCAAAAATTTTCAATTTAAAATCAAATATAATTTCATTATTCTCAAAAATTGGAATTCAAAATTAATTGAATTTTCAATAATTTGAATTTAAAAGCATCTAAAATTTAATTATTTCTAAAATTTTACATCGAAATTTTTTTTTTTTTTGAAATTTCATAATTTCAATTATAACTCTAAGGAAATTCAATTATTTTTAACTATTTTAATAATATTCTTTGAAAATTCAACTATCTGAAACCATTTTTCAAATTATTGTATTTTGTCCGCATTTTCTAATAAATTTTTAGTGAAATCATCTAAAATTTTAATTACAAAACACTTAAAGTTTCAATTAATTTCAAAAATCTCAATTTTAAATATTTGAAAATTCAATTAAATTTAAAAAATGTTTTCCAAAAATTGTTTGATAAATTATTTTCAGTTCTGGAAAATTTAATAATTGTTTGAAAATTAACAATATCTTTGAAATTTAATTATTTCTAAAAATTTCAATTTTAACCCTTCGAAAAGGATTATTATTAAAAAAAAAAAAAATTTTATTTAAAAATCTGTAAAATATTTTTGTTAAAATAAAAAACAAATCCACTTTTTTTTGGAATATAAATCGACTAAAACGACTTTTTTGTGTCTTTAAGTTGATTCGAGGCCTGTGTTTTTATAATTATTATTTAATAGGTATTCGTTGGCACCTGGTACCTTAAAAATTAATTTTTAAAAATAAATGTTTTTCAAATTACTATCTTATACGAAATTTCCTGGCGCATCTTTTTTCTCATCATACATTTTTTGTACAATTTTTGAATCAATATACAACTTTAAAAAGAATTTCGTTGGTAAACGTTGTGTACTTCAGCTTCGTGAATTGAATTTTCGAATTTGGAATTTTAAAGAAACTTATTCCGAAATTTGGAAACACAATTATACAACTTTGGCAAAAATGAGAAAAAGAATTGTCAAAATTTGACACGTCATAAGATTACTATTCAAAAAAACACGTGAAATCAGAAAAGGCCAACTTCAAGTTAGGACAGAAGGACAGACCAAGCATTTTATTATTATATAATTTACCTAACCAAGCAGACGCAAACATTTGCAGCTGCTTGCTACGAAATTTCCCCTTCAAAACCTACATGGATAGTATGCGCAGAATTCGTAAATTCGTTCTATTAGCAGTGCACGAACTTAAACGACACGCCCACCGTGTGCACGCTTACCATGCCACTACTCACTGCGGTAAAGCGTGGAAGTTTCACCTCCTGGTTCTAGTCTTCTTGATAAGCACCTTTATAAACACACACTTGATTCACAGCTGACATGACATTTCTTTGTTTACAGTTTGACCAACGTACATTAAGCCGAATTTACAAGTTCGTCAGTTTCGATGGAAAAACTTGTCCAACTCGGAAATTCAAAAATATTAGATGAGCGACATCTAGTGGCGAGAGAGTAGTAAATTATATTTCCTGTGAATATATCACGTGACTTCCAATTCAGTGTTTATGTTCCTTTAGAGATAAAAGTTCATCATTTGTAAATTTTTTATGTGAAAGGTGTATACAAAATTAAGGAAAATACGTGGAATATTCGAACATTTTCTTCAGGTATTTATTTTTACATTAGTAAAAGCTGTAGGTTACTTATAGAATGATTTGTAAACTGGAAATATTTACATTTTATGCTTTCACGTGGCAGAGAAAGTATGATGCAAATTACATTAATTAATCTTCCCTATTGCCTATAACTTATTACTTTATTTATCAAAATGTATTGATTAAAAATATTTATTTTTTAAAGGAACAAGTGTTTTTGCTAATTACCTAAAAATTAGTTAACACTTAAAACAAAATGGATGCAACTGATTTAAATGATCCACTTCAAACGTGTCCATATGATGAATCACATCGCGTTATGAAAAGTCGTATGCAATGGCACTTGGTAAAATGTCGTAAAAACCATATCAGTGACAAAAGTCAATTTAAAACATGTCCTTATGATGTTACACATATTATTAACGAAGTGGAATTTGCGGTAAGAAAATTGAAAAATATTTTATTTGTCACTTGTTAAGTTTACAACTTACCTTTTTTTTTATTTTAGTATCACATTAATAACTGTTCAAAAAGTGGATCAGTAGTAAATTTTATTCAATCAATGGAACCGACTCGATGCGTTGGTGCAGTACCAATGAGTGATATCATAAATGTTTATGTTCCACCAGTTCAAGAAAACTGGGATAATGTACGTTTGCAAAAAATTACAAGTTTTTTTTAAAGCAACAAATTATGAAAAAAAAATTTTTCGCTGTGTCTATTTAATCCGCCAACGGAAGGAATAGTGAAGATAGATTATTTATCCCGCTAGTGGGAGAAATGCAAGATTTTGGCTATTTAGCCCGCTTTTTTTAAAAAATCACTAAAATGAGAACTATTTATTTTGCAGTAAGTATTTAAAATGAATTGTTTATATATTTAATTTAATTAATTATTTAATTAAAGTTGTGGTAAAAAAACAAATTTTTTGTTTAAACCAAATTTATTGTAAGAAAACTTGTTTAACTACAGGTATATTTATTTTTTAATAAATTATTAGAAAATAGTTTATGAAATTGTTTTCTATTGAAACTTTAAATTTCCAAATAAAAATTAATTTTTGAAATACAATTAAAATTCTTGTATTTTATAAATACGTATGGGGCATTCCATGGGAAATTTTTATTCAAAATTTTTTTTGTCCGAATCATTTTTTTTTTCGAAATCTATATGAAAAATAAGAAAATATGTATTTTTTTAATTTGATGAAAATGAAGGAAGTTATGATTTTTTGAAATTTAACGTCAACAAAAGAAGTGTGTTTTTGGAACATTTTTATAAAACTGAAATTACCAACGTTGATTCAATGAAAAAAATAAAAATTAAGGATTCTAATTCCCATTAAAGAAATTTATTTGTTTTCAATCTTCCATAAACTATTTTCTAATAATTTATTAGAAAATAAATATACCTGTAGTTAAACATGTTTTCTTACAATAAATTTGGTTTAAACAAAAAATTTTTTTTACCACAAGTTTAATTAAATAATTAATTAAATTAAATATATAAACAATTCATTTTGAAGCAAATAAATTTTGTATTAAATCACATTAATATATTTAAATAAACGATTGCCTTATTTTTAATTACACTTAATATACATTTTATATAATAAAATATATTTTGTTATTCTAGAATAAATAAATAAGAAAAATAAAAAATATTTTAAATATACTTACTGCAAACTAAATAGTTTTCATTTTGGTGATTTTTTAAAATAAGCGGGCTAAATAGCCAAAATCTTTCATTTCTCCCGCTAGCGGGCTAAATAATCTATCGCCACTATTCCTTTCGCTAGCGGGCTAGACACAGCGAAATTTTTTCTTACTAAAATACCAATTTTAAATCATTTTTTTATAATAGGATCCACCGGAGAAAACTTATGACGCTTTGGCAGCAGCCAAGAGCAAAGGTGTATCAATTCCTGAAGTTGGTTTATCTAAAGCAAAAAAGAAGAGTTTTATCAAATCTGAAAGATTACGAATTAAAAATCTTGAGGATAATGGTGTAATTTTTAATCCTACTCCCAAGACTAGTAAAAATCAGGTAATATTTTTAAATAAAGAAATATTTATATTGTATATTAAAAATTTATTTTTATTTCCCTAGAATTTCGAAGATGAGCAAACTGATGCTTTGGACGATATCGAAACTCCATTACGACCACCACGTTCAAAAGCGGCTGCCGCATCAATTTGTTCGAATACAGATTATATCGATGAATCATTAAATAACACGAGGCAATTAAATTCTACAATACACTCTGAGATAAGTGCTATTTCTACGTCAACTGCAATTCCCAGACAATCAATAAATTCACAATTTTCATTTGAATCAGTACTTGCGGATGTTGCGAAAAAAAATGAGGGAAAATTTTCTCAATCCTCAAATTATTCAATAAATTTATTTAATCCTGCACCAAATGAAGTTGACGTAAATGGCATTGATATGGGAAATTTGCATATTTCTACTGAATATTCAAGTTCAAGTACATTGCATAATATTGACAGTAATATTTGTCCCTTGGATGTTAATAGTTCTACATCAAGTAATATGAATTTGTCCAATATTAGTGAAATTCAAACTCGATTGGCAATTGTGAAAAATTTGGAAGAGAATTTACAAAATGAAAAAGAAAAATTAAGAAAAATGGTTGTTAATTTTTGTCCATCGGACAATAATGATGAAAATTTTGCTAATAATTCGCGATGTGCTGCTAATTTTTCAAACGCAAAAGAAAAATAATCAAGTTATCATTTCTTTATATATTCGAATAATGTCAAAATTTTCTTATTAATATTCATTGTCATTATACATATTCTTTATATTATATTTTATTTTTTTGATACATTTTCTCATTTTGTAAAATTATAAGAAAGTTATAATTTTTAAATTTAATATTTTTGTTTTAAATATGGAAGTCTATTTTTTTTATATAGAGAAAAATATTAGAACATCTGTTTGTTCTTAAAAATTATACATAAATCAATAAAGACAAATATAAAACGTTTATAAATGATAAAAAGGTTACTTGAAAATATGTTAAGATTCATATTTTTTGAAATAAATTACTCTTTCAATGTAAAAGTGAAGTTTTTTATTTTTTTTTAGTAATTTTCAGTTTTAAGTGTTATGCGGAGTTTCATTTAAAAATATCCGCCAAATCTGCGCTCCTCCATACGGTTTTCTGCCGAAACAGACAAACTAGAAATTCAAGAAAGGTAGAGTGTCTTTCACACGAAGTCTTTCAGTACTATTATCAATGTCGATTGTCATAAATTATTATAGCTGTAAAATGTTAACGATATTTTTATTTATATTTTTGCCATTTTCATTCTGATGTGTATTTAATTGTCAACATTTATTATCAAAAAAAAAAATATATCAGTCGCAGAAGAAATATTAATAAAAGTAAGAAAATCAAATTTCTTAAATGTAAACATTGCTTATAATTTCTTCAATGATTATTTAAAATTTATTAATTATTATACAAAATTAATTAAGTTTCTACAATAAAATAATTTTTACTGTTTATAATTTTAAAAGTAAGAGAACGAATTTTCAATTGTTAAACTTCTGAACAATAATGCAAATTATTGTTAATGTTTATAAATTTTGTTTTCAGTTTGTTGGCAAAAAAAAAAAGTAAGTACATGATAAAGCTTTCATTAATAAGAGATTTTTGGATTAAAAAAGCATTCTTGTAATAAAAATTAATTATGTTTGTATAATCAAAATTTAAAAATGTCAAAACATTGCGATATTTGTAATTTCGATTTACTTGATGATTACGCATATCAAGGACACTTGTCCGGTAAAAGACATTTAAAAAATGTTCAACTAATTGATGCCACATCAAGATCAGTTTATATTTATTGGGGATATAATAAATTTGTTCTTGATGATCTATTGGCTTATCTTTCGAGTTTCGATAAAATTGTAAAACACAAATTTGGACCATACCTCGAATATGGAATCTTTCAATTTCAAGAAAGGTGAGTTTCAAAATTTTTTAATAAATACAATTTTTTTTTAATATAATAATAATGATGATTTTTTTTCAGCGAAACTGTCGAAAAGTTATTGCACACGGAATTATTGTACGAAGGAACCAAATTAGAAGTCAGGCCAAGAACAATTACAAAAAATAGTAGTAATAACAGTAAGTTAAATATTAAATTAATTTAGGTAATTAAAATTAATATTTTAATTTTTTTTTTAAGCTACTGCTACGAATTCGGAGACAAATGAAAATACTGAGGAGAATAGTGAAATTAATTTTACAAGATTAAAACCAATTTTCGAAGAAAACACAAATTTCGATGATCAATTGGCTTCATTTTTAAAGGAAGTTGCTCTAAGTGATCATGAAATTGAAGCATTGTACGAACCAGTGTGCATTCATTTAAATCGTTTATTTCGACAAGTTTTTCGCAAATGTCGAACTTATCGATTTGGCTCAACAGTAACTGGATTGTGTTTTAAAAAATGTGATCTAGACATATACATGGACATAGGTAAATGAATTTTTAAAATAATTTTTATTAAAATCATTTAATTTTTTTTTTTGAATTTAATTTTAATTTATTCATTTAGGTGAATCAATTAGCAATGACGAAAATGAAAAGAATCCAAATATTTTGACATTTCGAAAAGTTTTCATTGAGGCAAAGAAACTTTTATTTCGAAAAAATCAATTTTACAGTAAAGTTATACCAATTCCACGTGCAAAAACGCCAATTATCAAATTTTTTAATATACCAACAAAAACATCGTGTGACTTGTCCTTTAGAAATAGTTTAGGCGTACACAATAGTCTTTTAATAAAACACTATTTAACATTTGACCCACGCCTAAGACCGTTGATGATGCTCATAAAATATTGGGCAAGACATTGTGATATTTCAACGGAAACACGAGGTGGAAGAATAACAAATTATGCATTAGTAATGCTATTTATATTTTATTTGGAACAACCAAATGTAAATTTGGTACCAACTGTAATTACATTGAAAGATTTTTGTAAACCACAAATTATTGATGGATGGCAAGTGAATTTTGATAAAAATATTAAACATCCCTCAAAGGAAAATAAAAGTACAATTCCTGAATTACTTTATGGATTTTTTGATTTTTACGCGAATTTTGACTTTAAAGAATTTGTCATTTGTCCAATTGATGGTCATTCATATTCGAAGGAGTCTTTTGAAGATATCGCTAATCTACCCGAATATATGGACAGGTAATTTATTTATTTAAAAAATATTAACCCGATATATATTTATTTCAACTGTGATTTATTTTTTAAATAATTAATATTTACAGTTACAAAGAATATATGAAGAATACCGAAAATGCATTTTCATTTGGAGTACAAAAACCAATGTGCATTCAAGATCCAAATGAATTAAATCATAATTGTTCAGGAAACGTTACACTTTTTCTCCTTGAAGTTTTCAAAAAACATGCCTCAACATCTGCTGAAGTTTGTGACAAAGCTTTGAAAAATAATGATACATCTCAATTATTATTAAATCTCTTTTTAACAATGCCAATAATCACAAAACCAAATGCAAGGAAAATTGTTATACCAATTTTTATTCAAAATTTTCTACATATTGAAAAAACAGACGAAAATTCTCCAAATAAAACAGAAAGTGATAAATTTATAAAACAAGATTTATTTGACATTGTTTTGGATATTGTGAAAAATATTTTTATAAAAGTATTTAAAATGAAAGTTGAAATATCATCTATTGATCGTGAACAAAAGCAGCAAAAAATAGAAATTATTTCCGATGTACATACAAAGGATAGTGATAAAATTGTCCTCGAATGTACAGGCGATCGTTTATTGTGGCGTGATAGAAAAATTAAATCACTTGTTCTTGATCCAAGTTATAGTATACTTGAAAAAGAGGTGATCATTACAAATAAAATGCTTGAAAAAAAACAAAATAATAATAATAATAAAATACACATAAATTTTCTATGTGTTTTTGAAAAATATCAAAATCCAACAAAAGTTATTCTTACATTAATCGATAAAGATTGTGGAAGGGCATTTAAGGATTTTTCAGGTTTTCTTAAGGGTAAAATTCCCAATATCGTTGAAAGAACATTATTTCACATGATACAATATAAAAAACGTTCAATAACATTTGACAGAATTGACGAATCTAATGAGGAGGAAAAAAAAGAAGAATCTTAAAAATTATCTATCGATAAATATCAAATAGTAACGAAAAAAAAAATATATTTAATTAATTTGACTCTAATTTTTAAAAACTTGTAAAATAAATTTTAATTTTTCAGTTATTTTTTAAAATGTTTTTAAAATTAACAGTATTATTTTTCTATATTATTTGAGTTATATATATAATTTAAAAAAAATTATGTATAAAATAACTGAAAAATTACGTTAAATTGTTTTATCTGCGTGTAATAATACTTTAATTTGTAAAAAAAAAAAAAAAAAAAAAAACGAGAACTATATGTTCTTTTCAATAAAACTTATTATAGAAATTATTTCTTGATTAAATCAATTCTATCATTTAATTTTAATTAATATTGGTAATTAATAATATATTAAATTTAAAAAAACAAATTGGAAATCATATTTTAAGGTTAAATCTTAAAGATCAAGTGCGTATGACATTTTTCAGTTTATTGATAAAATTGTTTAAGCATAATCTATTTTCTTTAAATGTATATAATATAACATAATTACAGGAATTACTTGTGTGATTTTTCTGATGATTTGTTTAAGATGAGAATATTTACAAATTATTATCTTTAAGCAGTCATAGGAGGCATTAATTCCATTCCTTTGCACTCGAGAGCAATTTTAACTCCTAATGCAAATAGACCAATACTTTTTACTAAACACCTGAAAAATGAATGTATTTTACAGAAAACAAATAGAATAATAATAAATCATTAATATAAATTATACTTTTTATATGTAGGTTAGGTTTACTGGAAATTAGGTAATTATAACATTTCAAATAATACCTTACCATTTAAATGGATCTTCGTATATATTTACAATTATTTTTCGAACACTTGCCATGATTTCAATTAAACATCAAACTTAATTCAATTTTTCTTTTTAAATATTAGGCCAAATTGATATAAAAATCTTTTTTCACGAGGTGCATTCAGTGAAGCTCTGCGTAAATACGTATGTTATGGTAAGAAGGTACATTATTGATAAAATAGAGTTCTTTTTTAACATCGCCATCTTACGTGAATTTTGAGAAGCTTCATTTAAAGTTTAATTCAAAACCGCCGAAAAAAGCGGTTAGAAAGTTTGTTGAGAGTACAATGGCTGCAAACGCTGTGACAGTAATGTGAAAAAAAAAATTGTAATTTTCTTCGAAGATATGTACCGTGTGTGTATTATTACATTTTTGAAAAAAGATTTACGTGCATTTGAAGAGGAAAAAAAAAAGTGAAGAAAGTAATGTGTGCTTTATGGACAGTTATAAAAAAGTGTGTTTCTTTGACAGTGTAAACAAACATAAGCTTTATTTTCCTTTGGAATTCTTTTCAACAAATTCATTAATTACATCTAATTCTATTTAAATATGACATCTAATCTGTCAGTATTAGCTACTTATGATGAACTTGTTCGATGTACAAACGTTCTTGTCAATGGATCATGCGAAGGCGGTTAGTCATAATGAAATTAATTATTAAATAAATGTTATAAATTACCATTAAATAAAGTAAATTAAAAGTAGAATTTGAAAATTAATAATCTACTTTCTTTTTATTTTTTTTTTTTTACAGAATTTTTACAATTTGCCATTAATCAAGAAGAATTAAGACAAAAATGGCTTCAATCTGTACAAGAATGCCAGAGACTTCATTCAGTTTTGGATAAAGCTCATCATGAAACGGCAGATCTTGACAGGAAGTTGAGTCATGCAAGGAGATTACTTGATGAAGAGAAACGAAAACGAAGAGCAGCCGAGGAACAGCGAAATTCTTTGGTAATAATATTCAAAAAAAAAAATTCGTTATTACATTTAATCGGTTAATGGGAATTTATATAATGAATTAAAAAAATTTTTAGGAACGACAAATGGCAATGGCACGAGATTTTTTATTTAACGACGGTGGACGTAATTTAAATGACGAAACAAGAGAAAAACTCCAGTTTTTAAATAACACCACTTTGAATGGACGTCACAGTACTATCAATTTTAAGGATCATTATCCAACTGATAAGTATGTATAATAATTTCTTTTTTTTTTCATTTTTGAATTTGTTTTAAAAAAAAAAATTGTTTCCAACAGATTAAAAACTATAACGGAGCTGGACTCTACTGGCACATTGTTGAGTGATTTGAGTTGTTTTTCAAAATCAGAAGATGATTTAGATACAAGTATCATTATACAGCAAAGTAAAAAGAAACGTGAATGGAAGGAACATCGACCAAGTGGTGAATATTCTGGTAAAAAAAGAAGAAGCACCATTAAAACAACTGATCTCAATAGTTCTGATCGAATTATTGCTACGACCACTGTCACAGTGCCTAAAGATGGAAATATTACAGCATCATCAATTATTGAAACTGTACCCGCTGATGAAAATAATGATCCACAAACTCCCATGCAAACAACACGTAAACGAAGAAAGAGCGAAGAGGCAAGAAGATCAAAAAATCCTCGTGCTGATGTTAATGACATTCCAATTAAGGTGTTAAAAAATAATTATTAAATTTTTATTGTATAAGTTTTCAAAAAGCGAATATTTTAACTGGATCGCTTTTTAAATTAGAAATCTAAATTTTTAATTAATCAAAATTGTATAATTAAATTTTTTTTTAAAAAAAGCCTACTGCACCGCAAGCTGATGCTTTGACTTCAGAATCAGAATCGGAAACTGTATTTAAACCGAGTCCGAATATTGGTGGATATACTTTGAATACAAAAACTGCTCGAGGTCATAATTTTAGCGCAAAAACAGTGATAAAACCAGAAGCTTGTATGTCATGCAGTAAAAGGTATTTCTTTTTTAAATAATTATGTAAACAAAAATTTATTGTTTTTGATTAATATTCTTTTTTTATTAATATTAGAATACGTTTTGGAAAAGTCGCACTGAAATGCAGAGATTGTCGTGCAACAACTCACGTTGAATGCAAGGATTTATTACCTCTTCCATGCGTTCCAGCTGGAAATACACCCACATTACGTGGTGCATCAGTAAGTTAAATTAAAAAAAAATATTTAATAATTCTAAATTATAAAAAAAAAATTTTAATTTTAGGGCACAATCGCTGATTATACTCCAATGACTCCACCAATGGTACCATCGATTCTCGTACATTGCATTAATGAAGTTGAATTACGAGGAATGAATGAACAAGGTTTATACAGAGTTAATGGAGGAGTAAATGACGTTAAAATATTAAAAGAAAAATTCCTTAAAGGAAAAGGAGCACCAAATCTTTCTGAAGTTGACATTGCCACCATTTGTTCAACTCTCAAAGATTTCCTCAGGTATTGATTTATTTTAATTAATTTATGATTGAAAATTTAATAGAAAAAAAAAACAATTAATATATTTTCTCTTTCAGAACATTACGAGAACCTTTAATAACAGTTGGTTTAAGAGACGATTTTGTACGAGCAACAACAATTCCTGATAAACAGGACGCGGATGCGGCTCTTTATCAAGCGATATCAGAACTTCCGCAACCTAATCGAGATTCTCTTGCCTTTTTAATTTTACATCTACAAAGAGTATCAAGTAGCACCGAATGCAAAATGCCAATAAGTAATCTTGCAAAAATATTTGGACCGACTTTAATTGGTTACAGTTGTAATGAACAACCTGCAACTGCAATGCTTAATGAAACAAAGATACAAGCCACTGTGAGTTTAATAATAATTATTAAATAATTTTACAAAAAAGAAAAAATTGAAATTTTGATAATAAATAATAAAAATTTTAATCGTTAAAATTCTGTTTATAGATTGTCGAAGGTTTGTTAAAAATTCCTTCGGATTATTGGGCTAATTTTGTAAATTCTGATAGTTTGAGTAAAGTCGGAACTCCAAAAATGGCAACATTGAGACATACACCATCCACGGAATCACTTTTGAAACGTACAGCATCTCGTGGATTTTTCCACACGCCATTAGGAACCAGGTCTGTATAAAAAAAAAGAATGCTAGTATTTTATTTTATTATTTTAAAAACTAATTTTTTCTTTTCTTTTAGTCGAACATTTCTCAGGAAAAATAAGAAATATTTCGCCACACCGCCGTCAAAAACGAGCTCTAAATATCAATAAGGTAATTAAATACTCATAAGCGCATTTAATACGCAAAGCTTTATTTTTCACTCGTACTTAAATAATGTCCTAACTTTACAAAAATAGGAAACTAATTTTCAAAGTATTTCAATAAATAGTTTTTAAAAATTTAATTTTTACAAGGTTTTTCTTTTTTTTTTTTACTATTTTTTGTGTGTAAAAATATCAATAAGCCAATTAAAGAAATATTTAATATCTAATATTTTGCGATTGATTTAATTATTTAATAATTCAATTACTCTATTGTGTCAAGAACACAAAAATGAAAATTACAGAATTATTTCGAAAAAATTACGTAAAGTTTTACAAGCTAGAATTAATTTAATAACATCATATGTATTATGATAATAATAAAATTTATAGAATAGTAATTGTACTAATAATTATTGGTTTGTAATAAATTTTTTTAAAAAATACACTTGAAAAGTTTTAAATTAAAACACAAAATTGTTTAAAAAGTAAAACGTACTATATTTATCCATACACTAAAGTATATAAATGTACAAGTTATACTTTTTTTTTCTTTTCTTTGAAAATTTCTTACAAACAAACTCATAGGACATCTGTACAATTTTTAAATTGTATTCCTAATAAAAAATTAATTTTTCAAATAAGCTTTTAAAATACTTTTTAGTAATTAGAAAAAAAAACCTGCAAATTTTCCTGCAATAATTAAAATTACATAACAAAATATATTATTGCATATTGTGACAATATAATTTAATATTAAATTATATTGTCACAATATGAATTTTATTACTCAACATGAACTAAACTAAAAAAAAATTAAAGAAAAATGTAAACTCGAATTTTATTTGGTATTTTGGAAATCATTTGCACTTATTAAAAAGACTAGAGTTCTATTTCAAAAAAAATAATTTAATCTAAAATCACGAATCATAGAAAAATAAAATGATCTTTGAAATGTAACTAAAAAAAAAAAAAAAAAAAAAAAAAAAAATTATTCTTTTATTTTGATGCAGGATTTTTCCTTTAACTCCCAACATGACTCCCAAAACATTTCTAATCTATTATCACTATTTGAGCAAAATTGCCTGAAATCCTGAATGATTCTTTTTTGAAATAACTCATCACCTGACGATGTTGACAATGATTTCCATTTTCGACTAACCATATGATTCCATGACCAGAGAAAACCCAACTGTAATTATCGAAAGTAATTAAATTTATTGCAAGAAGAATTTAAGGCTTAATTAATTAATAATTAAAATTAGTTATAGAAATAAAAGTGAATTATTTAAATAGAACTTACTCGTCTATCGGGACTGTAATCGTCATTACTTTTTCCACTAACATGTCTTGTAATATAAGCTTCATGAGGGCTTGGCTGATCTGAATGAACTGGATATCGTTTTTGAGCTGTATTTCGTCTCACAACATTAGTTCCAGTTCGTGTTCGCGGTCTTGCGCCGGTAGTTGATGGAATCAAAATAAAAGCATTGCCCGTTACATGAACGTATTGACGATCATTCTCAGTACCTTCTGTTATACATGGAATAAATCCAAATCTCTGTAAAATTGCCTCTTGAAAAAGAAACAATCTTTGCGTGTATGTGTCCTCTCGAAATTCTGCAATCAAATTTTCAAATTTAATTAAGAATTAAGAAAGTAATATTTTAATTTTTTAAAAAAAATCGTGCCTTCAAAAAGATAACGTCGTTTCGTCATTAGACATTCTGTACTTAGAGGTATGAAAATAGGACCTCTTAGAGGATCGCTTTTTAGAGTAAATGGTAAAGCCAATAAATCACTAGGAATTGGTACCATATGCAATCCACACATTTGTGCTTTACGTTGCCACAGAAATATCTGAAATTGACAAAAAAAAAAAAATTTAATTAAATGAATAAATATTTAATTAAATTAATAAATATATAATTTTAAAGAATATTTCATACCAAATCTGCGACAATACTTCCAGAAGATGCGACCCACTGTACAACCAATTCATAAGAATGATCGGCTTTAAAAACAGATTGATATCTTAAATGGCCCCATTCAATTCTATCACTTTTAGTGATATTATTTAGAATATCAATATCTAAATGAGTATGTTTATACATAGGAACTGAAAAAATATAATTATCAAAAATTTGTATTTTTTTTTTATTAAATAAAAATTTAAATATTTATACCTCTCCAATCTGACGAATCTGAAATTTCTATTTCGTCTCGTAGAAAAATTGGAACATTAGATTCGTCTACAGTATCACAGCTTGGAATAGCTATTGGTGATGAGACATTTGAATGTATTATTGGTACAGTACGTTCGCACCATCCTTTTGGCGGTCTAGTTTCTATCTCTACCCATTCATTTTCAAAACTTTGTAAATCTCCAAGAGGCAGACAATTGTCGGAACCTGTTATAAAAAAAAAATTTCCAAAATTAAATCATAAAAAAAACAAAAAAAAAATAAATAAATTACCTTTTTGACTCTCTTTCTCCTGTACAACACGATACAAATAAAATCCCAAAATAAAAGGTTTCGTAAAATCTCCTGACGCGTGACATATAAGCTTCTCGTTTATCATATTCTGCGAAATTTAATTATTTAAATATTTTTTTTATATATATATTTAATTTTTTTTTTTTTAATCAAACTCACCTGCATTATGTTTATTGCACTTTCAACAGTTACTCCTCCGTCAATGTGATTATTTAACCATTGTACTGCATCTGCACTCACAAAAGTTTGACTCGGAAGTGCATCCTTATGCTGTGTAAGAAAACCCACACCACTCACGGGATGTTTTAAAGCTTCTAAAATCTCGGTATTTGAAGCATTATTTTTTAGTTTCGCCACTTCAGCATTATTACTGTTGAAAAAAAAGAAAAAAAATTAAGTTTCAATTTTAATTAACAATTAATTGCTAAAAAAAAAAATAAAATAAAATAAGAAACCTTTCATCGTTTGTGTCCAAGTGATCCTGTTGTTGTTCCAAAGAAAGGGGTAAAACTGCTTCACTGGCAGGGGAAATCCTACCTCGATCCAACACTTTTGACCCTGATCTGTTAAATAAAAAAAATATATATATATTAATCCATAATTTAAAAAGAATTATGCCTAAAAACTATTAATCTTTTAATTGACAAAACTTTAAAAAAAAAAACAAATATATTTTTAAATGACAAAAATCAAAATCTTTTGTTTCACACGAAAATTTCATTAACATCATTAATACTCAAATTTATAAGTAGATACTCGATATTATAATTCAAATTTAAAATTTGAAAAATTAACACTTTCCAAAGTAAACAAAAATTTGAAAATTTAGAAAAATAAATTCGTTTCTTTATCCATTCGAATGCTTCGTTAACCTGGGAATAAGAAAATTAATTAATAATTAAAGAAGAAATTTCATCAATTTAAAAATAAATTGCAGAGCATAAGAAAGAGTAGATTTTCTTTAGAAGAAGACAAAGTTCAAAAAAAAAGGAAAAAGTTTAAAAGAAATATGTATCGAATTTAATTAATTAAATTAACAAAATATTAATTAAAATTAAATGACAATTAAAACGAAATGAAAATGACCAATACGTTAATAAATACTAATGAAAACTAATGAAACTAATGTCAACAAAACAATTAATAGAAAAAAAAAAAAATGCAAATTTCGAATAATATTTAATTTTCATATCTATAGAAAATAATGAAAAGCAAAACCAACCTGTTTGGTATGTGGCGAGGAGTGTCGAGGGTCGTTCGGGCAATCAAAGTTGAACTCGTTAAGTGCTTTTCCTGTACAGAGAACCCTCACTCACTCACTCACTCACAACACCAAAAAAAAAAAATTTCAATTTCTAAATTTAAAAATTACTATCAAATAATCAAAGCATATAAATAAAGACTAAAATAACTATAATGTAACATAATAAAAAATGAAAAAGGAAAGTAAATTTCAAATGTATTGTTGAGCAATGCGTCATTTAAACAAATGGAACTAGCACCTGAGTTAATTTTGTTAAATGTAATCAATTAATTTACAATCAAATCCCATTTAGGATTAGAGTAGCATTAAAATTATGTAGTGTCAAAAGTTTTTGAAATTCTATATATAATTCTGAAAATTAATAAATTATAAAAAAACAAAAAAAAAAAAAAACCACCACCACCATAAAAAATATTTTAAAAATTTCAATTTTTTTTCCAAATTATATAATAAATGCATACTAAAAAATATACAAAAACTTTATCACTACGTTTTTTACTTAAAATATTAAACACACAAGAAAAGCAAAAATTTTGCAATAATTCTCCACACTCCATATTAAATCTGTAACTACAAAAAAAAAAAAAATTAAGCTATATGAAGAGACTTCAAATTTCGTAGAAGCTCAGAAGTATTACTGAAAGGATAAATAAATGTTTAAAATTAATAAAAACCATCAACCATGTGACTGTCGAAATACCGTTTTTGATAGAAAAGAAGAACACCTTGTATCTAAACTGAAAACAAGCGAGAAAGCATTTTTTTTTTTTTTTTGGTTTTTTGGCATATTAAAATGTGAAAATCGAACCTTGGTCTTGGTTTTTCAGGAAGTCGATTGCTCCCAAGTCTCTCTCTGAATGGAGAATTGCCAACTAGGCTTGTCTGTAAAGTATCGAGATTAAAGTAAATTATTTCATTAATTCTTAATAATTTTTATATATAGTAGCATTCATTTATAATCGTTTTACATTACAAAGAAATTGTTAAATATATGCAGAAAGTTAGTCATTTGAAAAAATCCAACAGATTAAAGCAAATTAGATTTTTACAGCAGTGTAATGAGTTAAGATTATTATATATATATAAAAAAGATAAAACTACGATAAAATGAAAAATAAATCAAACTAAACGAGAATATAGACATTAAAATAAGAAAACAAAAGAAAATTAGAATAAAAACTAAATAATATTTATATATATATATATATATATATATATATATATATATATAAATACTTTATAAATATATAAATAATTGTTAATAAAATGTTATTTCTATGCAAATATAACATGCTTGTTAAAGAAAGAAAAAAACAAATTATTGAAAGAACAATTATTCTAGAGTACCGTGCGTCACTTTACGTCCCAAAATGCTCAATATTGATTCGATTCGAGGCGGAATGAGAGGAAATCTTTTTTTTTTTTTTTTTGTTTGCAAATTAATAAGGATATTATAGAATATATTTTGAACAGAAAATTATTTGAGGAATCAGGTAGGAAGGGAAATACCTGATGGTTAGTGAGAAAAATCAGGCTCGTGCTGTGCCTTCGCCTAGTCAAATGAGACGCAGGATCTCTTGTAAAAGCACCACCTATAGTTGATGGATTCTGAAACACATCACGCTGTATGCGATCCCTCTATATAAAAAAAAAATTATTTTTTTAAAAAATTATTTTCACCAAATGCCTGTTTTTTTACTATTTGTTTCAATAATTTTTAAAACTTTTGAATTTGAATTATGTTTTTGTTTATTTATTTTTTTTTCAATAAATTATATTTGAGCGAGCACCTTGGGAACCTTGGAACGTCTAGAACCCAGATATTAATAATAATTAAAATTAAAAAATTAATTTCTACAGTACTTTTGTTTCATATTTGTTAAAAAAAAAAAAACTTGAGAACTGCAGAGCTGAAATAATAAGGGTAAAAAATGATTAATAATTTTAAGAAACTGTGAATCTAGTAAAATTAGATATTAAAAAAAAAAAAAATTATTAAAAGCTGCAAATAAAGAAAAAAAAAACTACTTTGCATATTAGTTTGGTGCTAGCTTTCAACATGCATGTTCTACCATAATATACAATAATTTAGTTAAATATTTCGAAAATTCAAGGTAATTCAAATCTTACTTTCCTTTGATTATTATATAAATAATATCTAATTTTAATATATTTAGAAAAACTATAATTACTGTACAATTTTGTTTAAAAAAAAAATATCACTTCTTACCCAATTTTTATTTGAATTTGGTCGTCTAATTTTATTTAACCATCCTTCGATAAATCGGAGAAAACCATCCATATATGCGGCTTGCTCACTTGGAGAAAGCGGAGTGTAAATATCACAACGAGGTGAACCTTCAAGAAGTTTACGTGTCGCTGGATTATTTAATGGTAGAAGAAATATTCTGAATCTCCAATACTTAAGTGCCTGTAAATTATTATTTTATTTCTTGACATTTGAAAATTGAATAATTTTTAAAATAAAAAAAAATATATTCACCTCAGCTAAAGAAAAATCCGTGTCACCTCGTGTGCAAATATAATGATCCAAATAATTCCAATTGTAATTTTCTAATTTTTCAGTTGTAAAAGAAACCCACGATACTTCGTAAGTATCATGATGAGGTGCATGAAATCGATAACGATAATGAATATTAAAAGGAGGATATGGATGTCTGAAAAATGATAAATATGTGACTAGAAGAGAATAGAAAAATAAAAAAAATTAAAAATATAAATAATATTACCTTGGTCTGTATCTCGTTACAGTTATACAATTTCCACAAAGGGAAATTTTGTGAAATATTCTTCCTATACTTAACAGATATTCTTCTTTTGGCTCCGATTCAGATGGTCGACCCCTCATAACTGAACTTATAGGTGGTGCATTATTACTTCCAGGTGTTGTTATTTGATTTTTATTATTCGGTGGTAAAATAATGTGTTGAAATCCCTGAAAAAAAAAAATTATTTAATAAAATTTTTTGCATTTAATTTAAATAATTAATTTTATTCATACCTGTGCCAATCTTTGAGAAACTAATTCCTTAAAAACTTCGGCAGTGGTGAGAGGTTTTTTATAAATTGCACGTTGCTGTGCAAAATCAGCATTAACATCGTCTGGTAATAAATTATAATCCGATACAACATAATCATTTTGTAAACTTCTTTTATCCGGAAAATAATCAGTTGTTATTGGTAAACAAGCAGGAATTGTTAACGATTTCCAATCAACACCTAGAGACATAATTTCTGCTAATTGCTTATTCAATAAAAAAAAAAAAAAAAAACAGAAGGAAAGTATTTACAAAGTGTTAATACATTTTTTTGTGCTACCATTACATTCACCCTGTCATATTTTGCTGATGTTAAGAAATTTTTTTTTCTTTTTAGAAGAAACAAAATTTCATTTCCTAAATATTTTTTTTTACCAAAGATTTCAATTTTTATAATTGTGCAATTTTATATTTGCAATGATTAAAATAATTACATATTTAATTCTTGAATAAATTCCAAAGGAATACAAAAATGTGAAAATAATATTTTAAATAACGTGTGCTCGTGACAAATGAATTTACGAAATGAGGAGTGAATGAATGTGATTATAACTTAGATATTTATATATAAGTGAATTCGAATAATTACTAATCAGAAAAAGTAAAGTACATGCAAAAGAAATGTAGCATTATTAATAATCTTCTATTTACAAGAGAAATGTTCAATTTTAATAAGTGTTTTTGCGCTAATACGTAAAAGGAAATATATTAAAATGAAAAAAATAAAAAGGAGGATTTTTTAATATATTAAAAAAAAAAATGGATTTTAATTAGAAAAACATATCAAATGTGTAGCATGCAATTATTCGACTTCTAGCTGTGCTATAAGGAAATAAATAAATTGAAAATAGAATTGTGTTATAATAAAATTGAAGAACGAAGTGAACAAGAACCTAATCAACCCGCGGATTAATGTATGACGCTAACCTATGATTGCTGTTTAATGTTGTACATCACACGCATCAAAATGTCCAGCGTTGCATCCCGATTAGACGTACCACAGCATGGAAATAAATTTAAGAGCATTATTTAGTTACATTTAATAAACAAAAATATAAATAATAATTCATTAATATTGTTCTCGTTTAATTTCTTCAAATAATAATTTTTCTCTTTTTTAATCTGTGTATCGTGATGAAATGAGATGCTTATGTTTTATACAAAATTACTATTTGCTACTGCACTGTAAATATTTAAATATATTTTCGTACTATTAAAATTTGTTGTCGATAAATAGCTGTAGAAAAAAAAGGAAATTAGCATTTTACATTTATAAAAGCTACCATCAATTGAATGATGCAATTAATTATTCTAATCTATTTCTATGGAATTTTTTAATTTATTTTTTTTATTCCTTCTTTAGATCTATTAATATTGGGAGTAAATTAATAAGCAATTAATTGCACTATTTAGTTCTATTTATTATTGGAATAAATTAATAAGCAATTCAATGATAATTTTCTTTTCATTTGGTTGAAATTCACAATTTATTAGCTATGTGCCAATAATTTAAATTGACAATGAGGGCACTTTATTAGTGAGATAAAAGAAAATTTTTTTTTTAATTTTTAGGAATGAATACCTGTTGTAAGAGCTGGAGTCCATTCTTGTTCTCCAGTAGCGCCCCATAATAGAGTTAAACTCTTGCTCGAAGAATGTCCTCCCGTTTGTCCAGCTTTATCAATATTATTCTGCGACGCAATATTTTTTAGCGATTTCGTCTGTGAATCTGTTAAAAAAAAAAAAAAAAAAAAAAATAGAATAAAATTTAAATTCGATGAATTTTTAAAGATAAACTCACGATCTTGAAATCCAGTTTGAGATGTTGATCTCGACATTGCATAGTTTTTACCACCATTTTGCTCAGGTGAGATGCTCAGCACTGAAGTTGTGTCACCTGGTTTTTCAGAACGTGTTTGAGCCGGTACAGCTTGATAATGATGCTGTTGAATTAGAACGCCAGTTGGACCTAAAAGCAAATGAATTAGAAACTAGAGAAAAAAAAAGTTATTAGCGCAAGAAACAAACCTTTAGGAAAAATATGAGTCCATCGTCTTCGATTACTCGTGAGTTTAATAGTAACGTGTGATGGATCAAAAGGATTTATAAGAGCTCTACTTGGTCGAAGAATATTTATCGGTTGAGCAATTGAATTTGTTGGACTGCCAGCACTACCAACAATAGGCCTAAATGGTGGTGATATTTCACTATCCGTAGCATCGCTTTTCAATGATATTCTTGAAGGAGCTAAATAATTTTTCTTTTTTATTTACTAATTTCATTTTTTTTTTTTATAAAGAATTGAAACAAATACCTTTTTGCATTCCTTCATTGGAATCGACACTATTTACTTCTTCGTTTCGATGTGGAATCGAAATAGCTGCACTTTTACTGGAAAGCAATGTTGGTGATGACAATTCTGGTGGTGGATGATGAATATCAGGATCGGACATTTTTCTTTTTAATAATTTTAATGCCTGTAAATTGTTCGGTGTTTCTAAACAAGCAACGCTCGTTTTTTTTGTTCTATTCGATACTCTTTGCAAACTGAAATATAAAATTTACATTAACTTTAGATTTTTAAGGAGTAGAAAATTTAAATAAAATACCTAGAAGTATGGATTGGAGGCAATTGAAAAACTTGAGCATCATAGGCATCGTAATCAAAAAGAGTATTATGAAGGCATTCTTTTGAATCTTGATGTAATAATTTTTTTGTCATTAATTTTTCATTTTCATTCGGTTGTTTTGAAACTTTCGGAGGGAGTTTAATTCGTGGTATAAAAGTCGAATGTGGAATTTTCTTGTTCGTTGAATAGAAACTAAGATTAATCCAATGAGGCATGCTATAGTCATCAGGAACTTTTATCGATGTATCCTTATTATGAAACTAAAATAGAATTTCAATTTAAAAAATTATTAATTACTGAAAAAAATGTATATATTCATTTTACCTTTAAAAGAGGAACTGCATGTAGAGGTTGTTCGCCAACGCAAACTAAATCACTGCCAACTCCATTATCAATAATTCTCTGCTTTGTAACGTTTGTCAATTCTCGATCAACTTCAAAAACTCCTACTCCTGGAGTTATAACAACAGACAATTGTCCAGTTCTATCAAAACTACGATCTAGATAATGTTTCTCAAACACTGAAATTAAATAAAATTCGAAAATTATTATAAATCAGTTAAATTTGTTAATAAAAACAAATTTTACCATTGAGAGACATATTGAGAACTTCTAAAAAATTTCCCTGTGCCGCTGTCGAATTTGTCGCTTTTGGTACAGGGACCCCTGATTTTTGATGATATTCCAAAACAATTTTTTGATAATCTGTAAATAATTTACGTAATTGTACTAAAACATTACTCCAATCTTCGTATCTTTCATTTTGTACGGCAACACGATAAAAATCCTCATAAAATCGACCACGATAATCGTGTTGTAAACATTCTCGCATATGATTTGGAAATTCTTCCAAAGAATTTGCATTGTAAAAGGTTCTTGAAAATAAAACAATAGTCACTTCATGATTGCTACCATTTTTCTTCCATTTTTGAAATAAATCAGCAAGAAAACCATTTACTGCCTTCTCGAAATAAAGATCGCCATGAATATCAAAATCCCACATTTCCGAACTCATTTGAATAAAAAGATACACCATACTTGTCGATGAGCGAAAAACAACCTGAAATTATTTATTAAATTAAAAAAAAAAAAAAAAAAAAAAAAAAAAAATAAGTATTTGATTATAATAATATGTACCTTTGTGTCATCAGTGATTACACCACAAGCAACACGATCACCTTGTGACCACATTTCATGAACTTGACATCTTATACTTCCTCCGCAAAATTCAATTTTTTTATTTGTATATACACACGTGTTTACCTGCAAAATCAATAAATTCATGTTTATAAAACATTTTGGTAAAAATGGTATAAAACTTTTTCAATTTCAATAAAATTAGAAAGAAATATTTGAAAATTTGTAAACTTTTATAAAATATTTGTTAATTTACCAAACTATTTTTTAATCTCCACATTTCACTGCGACCCATATATTGATCTTTGAATGTAAGCTCGACAGAATCAAGAGCAACATCGTCGGGATTAACAATATTCATATAAACATCAGCAAATGTTCGTAATTGAAACATGGTTGCTACATTATTTTCCACGCTAATTGTCTCACGACTTTGCAAGTCCTCTTTAAAAGAAGTGACTTGCAATAATAATCGACTAAACTCATCTTCGGGATGATAGATTTCAACAACATCTCCTGTTTTAATTCCCGGATAATCCTTAGGATTTATTATCAAATCTTCTCCACTGAAGTTCTTTTGATGTACAATTAATTTAAAAAGTTTCATTTTCAGCCCATTCTTTTTTTTTCTATTATTGATTTAATTGTTTTCCTTATTTATTGTTGATTTAAATAATAAAGAGTACAAACTGAAAAATAAAATTAAAAGCGTTAATTTGTCATTTTTAGAAAGGCACGTTCTTATATTTTGTAATTATCATATGCATATCAAAACAGAACTATATATGTATATAATTTAAAGGTCAAGTACAAAAGAGAATAATATAAACACATAATTGGCAAAGCTTAAAAAATAATAATCGCTGTACAATGATAATTAATACAGATCACTTTAAATAACAATAAAAAGAAATTATAACAAATTAATGTTATCAAATGAATTACTGTTAATTTGTAATGATACAAAATATGTGAGATTGTTATTGTACCTGGAACAAAGGCGTCTGTTAAATTATGCATTTATTCGTGAATATCTAGAAAAACAAGTTTTAAGAAATTCGATATTTAATCTCATTTAACGTTTTTCTTAATCTCTATTTAGTTTTATTACTTGTACAATAATAATTAAATAAATAAATCACATTTCACATATCACTAATATACGATGATGACATTTCTTCACATAACCTCAAATAATATTTACAATTTGTATCACTGGTCGATAAAAAAGTTTAATAAATTATTTTAACTTCTTTTAATTTAAAAGACCATTAACATTAAAATTATGAATTAAAATTTAAAATATCTTTTTAAAATGATTAAAAACAGCAATATATTTTCTGTTTTAACATTTTGAATTTTTGCGGTTTTTCAAGCAGACGAAAAACTTGGTCGGTAAAAATTCGTTTATTTCTTTTAAATACTAAAACTCTAATAATTCTATACTGTAATAAATATTTATTTTATATTTATAAACACAGTTACTTTATTAAAACAATGATATTATTATTTATTTGATTAATGTAACTAAATATATTTGTTTTAAATTGAATTCAAAAAATGGCGCGCTACTTGCGCGACACCTGTCTTAAAACTTGCAAATTATCAACTGGCAGATAGAGTTAAAAATGGCGGCAGCCAAGTGACAACGCGTCTTGTTAATAGTGTTTTACATTTTATTTTAAATGTCATTTCTTTGAGTTACTTATTATTATTTTTTTTTTTTAGAAATTCAGTGCCTTAGTATAAAATTCTACAGTAAATTTGCTTGAGAGAATAGATAAAAAAAATTCATAGACAAATTTCAAAAACAAGAGGATCATTTTATGTCATTGTTCAACGAACACGGTGAGTCAATCTGACAAGAAGGGTAAATGTAATATAAACGAGGTTAATTGGTACAAAAGAGGGGACAATTAATGTCTGAGAGAAATAACATCAATTTAAAAACATGTAAACGCTTGTTCTCTCTGACTAAGACCAGTTTTATTTCTGGTTTTCTAATGTTACCAAGTTGTCGCTGAATAGTTTCTATAACGTGTCAGGGGGCAATTGACAGTTACCAGGTTACCACAGTTACAATTTACAACATGACTTGTATTCTTTGGTTATTTAAAAATGGAAGAAAATTTGTGAAAAATTCCCCATAAAATATTTTAATAATTATTTTGAGTAAATAATATATATTAATTTTCTCAAATTTCTTAATTAGCATCTTACAAGGAAAATGACAATTATTCTATTGTTTTCTAAAAAAGGTTACATAAAAAAAAAAGTTGTATACAATTTAGTTGTTCATTATTGTGTCAATGCACCGTTTCCTCGTGGCTTTCGAACCACTTTACATAACGTTTAATTATTGCTGTTTAATTCGCAAAAAAATCGGAGATAATAATTTTAATATAATAATCGTTGAATGAATATGAGTAGGAAATAATTATGATTATTTTATATATTCATGAATCTTTTATTTCGTCATACAGAAGAGGTCTTATTGTCTATAATAAAAAAAAAAATGTTTCCTACACATGTGAATAATAATTTATAATTTTGTAAAAGAGAATTCACAAAACATTTAACGAACATGACTACCGGCACTCATTTTGTACTGTTATTCAGTAAAACGAGAAAAAGTGAAGTTTTCTTTTTTAAAGCAAATTTCTCCCTTGAAATGTCTTTGCGCCGGGTTTTTAAAGGTGAGTACACGATACTGCACAACTACCTTTTAGATTTTTTATTTTATTTTTTTTTTGTTTTCTTAGCCGAGCCTTCTTCCTGGTTATTATACCTGCTTCTTGAATGCTCTTGCACCTATTTTTAATGCTTTCTTTCTCATTGCATAAGGAGCGACGAGAAAAATAATTTTATACATTTTTTTTTTAAAAAGATCGCATTCCTTAAATTTTTTTTGTTTTAAAAGAAGTTTCTATTTATTTCCAAATTATTATTTTTAATTAAATCTCCCATCCACTTCATTATATTAAGGTAATTATTTTTCTCATGCTCTCAACCTCAAGGGTTTGTATTAAAAGTCAAGAAAAAAAAAAAAAAAAAAAAAAGAAGTACAAAATTTCCTCATGTTAAAAATAGTTATATTATTTTATTTAAGTCTACTGAACATCTTCATCTAATTGCCATTTGTTAGCTGCAATTTTTTTTTTTTTTTTAAAGAACGTGCAAGGTCTGTATTGCAAATCTATATGGAACGACAATATTCGCAAATGTCTCACATCATCTACGTCGTTTAAAAAATCACGGACATGTGACGTCATTCAAATTACTATGTCATAAATATTAATAATATGATACTACAATTGCTTTACGTTTCGTCCTTTCGTGAAATAGACAATATTTTTCTCTCTCGTATTTATATAAAAAAAAAAAAAAACAAAACAAGTTTTCACACTTATTTCTTTTTTCTATTTTCAGGCAAAGGACTACGACTGCAGAAAACAAGAATGCCCACGCAAACTACAGAAAACGACGATATAAGAGTGAAAATTATATACAATGGGTAATTCGAGTTTCTATTTATAACTCTATATTTGAATATTTAATTAGTGTTTTAATGTTAAACTTCCGGAACTTAATTTTGTACAATTTTTTTCAAAATTTACGTTTCTTTTATCCATATGGGGCATTCCACGGGAGATTTTCATTGAAAATTTTTTTTCCCCGAAACATTTTTTTCGAAATGTCCTGGAAAAATAAGAAATTTGTCCTAGAAAGTCGTGAAAAAGTCCTGGAATTTTATTTCAGATTTTTAGTAGACACCCTGTGAAAAAAGTTATGATTTTTTGAAATTTAACATCAATGATGGAAGTGTGTTTTTGGGACATTTTTTAATCTATTGTACTAATAAATTAAAAATTATGCTATATATGAAATTTGTTGATTTTTTCTTAGATTTTTCAAAAATCTGCCAAAAAATAACGTACCTATAAGAGAAGTAACAAAAAAATTGCAATTAAACTCAAAAAGTGAGTTTTCTCAAAAGAGACACTTTCGATTTTTAATTTTGTTTTTTTTTGCATTGCAATCTCTGATGATTGAAGAATTTTTTCCCCTATCTGCGAAAGTGGTACTTTTAGTTTTTAAATTACTATTTTTAATTTTCTTAGTACGGCTCACAGAATTTAAGCAGTTATTTTACAAATATAATCTTTTTCCATTATTATTCATTTGTTTTTTTTTTTAAATTTTCATAAAAACATACTAAAAATCGTTGCGTCGAGCTTAAAAATGGTAAATAGTAACTTAAAAACTAAAAGTACCACTTTCGCAGATAGGGGAAAAAATTCTTCAATCATCAGAGATTGCAATGCAAAAAAAAAAAATTAAAAATCGAAAGTATCCCTTTTGAGAAAATTCACTTTTTGAGTTTAATTTCAATTTTTTTGTTGCTTCTCTTATATAGGTACATTATTTTTGAGCAGATATTTGAAAAATTTAAGAAAAAATGAACAAATTTCATATATAGCATAATTTTTAATTTATTAGTACAATAGATTAAAAAATGTCCCAAAAACACACTTCCATCGTTGACGTTAAATTTCAAAAAAATCATAACTTCCTTCATTTTTATCAAATAAAAAATTAAAAAAATACCTATATATCCTTATTTTTCATATAGATTTCGAAAAAAATGTTTCGGGGAAAAAATTTTTTTAAGTTTTTAATTTAATTTTCATTTTTCAAATTGAAATACAATCGATTGTGATAATGAAAATTTTAAATCATAAATTCGAATATATAGCGAAAATCCAATTAAATATGAGAAAGTCGAATTTATTAAAATTGAACCATTTTACGAGAGAGTAAAATCTTAGTCGTAATTTGACCCGTTTTTCAGATAAGATAAGATGTAATTAACAAAAGTATGTTAAAGATTATATTTTTTTAAAAAATTATTTCTCCTTTTAATATAGATTTCAGGAGATTTTGTCAAAAATTCGATTTTTTATTTTGTAGAGAATTTTTTTTTTTTCACAAAATTGCGCTTAATTAAAATAAAAAGAAGCTTTCTTTTAATGAATAAAAATATTTAAATATAATTTGACGTTACATGTGTTTTTTGCAGAGAAGTTCAAATTACTTATATCACCGCTGGAATCTCGGTGGATACTTTGCGTGAAGAGATGCGGACAATCTGTGGCTTTGGTGCGGGCTCTGGTTCAGGACAGGATCAGTTCACAATGAAATGGGTCGACGACGAGGGTGATCCATGTAGAATTGTGTCTCAACAGGAACTTGACGAGGCTCTTCGACTTTATGATCTTGAAAAGGACACAGAAATAACAATTCACGGTTAGTGGCCATTTTTTTTTTTCAATTTTAAAATCTTTTTCCTAAATTGGAGAAATATATTCACATTATTTAATTTTTAATCATTGTAATTTTTTATAATCAATCATGGAAAACTATTTTCTCATATGATTATTAATATTTAATTAAAAGTAAATAGAAAAGTTTTTAAAATTTTAAGTAAATTAAATTTCGTTTTTTTTTAAATTCTAAACAGATTCTATAAAATTCGTATAAAAGAATCGGATTTATTTATTTAATTCGATTTTGTGTGATTTAATTGTTTTAATTAACAGCTTCTTTGTATTAATGTCAATTGAAAAAAAGTAGTTTTTATTATGTATAAATTCGAATATTAAAATTCAAAAAATTTCACGTAATAACAGTTAATTCTGTCACTACTTTATAAAGGATAATTTTGAATATATATATATATATATATATATAAAATTTATTTGATTTAGTTAGACGTTGCTCGAAAGCTTTCTGGTGGTTTTACATTGCAGGTACTTTAATGTACTGCAGTATTCTCCTCTTCGTGGCACTGAAAATATATTGACTTCCCTTTATTTTCTCTCCCGAGTTCTCGAAAGTTTACATTTTAACAAGCTTTTTAGTTTTGTTGGAAAATCGGCTTTCATTTTGAAACACAAGACAAAAATAAAAGCACAATAAAGAAATGAAATTATATACTTTATATTTTTTTAACGATTATATTTTTGTTTTCGTAAATTGTATTTTTAACTACTTTTTTTTTTTTTTTAATTACTTTTACATGTTTTTGTTTTATTTTGTAATTCTTTTATAGTTGAATATTTCAAAAATTGAAATATTAATAATAATAATAATAATAATTTATGATTGTAGAATTTTTTTTCATCTCGTGATTCTTTTAGGTTTTTTTTTTTTCAACTGAATTGAAATATTTCCGCCCTATAGTAATAGTGATGTCATTTTAGAGAACGGGTTGAAACTGGAAAGAATCAAGATTCTTAAAATTGTGATGCATCAAGTTTTTTTCATTTTAATTTGACAAATATGATTTTTTTTTCTCCCATACCTTTTTATTATATGCATTCGGGAACAAATAGTTTGATAGATAGGGCAATAAAATTGGGTTAATAGGTTAACGTCAATATCATTCAATTCGTAGCATTAGAGATATATGTTTTTTCATCTTGTGATGAATTGTGGTATGAGAATTATATAAATATATATTTAAATAATTATATTCTTTAGATATTTAATAAATAATTCTCAAACTAAATTAGAGAATTATTTTTAAAATATAAATATTTATTTTAATTATATAATAAAATTAATTTTTTTTTTAATTCACCAAAAAGGATGGAAAAAAAAATTGTTTTGACTTTGAATATAGTGAAAATTTCCATTTGTGATGATAAATTTTTTATAATTATCGATTAATTTTCAAGGTTCACACGACATTATTGAGCTATTTTCGAATTGAGCACAAGTAACGTAACTTTGTATCTGTTTTTGCCGTCCGCAGAAGTCCTTGTTTGCACTTTTCATCTGCAGGAACAATGATTGCGCTTTCAGGAACGCGTGAAGTATTCATGGTTGGATATCGGAGAAAACCACAAAGGAATAGAATGGGTATACATACCCGTTGAGTAAAGTCTAGCAAAATGCATACCAGTACTATTCTCGTTACAAATCCCCCCACCCCACCCCCCTTATCCCCTTTTTGCCCCTCTCCTTTTTAGTCTGGCAAGATTTGCAATTAAAGACCTGAATGGAAAATATCATCTCAGAATGAAACTCTTTCTTTTATTTATTTTATTCGAAAAATTTGAATATTAAATATTTTATTCCAAAATTTTGTTTTCACAAACAATTTTATTTTTTTTTTTTACAGTAGAATAATTTTTTTCTGAAAAATACTTTTTCAAATTTTCCGAAATATTTTTCTCAATTTTCTTGAAATATCTCTGTTTCTTGAAACTCTGATTCATATTTTATCTGCTTGTAGAATTGATGATTGTATTTGAATATTGAATCAGTGGCTGGAAATTTTTGTTTTCTCATAGTGTTTTTTTTTTCGAAAAATATGTCACGTTTGACACGATTCTAACTAGTTATGGATGAAAAAAAAAAAAAAAAATTGTGCTCGCTTTTAGTTTCTTTTTCATCTTTTCTACTTGTTCAATTCACTATTCATCACTGGATATGTAAAAGACATTCGAATTCATTGAACAAAAAGATTTTTACTTATACTTTAAAATTCTCACTCTTTATTATTTTACGAATGACAATTCAATAAATGTCAAATAAAAATTTTCTTACACTTTTTTTTTTCATTTTTATCATTTCCGGTTTATTGGAACAATATTTATCTTCCCCCAATGATTCTATTTGTAACCTTCTATTTATTAATATCGATTTTTATTTGAGAAGTTCCAATGTTAGCTGCAGGAAGTGATAAATATTTAAATTAATATCACAGTTTTTTTCGATTTGAAGATTTCCAAGTATTTTAATTATTTTTTTAAAATTATTATTATTATTATTATTTTGAATATTAATATTTTTAAAAAAAATGTTTATTAAATTATTTTAATTGAAAATTCAATTCATTATGCAATAGTCATAATTGAACTTTGTTCAGTCAAGTAGCAAAGGAAACAATTAGAAAATATATTTTTTTGAAAGATGAATAAATTTTCTTCTTTTTAACTTTCATTGATCAAAAATTAACGATTTTTTTTTTTTTTTTTTTTTTTTGAATTAATAAAAGTTTTATCATTTAATTGAAAAGCGAATGAAAATAAAAGTTGCGAGGAAGTAAATAATTATTCATGATATGGGGACATGTCGGTTTAAATTTCCCCGGCCTTGACATCTTTCTTTAAAATGTATTGTTATCCTAGAAGCTTTTTTTCTCTCGCATTTATTCGTCGGGGAAATGAGCGAGAAAAAGCCATTTCATAAAGGTATTTTTCAAATTATACATTTCTCATTAAAATTTTTTTTTTGCGAACAAATATTGTTTTTTGAATAATTTATTTTACAAGACAAAAAATCCTATTTTTTTTTGTTTCTGGAAAATTGTTTTTCGAATCATTTCAGATTTGATTTAAAATGTGGGGGAAAAAAAATTATTTTAGAAGAATTTTATTAAATTTTAAAAAAAAATTAAAAAATTAGTTAAGACGTAAGATAAAAAGGGTTATATATCGCGTGACTGGAAACTGAAAGCATTAGCAAGTGCTTCAATCAAGTGTACTCAACGTGAATTTGTACATACTTCCTGTGTATCATGAATAACATAAAATCGATTACCCTTTCTAAGGACTGTTCATTAGAAGAAAAATTAATTAAAATTCTCTCGAGATTTGTCTACAAAAAAAATTATTTCTCCAAAAAAGATTTTTTTTAATTTTCCTATTTTTTAATAAATTTTACTGAAAAAAAAAAAAATTTAGAAATGAAGAGGTAAATTTTCTAATTTCGAAGTTATTTTAATAGAAGAAATTTTTTTTTTTTTTAAATTAATAAATTTTCTTCGAAATGAGGACAGATAATAATTAGCGTGATTAAAGGAAGCTTTCGCTATTAAGGTCACTACTGTTCGACTGCAAATTTTAGCGGAGTGGTTCACTATAATTCACCGGCGAGATCACCATTGTGCGAATGAATTCGAGGGAATACGTCGCTCTCCTAAATTTGATCGATTCTCCTCATCGTTGAGCCTAGCGTGTAACATGAACCGTAGCATTTAATACTGACTATTGAAACTGAGCTCTAGATTCTTTCTTCTTTTTTTATTTTCCATTATGACCGCATTTTACGTGTCATGTTTTTTAATTATTGATCAATTAAGCTTTTATTTACGTATTCGCGAAAATTTTTTAAATTTAATACAAAAAATACTATTTTTTGAAAATTAAAGGATTTTTTTTTGGAAAATATTTTTAAAGATTTTATTTACAGAAACAAAAAGTAATGTCGACTGCGATGATTGAGAGGAAGAGCCACGCCTGTAGTCCTTTCCGGGAAAAAAAAAAATCATTGACACATTCCATGGTTACTCTCTCTCTCTCTTCTAACCCGGGAATTGTTTTTATGAGGAAATTTTTTTTTTTTTTATAATAATTTTAGTATTTTTTTGCAGCAAATGAGGATTTTAAATATGTATATATATATATTAGAGGAAAAATTCTGAGAGTCAAGTGATTTGAATAAACGATTCGCCTGATGGAGATTCATCCTGAAATACCTGGTGGCCTACCTAGGTTCACCACCCATCTACCTACCAAAGAGTCCGAGGTGGACTCGGAAAGAGAGCGATATATGCCAACTTTTGTTGGTGTTTGCGTAGGTTTATCAAGGAGCGAGGAAGACCAAGAACCGGGGAAAGTTCCATTAAGCAACAAGGACAGAACTTGGCGTTTGCGCTCTCCGAATTGCCTTGATGGTAGCGTGCGCCGGGCGGCGGCAGTAACAATTCTGCTGCAGTCAATATCCACAACTCGGTGGTCCAATCCATCGGATTCTCGTGAATCATCTGTTATACTCGAGGAGTCCAGGACGAAAGAGGGCGAGTCCGATCAAAAAGCTCTCATCATCATCATCATCATCATCATCATCATTGAAATTTATATCCCCCCTGGGGCAAATAAGTGAGAAAGGAAAAATTATTTTCCAAACGAAAAAAAGGACTATCGATCGGTTTTGGACAAAATTTTAAAAACGCTTCTTTTTTTTGGTTTAGAAAAAAAAAAAAATCTTACACGTGACCAACAGGCCAATCGACCAAGCAGAATGGCGTGGGGCTACTGGAGCGCAACTTCCGTTGGGGACAGGGGTCGGTCACCTCGTCGTGACAAGGATAAAACTATTAATCATCAACTTCAACAACAACAACAACAACAACAACAACAACCAGCTCAACAGTATCAAACACTTGATTCATTGCAAGGCACATCACAATTGCAAGTTCAAGGCGAATTGGACGGTGAAGATCCACCCTGTAGTCGTATGATTCAGGGTGGTTCGTTTTATTCATATTCAGCGGCTGCCGCTGCTGTCGCCGCTGCTGCTGAACGTCGAACTTTTCCATCTAATTTAGTTGAGGGTTCAACATCCGGTGGTATGATACACCACGTGTTCCCTAGGGATTTACAGCCAAGGCCGGGTACTAGTAATTTTAGTCCATCCCCAGGCAGTGATTCGGCAGAATATGAACAGCCAATTCATCTTAATAGTTATATTCATCATGATGATCCAAGGGATGTACTTGTGCAAACGTCTTCCAGAATAAAATTATTGCGCGACGATGGAGATGATGATGTTTCAGAAACTGAACTTGAAGATATGAGTAGTACGGATGTTATTTATGCATCGAATAATCGTCTTATAAGACCAGGATCAAGCGGATGTCTTGTTCATGGACCTTATACTTCAAGTGAAACCGGTCACTCGCTTCCCTCTTTTGTCACTGAACATGGTGGCTCGTCCGCTTCGCAATTTTGGTTCAATGATATCACATGGGGTATGTTTTTTCAATTCGATGAGCATTTTTGAAAATAAATTTTCCCTCACAAATTAATATTATTATCATTTTAAATGATTTTGAAAAATTTTTCCAATTCGATGAGCATTTTTGAAAATAAATTTTCCCTCACAAATTAATTATTATCATTTTAAATGGTTTTAAAAAATTTTTCTAATTTTTTTTTCCCACACGAATTAATTATCATTTTAAATGATTTTGAAAATTTTTCCAATTCGATGAGCATTTTTGAAAATAAATTTTCCCTCACAAATTAATTATTTATCATTTTAAATTATTTTGAAAATTTTTTCCAATTCGATGAGCATTTTTGAAAATAAATTTTCCCTCATAAATTAATTATCATTTTAAATGGTTTTAAAAAATTTTTCCAATTTTTTTTTTGGTTTTTTTTTAAAATTCAGTTGTGAATTTTTCATTTTGTTTAGAAAATCTTATTAAATTCGTAAAATGTAATTAAATTTCTGTAATTTTAAAGAAAATTTCTTTAATACAGAAATATTTTTATTTTACCTCAGAGAAAAGTATTTTTTTAATTTCTTAATTTAAAGAAATCTTTTGCGATTTTTTTTTTTTTTTTTATATTCCAAATAGAATCATTTAGGGTCAATATATATTACAAAATTAAAAATCTTCCTCTTATTGAAAATAAGATTTTTTTTTTATATTAATTTTCAAATTTTAAAAATTCAAAGAAAAATGGACAAAAAATATTTTTTATATTCGTGAAGTCAAGAAATTTTTTAATCTGAAAAAAATTCTACTTTCATTTTATTAAAAGAGCTTTTTTTGTAATTTTTCATTAACATCTTATTTTGATTGAAAAGATTTATTCTTTAATACAAATTATTTTTTAATTCAAAGAAATCTGTTTTTCATTCAAAAAATCATGTCTAAAGATTTCTGTCTTTAATTTGTGTCTTTTTTTTTTGTATAATTGAAAAAAAAATATGAATGAAAAAAAATGGTTGTAATTGATGGATTTTAGCCAAACTCATTTTTTTCCATCATGTAACAATAAAGAGGTATTTTGCCATTTGTGGGTAATATTTATTGGTATTAGATTTTGAATGATGAAAAGAGGAAATTTTCTTAAAGTGACGCGTCAGCAGATTTTTATCGAAATTCTGAAATATTGAATATTTTATATTATCGTTTCTGAAATTTATTTTTTTATTCAACAATTTTTGTTTCACTTCCTTTTTTTAATAGCGTGTAAAAAAAAATTAAAGAATTTAAATATTATTTATTATAAAGTAATAATAATAATAAATAATAATTTTAAATTAATTCCTCTATGAAGAATAAAAAAACATGAATGCTCAAAATAATTTTCATCAAATGTGAATAATATTAATTTACGTTTATTGTTCTGAAAATACAATAATGTGGTGAACATTTTCAAGGTTGATAAAGATAATACCCTCTTAATCTATTTGATGAGAGTAATCCTTGTATTTTGCGAGCACGTGGTTTCATTGTCCTTTTCATGGGTCCAACTTACGACTCCTACAAAAGCTTTTTGGTGTTAAAATGATAAATATAGAATTAATCGTTAATGTCACACCGGCAGTCATAGTCAACTTAAAGCAACACCCCTTCTTTTGTTCTGCATTTCTCTTTTGAATGTTCATTCCGCTATTTGAGCACGTAGTGGCAACTTGAAACCGTTGTCATCAAGGATGTCATTTGATTCCCTCCCACATCCATTTGTCGTATATCGTCATCTACTTTTGCTCTGAAATATCCGCACTTTTGTTCCCATATATTTTTTTTTTCAACTCGAAAGAATATTTTTTTCAGTTACTAGAAATTTCTATTGCTGCAATTTACACCCTGAGAAAAATTATATTTATCTTAGAGCCAAACAAATATTTATTTTAAACAAATTTCAATTACCAAATATTTTATTTTTTGCCAAAATGTTTATCCAAAAACATAATAGTTATTTAACTCAGATAAATATATTTTTTTATTTAAATCAATTTATTTAAATTTATTTAAATTATATTTAGATAAAAAAATTTCTTTGTGTGTAACGATTAAAGTTTAGATAAAAAATAATTTTTTTTAACGGTTTTTTTTTCTCTTATGTAATTTCTTTTTCCCATATCTATGGTTTTTTATTTTATGAACTTTTTTTTATGTAGTTTTTCCTTTTTCTGAAGTTTTTCCTTTTATATTGAAGTATATTTTCCTTTTATAGTTTTTTTTCTTATAAAGTCTTTTCCATCTTTTCATAAAAAAGATTTCATATATATGAATTCTTTTTTATGAAATTATTTCTTTTCAAAAAAATTGTTCCTTTCACATAAGAGTTTTCTTAACTTAATTGTAAAAAATTTGACGAATATAATCACTTACTATTCTTGAAATAAATATTCTAATTTATTTTTCAAATATGATAATTTTTTATTAATGAAAATTTATTTTAAAAAATTATTTATTTATTTTAAAATTATTTTCTTCTTTTAGAATTTAGAAAAATTTATTTTTAAAAATAAAATTTATTTTCTTGAAATATTTTCTGCATATTGGAGAGAATTATCACCTATAAAATTATCGAGAAAATAATATTCCCTTTTGTATTGATTTGCACTCTAAGAAGCTTTACAAGAGACATTTTTTTCTTTTTTCTAAGGCAAAAAAAAAGAAAAAGAAAAGTATATTTCTATGTAAAGTTTTACAATTTTGTTGATCAAATGAATTTTTCATTATATATTTAAAAGTTTTCTTGTTGAACAAAAGAAGTTTTTCTTACAAGTTCATTGATTTTTTTTTATTATTATTATTATTCCTCTTTTGTATAAACATAAAGAGATTGCTGAGTTAGCGATAATTAACTAATTAGGTGGAGTAGTGTAAGATTTTTGGCGTGAATCCAACCACGTTTCAGTTGCTTTTTCAGCAAAATTTTATACTAGAGATTTTCTCCCCAGTATAACTGATAGTAGCTCTGCCTTTGATGGGAAAACACTTTAGAACATCCGAGTTTAATTATAGTTCCAAGAGTTCTCGATTTTTCTTCTTTTTTTTCCACTTGCGGCTTTTGCAATTTATTTATTTTTATTTTATTAAAATATTTATTTATTTTTTTATTTCTTTTTTTTGAAAAATTCGAATTTTTGAATTGAAAAATAGAAAAGTTTAATATTGATACATTAAATATGATTTTTAATGACTAAACCAAAAATTACGGTAAATCAAGAGTTATTTCACTTTTCTATTTATTTATCGGTTTTTAATAACTGTCATATTGATAGTTGATTGATTTCGACATTTATTAAATATCTTTATACACAACGTTCCTTGGTTATTTTCATCGCCTCCCTTAAAATGCTCGAACAATTTTTTTCCTTAAGGGGGATTGCATTTTTTTTTTTCACGAAATTTTGTGTTAATTAAAAACAAAGACGTTTTTAATTAACACAAAATTTCGTGAAAAAAAAATGCAATCCCCCTTAAGGAAAATATAAATAAAATAAAATAAAATAAATAAATTTTTTTTTTTATTTTTTTCTTTTATAGTTGTAAAGCATGTTTAGAGGTAAGGTTTCTTTTTTTTGTATTTTCTTCTGAAAATCTATTGATATTATTTTTATTTTTATAGGAAAAAAAAAAAAAAATTCAGATTGATGTCTTATCTCGTCGATGTCTCGATTTACCAAAGCGAAAAAATTCAAAATCAGGATTGAAATAACTTTAGTGTGAATCACATGACTTGAAGGGTCTATAGTAAACAACCTCAAAATGCACTTTAAGCTCTTCTTTGGTTGTTGTTCGTTTATGTGTGCATAGTCTGTCAGGTGGCATAATTTGTATTGTCATAGGTGCATGTAAGGAATATCGTGTGTAGCAGCAGCAGCAGCAGCCTATTGACCCGAGTTAACAGATTAACGGTAATGGCTTGCCACCTAAGCCCTCGTACAATTAACGCTCGTAAACTATCATCATATGCCATTTTTGATCTACAAAAGAAGCTATTTTCATGTTTCTTGATTTCATCTTCTTGATTCTTGATTTCATGTTTCATTTTTGAAAACTATATTCATTCAAAAAGTGGTGAACCTTTTTCTTCTTTTTGATCTGAAACAAAAATAAATTTTTTTAATATTGGAAAAAAAAATTCAGTTACAATAGAGAATAATTATTTTGGTGCTCATGATTATTCCATAAAAATCATTAGTTAAAATTTTCATTAGATTTTATTAGATATAATTATTTTTTAGACGAATTTTTATTTTTTCCAATTAACATTTGACAGAATTACTTTTTAAACAAATTTTTACTTGCAATTTCGGACAAATGAAAATTTGACGTTTTAAGAATTCTGCCAAATAAAATTTCGGTGTCTAAGAATTCTGAATTCTGTAAAAAAAAAGAAATTCTGACAAATGTTAATTTGAAAAAATGAAAATTCATGTAAAAAATAATTAATTATTTTAAAATAATTAAAAAATTATTAATTAAAATAATTAATAATTGTTGAAAATGAAAATTCTCACGAATAATTTTTATGGAATAATCATGCACCCCATTATTTCAATAGTATAAAAATAGTTTTGTATTCTTCGTGAAAAATTGTGTAAAAAATTTCATTTCGTTATTTATCAGTTGCGATATTTTGAAAGTATCAATTTTCTAAAAATTGAATGATGTGACAATTGTTTTTTTTTTTTTGTCGTAAACAATATCCCTCGAGAAAACTCGAATTCTGAAAGTCTATTTATTCAGGCGATTTTGAATGCAGGTCAACTGAAATCCTATTTTTAAATTTTTTTCTTTTCTTTTTTTTTAATCTCTTTTCGGTTCTGTTTCGTCTATTTTTGCCCCTCTATAATCATTATTCCGAGTCTGCATTTGAGTAATCGGATTTTGATCACTTGGCAAGGGTGACTTTTTTTCTGCCTTGGTACAAAGTTAATGATCTAAGGATGACAATTCCTACCCTTGTTAATATCTACAAACTACTGTTAATGTTTACACGAAAATCTGTTTTTGTTTTTAATTTTTTTTTTTATCTTTATTAATGATTTCTACAAGTAGAAAAAATTCGAATATTAAAAATTCCATTTCTGATGCAGTTAAAAAAAAAAATTTGAATGAAAAATAAAATTTATTTTTATTTCAAATTTCAATTTTTAATTTAAAAGAAACTTTTTTTTATGATTAAACCAACCATTGGGGAAAAATATGTCAATATAGAAAAAGGGTCAGAATGTTTCGATAAAGTCCCTCCTTGACTATTTCTTTGTAATATCTCTCGAATAATTCATGATAAACTGTTTAAATGTCCTTCTGGGATTTCGAAGGCTAGTAAAAATTATTCTTTCATATTTTCTTTCATTTTTGGAACGATAATATTTTTCAGAGATATTTGAAGAAATCACACATATATATATTTATTATGGACCACTTTTGTATATTAGTGATGATTCGTTTCACTTGAAAAAGTTCTTTACTTATTGTCAATTGATACGATAAAAAAGAGGAATAATTGGATCATTGAATAAAAGTATATATAGAATTTTGATAAGTTTTCAAGTAAAAAATTAATTTTATTCACGATCGCGTAATATTTGCAATAGAAAGAGATAATTAAACGATATTATTCAAGGAGAAAATTTTTAAGTACAAATTCAATAGTAATAGTCGAACGATTTTGGCTTCGAGAAAAGTATCCATTAAAATTTCTTAAAGAAGTAGCTTTTCGTATATAGCTTCTAAATCTAGGGCAAATTATTCGGTGTTGAAACGTTTGGCGTCTATTCAACGTTTTTTTTTTTTCTTTTCTTTTCTTCTTTTTTTTCTGCAATTATGCCGCCACATTATTTGAGATTTTCTTCAATGCTTCAATAAACGGATCGGAAGAGATTTATTCCAATATCGTTTTTCGTTTTTGCTTTTTCTCACCTATCATCGGCAGTTATTTCTCCATTAGGTTTAATTTTCTTTTTGTTTTTTTTTTTTTTTTTTTATTTAGTAATAATTTTATTACTTTTTTTAGTAATAATTTTATTTTTATTATTTTATATATTGTTCATCTATTTTTGTTTTATTGTTTTATTTGTTGTTTAATTAAAAAATTTGATTCTATTTTACTGAAAGCGAGGAAAATTTGAAAAAAAAAATTTTTTTTGTACTTTTATTTTTTTTTCAACGAATTTTCTGATAGAGATAGCTGTGAAAAATTTCTAGTCCTTCGGGACAATATTCGATTAAACGCATTCCATTTTATTGAAAAACGTGATAGAATCTATTATTTGAGGCGATCCTTTTAGTTGTGTCTTGAAAATCGCATTTTTTTTTCAAGGTTCATCACAAATGTATTATGAGAATTGTAATTCGAAAAAAATTTCGAAATATTCCAATTTTTATTTGAAAATTATGAAAATGTTTTTGCAAAAGAATTGTAATTTTTGTGTTTAAAAAAAAAAATTATATTTTTTAACACACTGTAGTGATAAGAGATAAGGTTTTAACTAATCCTATATAGCATTATCGTAAAATCTCCTCTCTGTTGTTGTGAGTGTCAGTCAGTGTTCTTTCGTTTTTCCATTGATTTACTCGAGCCAATTGAATTTCTCATTTGTTTTCACAAACAGTTATAAAGTGTTTCAATTCAAGTGAATTTTTTTTCCCCCCCGGAAAACAATGAAATTTGTTTTTTAAATTGAAAATTAATTAATTGTTAGGAAATTGTATTTTTTTATTAGAAAACAGTAAATTGCAACTAAATGAATAAAAAATTTCGAAATAAAAAAAAAATTTAGTTTTTTTTTTTAATTTGAATGCTTTATTTGTTGAGGAATAAAAATTGATAATTAGTCGTTGATAGTGGGAAAATGTAATGAAGAGTAGTTCTTTTTTTTTTTTTTTAGTGTGTGTATTTTATTTTCAAGAGCCTCTGGAAACAGGTTTATTAGACGAAAGTGTACACACCAGGCAGGAACTTATGTCACCAAGCTTCCTGAATAGGGATGAATGGATGAATTGAATTTACGATGAGCGCGGAATTGCGGGATATCATGTTTAGGGTGGCGTTAATGTACGCCTATCCCATGCTGTGTCACGACCTGCTGGCTGCTTTCTTCCATAATAATAATAATAATGGCCAAGGTCTCTGGAGTCAGGTATTAATTAACTGAAAAAAAAAAAATTTTGTTATTAAAAAAGTTCATCAAAAAAAAAAAAAAAAAAAAAATACAGAAATACTCATATAAAAACTTCTTTAAATTTTTTTTTTCTTTTTAAAATTACTTCATTTACTTTTCAAGCCCCCACGCAAGTGAAGCCATATGGTTCACTGACTCGCTTCTTTGGCAAAATTAAATAATTAACATTTGACCAGAATTATCATCTAAGATGGAAATTAATTTCATAAACAAGACTTCAAATTTTTTACTCAATATTAACTAATTATTAAATTTTTTAATTAAATTTTTATTATTATTATTAATTAATAATAATATTATTTTTTTTATTGATTTTAATTTTTATCAATTAACTAATTATTAAATTTTTTAATTAAATTTTTATTATTATTATTAAATTATTATTAAAATATTATTAAAAACTTTTTTCTATCAGAATCACCAATCAATAAAAAATTAATTTTTTCGGACAAAAGGTCCCTTTTAACTGTCCAGGTCACAATTATTAAATTTTTTAATTAAATTTTTATTATTATTATTAATTAATAATAATATTATTTTTTTTTTATTTTAATTTTTATTATAGCAAATTTTGATTTCTTTATAAAATAAAAAATTCGTTAATTAAAGATTTTTTTTCATATTTTCTTACACTCGACTTGATATAGAAAAGTTTTTTTTTCTTTTTTCTATTTTTATTGATCTCAAGCTTCATTTTGTCTTAACGATAAAATCCTCGTTTAAAAAAAAAAAAAAAAAAAAAAATTTCCAAAGTATTATTATAACAAAAGTTTAAGTGAGAATTTCTGGTATGCCATATATAATATAACTTGAGAAAAGTTAAAAGTTGGAAAAGTTTTTTGATGAAAATATGACGCTGTGAGAATACTCAAGTTTAATTGCTTTCAATGAAATTGTAGACAATAGCTTTTGTTATTTAATATGGATAAAAAAAGGCCGACTATCGCTCCAGTTTCAAATTTCTTTAACATTTATATATATATTATGTATAGAAAATCCTTTACTGTAAATTGGATTAGTTTCTATAGACTTGCGAATGGCAGATGCTGCAATATTGGAAAAATATGTCGCCACACATGTATGCGGTTAAAACGTAAAACAGTCCGCTTGAGACATCAAATGTATCTCTGACTTATCGTTTCTTTTTTTTCTGATAACGTTTTAAAAAAATAATATTCTATTTACTCGACAGACAATAATTATTTGCTAAAAAGAGAGAGAGAGAGAGAGAAAATTATTACACGTTCAAATCTAATACATATTTAGTCTGAATTTAATTACATTTTTTTAATTTATTTTTAAATATTTATATTTTTTTATATTTTATTTATATTTAATATTATTTTTTTATTGTGATTTTAATTTTTTGTTACAAATATTGAAAATGTATTTTTTGTTTTTTTTTTAGTTTTCATCGCTTTTTGGAATTATTTTTACAAAATTGCCAAGGCTCTTTGACATCCTTGGGTGGAGGAAATTCGATTGACTCTTGGCTTGGAAAGTCATTTTTCGAATGTATTTTATTGCAATAAAAGACAAAGTAGAGAGAGAGAGAGAGAGAGAGAGAGAGAGAGAGAGAGAGAGAGAGAGAGAGAGAGAGAGAGAGAGCCAAACTTTGAGCTTTTACATAGCTTGCACTTTTAAATTTTCTATATTGCGTCAAACTGCAGTAACCAACTTCGTGAAATTTTCTCCCAAAATTCTCGAAAGACGAGTTTCTGTGTCCTAAAGTACTCTTATATCCTTGGCACATTCAATTCTGTGTTAAGTTTCTTCTTCTACACTTTTATACTTAAAATACAAAACGGAGATTTAAAGCTTGATTTTCTTCCGATTGCTCCAGTTTTTTTTTTCTAATGTCTATAAAAGCTTTTATTGTTCCTTTTTAGAATTGGAAAATTCGATTCGAAATTGAAAAAAATTTTCTTTTTTCATCTTTGGTTTTCTTTTCGAATAATTTAATTTTTTTGAAAAAATTGTTTTTGGCCTGTAAACACACTAATGAGTTTGGTCTTTTTATTTTCTTTTTTAATAAGGGAAAATTACTCGCGTTAAATATTTCCTGTAATTGAAAATAAATTACTCTTTACGCAGTGATTTTTTTTTTCCAAGTAAAAAATTTTCTATTATTTTACGAAAACAATTTTTCTCTATAATTTCGAAAAAAAAAGATTTTAATGCAGAGAAAAAAATTGTGAAAATTCTCTTTTTAATTTTTATAATCTTATGAACGTTAATAAACTATTGGGAACAATTTTAATTATTTTATGAGCTTGTGATAGGCAATTAAAATTAATGATCAAAATAATTTAGTGTGATGCCTAGGAGGAAATCTCAACCTCAAGTCCCTCAAGAAATCGAAGTAGATTAAATCATTAGAATTAATTATATATACAAATTGAAAATTCGTTTAGTATCGAATTTAATATTAGAAAATTCATTGTAAATATAGTTGAGTATAAACTGAAAATTATTCCAAAAATTTCATTTAAATTAGGTATTAATAATTAATAATTAAATAACAATATTTGTTTTTTTTATATTAAAATTATGATTTTTATTAAATGAGGAAAAAATCTCGAATGTTATATTAATGTTTGAATTTTAATTTTTAGGTTTCTTTTCAAGAATTACAAGAAGCCATCGTTTTCGACTTTTTCGTTTGAAAATTGTCGCAGAAAAAAAAAACTCGGAGTTGAAGTGATGACGGAAAATGACTTTCTTCTGACAAAAAAAAACTTGTCCAAGCATTTTGCTCATTAGCGACTGAAAAGTTTTGAGGTGTCGTTGTCAATGTCGTCGTCGTCGTCGTCGTCGTTATCACATTGTTGTGAGAAGTAGAGGACTGAATCTATAATATGTATAGGAGAATTCTCACCGCAGTGCAAAACTGTTTTGCAATTAAATACATACCGTGATCGTTTTCCTAATTTCAATATTGGAGAAGTGTCATCAGTAAAGATTAAAGGTGGAGGACGTAAAACGAAACCATTATGTACTTAAGTACTTTGAGACATACTCATGGAACCTACATAAAATATATATATATATATATATATAATATGAGTACTTGGCTTTCTGAAATTTAGGTTTGGATACGAATCTACGGAGCATGCGAATAACTCCACCCCTTTTTAGTGTTTTGTTCAACATATATATATATACAGCAATTTCTAGAGGTTTACACATTTATACAGGAATGATAAATTAGATTCTGTGAGCAAAACTCCTTGAGATCTTCTAATCTCATTTTGCTGATACAGACACGTTCTGATTTTAGAGATATATCTATTTTTTTCTTTTCAAATGAATATTTTCTTCATTATTATTTCACGTATATATTCTCTAAAATTCATGAAAATTATTCGAATTTTCTGTGTTTAGAAATTTACAATTTATTTAATTTCCATTGAACCGAATTAATTTTAGGGAATCTAATTTTATAAGGGAAAATTCCTATTTTTTTAAATGTTAAAATATTGAAACGAATTGTCAAATTTAATTGCACGAAATTTTTTATATCAGATTTAGTTTAATTTCAGGGAATCTAATTTTATAAGGCTATTTTTCTAAATGTTAAAATATTGAAACGAATTGTAAAATTTAATTGCACGGAATTTTTTTATATCAGATTCTCTAATTCAGTAAAATTTATATTTTACAAAATTTTTACATACATAATATTTAACAGAATTTTCGTATAGACTTTATTGTGATTCTATTTCAAAAATATTTACAAATTTCAAAATTATTTACAGTTACAAAATTTTAATTTTCCTTAATTCACATTTTCTCGTATTTTTCAACTGTTTTCGGTTTTTGAATTTTTTCCTTTTAACTTTTTTTTTTCGTCTCGTTATAATTTGCATATATTAAACCAATTAAAATTCAGAAAAAATTTACACGTCCTTTATAATTGTAATTTTTTTTTTTTTTTTTTTTTAATTTAATTATATCGTGAAATCTACACGTAATTATTATCTTTTGTTAGCTAACACGTTGAACGATTTTTTTTGATAGAATTTTGTCGTACTTTGCAAGATGAATTTCATCGAATTGAATTCAGTTCTATATCATTTATCAAGATAATGATTGATAAGATTCATTAATTCTTGACAGGTATTTCAGTGGTTTTGATTGTGTGAGAGAGAGAGAATTTCTATTCTCCTAAATCCAACACAATATGTATTGTCCTCAAAAAATATTTCCATTGAATTTAGTCTGTAAATTGAATTCAGTGATATAAATAATTAAAATAATTTATTTTAATTAGCGTATTATAATATAATTATTATAATTAAAGTGTAAATTAATTTTAATTTTAACTATATATTAAAATTATAATAATTTTTAAATTATAGTGTATAATAGTCATTTGTATTCGTAACAATGATTTTTTTCAAATATTTTGTTAAATATATTTATTTAAATAATTAAAATAAAATAATTTTTTTGTTACAGTTTTTCCAAATGTTCCACCAGCACCTGGAATGCCTTGTCAGGGGGAAGACAGTGAGTATTTTGAAATTATAATTAAAATAGCAATTTGCAATATATAGTGTCAGTGTAAATTGCAGTGTATAAGAAATAATTAACGAGCCGTGTAATTTCTCTCTTGCGTCACTACCGTTCTACTTTTTTTTTTTTTTTTTTTTTTTAAATTTCCTATCGTTAAATTTCGTGCATTGTTGAACCTCATTAAATGACATTATTGACATCTTCTACATGAATATTATTTTATTTCACCAAGACAGGGCTTTATTCCGGTATTGCCCGTGTAAATAAATAAATAAATAAACAATTATTTGTAATTTTACTCTTTTTTTTCAATATTAAATTTATAAAATTATTTGAAAAATTAAAATTAGAAAAAAACATTTTTCTTTAAATAATAAATTATATTTCTTTTTATTTTCTCATATTTTCAATAATAATAATTTAATTATTAAAATAATTGATTTTATTGAATATTTCTGAGAATTTTAATAACACTCAAATCTGGCGGCTATAATTTTCTTTTGTATTTGACATGGTATATTTTCATTAAATTCCCAAAATACATTCCTAGTGATAAATTCAAGAATTTCTTAATCATTCAGTTTACCAAATTTATAAGAAGTAGATTGAACAATGTTTGCGTGCTTTGGCAATGTCAGTAGTGATGATAATGATGATGTCAATAATAACATAAAAACGCCATGTATGAAGTCTTTAGAATTTTATTTTTATTCTTGACCTTCTTGTAAAATGACTCAGTGCTTTTTGATGTTCTAGCTGGTATCTTTTTTTTTTTTTTTTTTGTTTAATAATCATGCGACCTAGTTATATATATTTATTACTTATTCATATTATCTCTTGTGTGCTTGAATATAGTGTTCAAATATTAATGAATTTATTTCTATTCAGGGAGCATTTATAGACGAGGTGCTCGAAGATGGAGGAAACTTTATCGAGTGAATGGACACATATTTCAAGCAAAACGTTTTAACCGAGTAAGAAATTTTCTTTTTTTTCTTTTAATCTCAATTTTTTGAAATAATAAGTTTTTTTCCACTTTTCGATATATTGATATTACATAAATATTAAATCGTAAACAAGAAAAAAAAAAGTTTTTATTTCACTAGATTATGAAAAGTATATTGAATATTTTTATTTTCGTTTAGAAAAATTATTTATTTATTATAAAAATTAATTAAATTTATTTTAGAGAGCATCGTGTGCCTATTGTCACGACAGAATTTGGGGTCTAGGTAGACAAGGTTTCAAATGCATACAATGCAAGCTTTTGGTACACAAGAAATGTCACAAGGTGGTAAGATCGCCGTGCATCAGTCAACAGCAACAGCAGCAACCACATTTGGAACAACAGACGAGCGAGAGAAATGGTGAACAGCAGCAATTAGAATCACCTCAATCAAGTCCACCAACTCATCTTGAAGATGACACGACCGAGGCATCGACAATTGAGGATCACGCGTATCGCAATCGTAAGTAAAGTTTTTATATTTATTCTTTTTTTTCTGATTTGGCGAAAACCTTATACATCTGAAATTCAAAGCGAAAATTCAAATCATGACTTTTGTCTAGATCTGAAATTCAAATCTCTCACGGTTTGTGCATTTCACTGTTGTCGCTCAAACTTTGTTAAAGTTTAATAAATTATTTTCAATTCTATTAAGTAATTATTATTATATATAATAATAAAATGCTTGGTCTGTCCTTCTGTCCTAACTTGAAGTTGGTCTTTTCTGATTTCACGTGTTTTTTTGAATAGTAATCTTATGACGTGGTCAAATTTTGACAATTCTTTTTCTAATTTTTGCCAAATTTGCATAATTGTGTTTCCAAATTTCGGAATAAGTTTCTTTAAAATTCCAAATTCGAAAATTCAATTCACGAAGCTGAAGTACACAGAACGTTTACCAATGAAATTTTTTTTTAAAGTTGTATATTGATTCAAAAATTGTACAAAAAATTTATGATGAGAAAAAAGATGCGCCAGGAAATTTCGTACAAGATAGTAATTTGAAAAAAATTTATTTTTAAAAATTAATTTTTAAGGTACCAGGGGCCAACGAATACCTATTAAATATTAATTATAAAAACACAGGCCTCGAATCAACTTAAAGACACAAAAAAGTCGTTTTAGTTGATTTATATTCCCAAAAAAAAGTGGATTTGTTTTTTATTTTAACAAAAATATTTTACAGATTTTTAAATAAAAATTTTTTTTTTTAATAATAATCCTTTTCGAAGGGTTAAAGTTGAAATTTTTAGAAATAATTAAATTTCAAAAGATATTGTTAATTTTCAAACAATTATTAAATTTTACAGAACTAAAAATAATTTATCAAACAATTTTTGGAGAACATTTTTTAAATTTAATTGAATTTTCAAAGATTTAAAATTGAGATTTTTGAAATTAATTGAAACTTTAAGTGTTTTGTAATTAAAATTTTAGATGATTTCACTAAAAATTTATTAGAAAATGCGGACAAAATACAATAATTTGAAAATCATTTTTAATTGAAAAATGGTTTCAGATAGTTGAATTTTCAAAGAATATTTTTAAAATAGTTTAAAATAATTGAATTTCCTTAGAGTATTTTCGGTGGAAAATTTTAGAAATAATTAAATTTTAGATGCTTTTAAATTCAAATTTTTGAAAATTCATTTAATTTTGAATTCAAATTTTTGAGAATAATGAAATTTTATTTGATTTTAAATTTGGAAAATAATTGAATTTCAGTTCATTTTAAATTGAAAATTTTGGGAAATAATTGAATTTTAATTGTAATTTTGGATAATAATTTAAATTAAGTTCATTTTTGATTAAAAATTTGGATAATTAATTTTGAATAGAAATTTTAGAAAATAATTGAATTTTATTTCATTTTAAATTGAAAACTTGGTAAATAATTCAATTTTAAATTGAAAATTTTGAATAATTATTGGATTTTTAATTGATTTTGAATTAAAATTTCGGGTAATAATTGAATTTTAGTTTATTTTGAATTGAAAATTTTGGGAAATAATTGAATTTTAATTGTGATATATTTTTTTTAAATTATAAACAATTGTTAAATTTTATAAAAATTTTAATTAAAAAATAATTTTAGAAAATAATTGAATTTTATTTCATTTTAAATTGAAAACTTGGTAAATAATTAAATTTTAAATTGAAAATTTTGAATAATTATTGGATTTTTAATTGATTTTGAATTAAAATTTCGGGTAATAATTGAATTTTAGTTTATTTTGAATTGAAAATTTTAAAAAATAATTCAATTTTATTGTGATATTTCTTTTTTAATTATAAACAATTGTTAAATTTCATAAAAATTTTAATTGAAAAATAATTTTGATATAATTGAATTTGTGATGTATTTCATTAAAATTATTAAATATAATTAATTTAGTGAAGAATCATTTTAGTTCAAAATTTGTTAAATAATTGAATTGAAGAAGATCTGAAGAAGATCTACATTTTATACTAAAAAAAAATGTATTTTATTTACATTTTTTTTTCAAATGCAAAAAAAATGTCGCATTTTATTAAAATAAGTCGATAAAAGTCGTATTTTTGAAAAAAGTCGTATAATCCGAGGCCTGTAAACATATAATTTTCATTATTATCATTTAATATGTAATAATATTCTAATAAATTTAAATTATTATTGATAATATTAATTTTAATTTCTTTATAACAAACAATTACATACTCAATTTGGCGTTTAACTTTCCTAGTATTTAATATAATATTCTAATAAGTAATAATAAGAAAATTTTGAAATTAATTTAATTTTAAAAGTATTGATTGATAAAAATTTTGTATTTCTAAAATAATAGGAGCAGTCAGCGATGAAGGAGAGGAATTGGCGTTGGACGCAATGGCTGGCGCGGATGGTGCGGGTGATATGCAACGACAGTACTCATTAAATGATTTCGAACTCATTAGAGTAATTGGTCGTGGTTCATATGCAAAGGTCCTTATGGTTGAATTAAAACGTACGCGGCGAATTTATGCAATGAAAGTCATCAAAAAAGCATTGGTCACTGACGACGAGGACATTGATTGGGTACAAACGGAGAAACATGTTTTTGAAACTGCCTCGAATCATCCATTCCTCGTTGGCCTTCACTCGTGCTTCCAAACGCCGTCACGTTTATTTTTTGTCATTGAATTTGTACGCGGTGGCGATCTTATGTTTCACATGCAGAGGCAACGTCGTCTTCCAGAAGAGCACGCTCGATTTTATGCAGCTGAAATCAGTCTTGCCTTAAATTTCCTCCACGAAAAAGGTTTGTTTTTTTTTTTTTTTCAAATAAATTAAATTTTATTTTTTATTTTATAAAATTCTAATTTATTATTTAGGAATAATTTATCGTGATTTAAAATTGGACAATGTACTATTGGATCATGAGGGTCATGTGAAATTGACGGACTACGGTATGTGTAAGGAAGGTGTTAGAGAGGGCGATACAACGGCAACATTTTGTGGAACTCCAAATTATATTGCACCTGAGATATTGCGAGGCGAGGATTATGGTTTCTCGGTAGATTGGTGGGCGTTGGGTGTATTGTTATATGAAATGTTAGCAGGACGAAGTCCATTTGATATTGCTGGAGCATCAGAGAATCCCGATCAAAATACCGAGGATTATCTATTTCAAGTTATTCTACAAAAGACAATTCGAATTCCACGCTCGCTATCAGTGAAAGCGAGCTCCGTCCTTAAGGGCTTTCTCAGCAAAGATCCCGCGGAGAGACTTGGCTGCGGTCGTGGTCCAGCTGCTTTTCAAGATATTGTCGAACATCCCTTCTTTAAAGCTATCGATTGGGAAATGGTATGCTCATTGAGAGAAATTTTCTCATTTTTTTTTTTATTTTGCAATATTTTATCGTATTTATAATTTTTTTTTTTTGATTTTTTTCTCTCTTGACTTTTTCACCTACGAAAAGAATCGTTTCTCTTTTTTGTTTGTGAAAGATTTGTTATCTAAAAATGTTGAAATTATGTTCCAGTTGGAGCAAAAGCAGGTCACACCGCCTTATAAGCCGCGCTTGGATTCCGATCGCGATTTGGCAAATTTCCCACCCGAATTTACGGATGAACCAGTACATCTCACACCCGATGATCCGTAAGTTTTTTTTTCTTATTATTGAGGTACAAAAGAAAGGAGAACTTCTTTTATTTCTGCATATGATTTTAATCCAATTTTGTAATCATATTCATAATTATAATCTAATTGGAATTTATTTGATTAGAATTTTTAATTAAATTAAAATAATTAGAAATTAATTTCTGTTTTTAGTTAGAAAAAAAAATTATTTATTTTGAATTTAAAATTGTGATGATAAGTAAAAGTGGAATAAATATTAACTAAATTTCAATTTCCACAGGCGAGTTATAGATAAAATTGACCAAAGCGAGTTTGAAGGTTTTGAGTATGTGAATCCGTTACTAATGTCCCTTGAGGACTGTGTGTGACAAGAACAGCAAGCAGATTATGATGAACAACAAATTGTCCATTACGAGTTAGATCAGCAACAGCAGCAGCAACAACAACAACAGGAATTTCGACATTGTGACATGTACGATGTTAATAATGTGTACGAGCTGCGAGAGAGACTGGCTAGTATTCATTTTGAACCTTTTCCTGTTGTCAATTTGGACATTTACAGTCAAAATGAACATGACAATCTATTTGAAATGAGAAACTCCCACGAGAACGATAGTAATTACAACGAATATCGGCTGCCGCCACCTTTTCCTTTTCAATACGAAAGTCCACTCTATTCACGTTCAATCAGCATTGCCGATGATGTTTTTGATTCTGGCAATAATAACAATAACGCAGTGACAACACCCGGCTATGATGAAAACGATTATGATGACGTTGACGATGACGAAAATCCCAAAAAGGGAATTTTAAAACAAATGTTTTGCCTACCTTTAAATTAAACAATTTTTATTATATTGGAAACAAAGCCTACAAAATTGAGAAGTCGAAATTGTAATAAAAAATTTAATTAAAATTTTTTTTTACAATTCAAAATCTCTGAGTAGAATTAAAATTATCTCAATTGACAAAAGGCAAAATCACTGCAAAACCAGAAACACTTTATTCGCTCGAAAAGACGGTGGCAGCTAATTTGCGTTTGTAGTTTATTGTTATAATAATGAAAGTTCCTTACTCAAAATACATTTTCATGTATATATAAATTTAGAAGCCACTCAATCATGTTAAAAAAATTTAATATTAACCATATATTGTCAAATTGAAAAATCATTAGCCATCTTATTGAAAGATTTGTCGTTATATTGTCGGATTGAGAGATTAGTCATTCTCTAATGTCAAATTGAACAATGATAATTAATCACGTCAAAATTGAAAAATTATTAGCAATATAAAAAAAATATATTTGGCACAAATTAGAGAAATCTTCGAAAAATTAGGAAACTATTAATCGTATTGAAATGGTGTAATGTTAAGAAAAGAAAAAAAAATTCAAGCACTGGGTCTGCTTGTATTGTTGATCGTAAATTTATGTTATATAATCAAAATTGTGAATTGATGTTTTATATCTTGAACTCCAGTTGAAAGGGCGTTAATTCTTTTTTTTTTTTTTTTTTTTTTTTTTAAATACTTTGACCTTTCTTTGCTTGAAAAGTATGTCAAGTAAACTTTAAAAACATTTTCTTTTTTTTTTTTGTAAATTATTTTTTTATAAATATTTTTATTTTTCGTAAACATTTTATTTTTTGTATAAATACTTTTTTTTATTTTTCAATAAATAAACTGGATTCCCAAATTGGAATCTTAATTATAAAAAAATTGCTAACTTTTGCCGTAAAGACCCATAATTAAATTTGGCAAAAGATGAAAGAAAGACGCTTAGTTGTGAAACTTTTCAATCCAATATTATAAGAATAATAGTAAAAAATATATAAATATATATATATATATATATATACAAATTAACTTGGAATTGTATTGAGAACGTTAAATGAAGAATATGGCCGTTCAAAGTATTTTTATAAAGTCTAATTTACGTTTTAATTATTGATCATTCCAGAGATCTTATATCGATAGATATGATATTGTTCAAGTTCTATATTAAAAAAAAAAACATCATTATTATTGATATATTAAAATATCTATATTAATGAAAGAATATTAGTTCCTTGACGACGAAATGAAGTATATAAAGACAGCGATAAAACAAAAAAAAAAAAAAAGACAGAGAAACAATTAGTTACGTATAATATGTAAATAATTTAATTAGGGAATTATAGGAAAAGTGATTAAAGCATTTACTATGATATTCGTCGTGGGATATATTTTAAAATATAAGAAAGTGTCGAGTATATATCAAAGGTTTAAAAAGAAAAAAAAAATTGAAAAAATAAAATAGTACACACGGTGAAAGAAAAAATAGGCTCAAGCGATTTTGAAATTCGTCGCATATAACATGTATATAATAATAATAATATATGACAAAGATTCGAAAAATGTAGGTTTTCTAGGAAATTACCAATTAAGATTCTAAAAAATGAAACAGAAATTGCCATTTATGGCAAAAAAAAAAAAGTTTTACTCGCAGAGGCCTGATATTTCATAAGCCCATTTTAATATTACTCACATAACGACTTTAATTACTTAGATTGTACTTACCCAAGCTTCAAAACACAGAATTTGAAACAGAAAACAATTTTTCAAAGACGAATGTATTATATGAACATAGTTCAATGTATCCTATATTTAAGTTCTTTTTTTTTCTTTTTTTATTTATAATTTTTCCTTCAAGAAAAAAAATTTTATTTCTTAATTTGGAAAAATATTATTTTTATTTCCATATTTCTTTGGGAATTAAAGCAAAAAAAAAAAAAAAAAAAAATTCATAATATATCGACATTTTATTTTTCATTTAAAAAAAATTTTTTTTTCGCGTTTTGTATTTTCTTGTAAAAAAAAAAAATAATAATAATATTAATTTCAAAGCCGTTTCACATCTGTTTTAAGATCTGATATATTAGTTGAATGACCACAGATTGACAATTTCTTTCATTATTCATTACAAAAAACTTATAAAAGAATCTTCATTAATCTCATGTATTTCTGGTCTTCCAATCCATTTTACAATGTTATTTTTTTCTATATTGTATAAAGAAATTGAATAACGATTTTATATGATGGATTTATTTTTTATTATTAATATTATTATTATGATTGACATATTATATGATCCCCGTGACAATTTTGCCAAAGACGTGTCTACTGAGTCGTTTGGATTTAAATTATTGCTTTTTTAAAATCAGGAAATAAAAAATGAATCACATATAATGTTTAATTCTGACAATTTTTTTTTTTTTTTAATGAAAATTCAGTCGCTAATAAACATATTTAGGAGTGTGATATATGGTTTATTGAATTTACAAGAGTACGATATAATGTTGATAATATTATGATTTAGTATTTAACACAATATGTATTATTTTATACACAGCTCTTAAAAAAAAGAGTATATTTACTTTGCAGAGAAATAAACACTTTTAGGAAAAGAGTTATCTTTTTTTTTATTTATGAAATAATTGTTATTGTTTAAAAAAAAATGAATTATGCTTTATAAAAATGCAACTAATTTTATATTTAGTGATAAATATGATTTGAAAAAAAAAATTCAATTGAAAAATTGAATCAACAAGGACCAATGAGATTTTTTTTTTTTTAACAACTTGTTACAGTCGTTTGAAATTTTATTAGAGGCAAGGTTTACAAAATACCTTTTACGCAAATGAGTTTTAATGGAAATATTAAACTAGGCTTTTTTTTTCTAATTTCCTATTAGAATCAACACTCATATGCGAAAACTACAAGATCGCGTGACGGGATAAAGCAATGCACTTGGGATAGTTCCATAGTTACATGTAACTTTTGCATAAATGAAAACAAGTCCTTGGCCTAAAAAAATACAATAATAATCTGTTTTCAAAAGGAAGAGACATTTTGAACCATTTAAATGTAATTATCGGTTTTAATGGAATTCAATTTTTATTTTTATTTATTTATTATTTTTTATTTATTCTTTTTTTTTATTTTATTTATTCTTTTTTTTTTATTTTATTTTTTTTATTTTCAATTTTTTAAATATAATATAACAATGACAATATTTATAAATTTAAATTATTTATTATTTATTTTTAATTTAATTGTTTTTATTATTTTTCAGATACAATTTTTTATAATTAAATTTTTTTTTCTAATTTTATACTAATTAATCATTTCATTTTAGCTTTATAAACAAAGGATTTTAAAATGAACTATGAATCACTTAATTTTTTTTTTTTTTTTGTAGAAAGTTCCCCGCGTGGAAATGCAAAACGTGATAATATTTCACACCCGTTGATAAGATAAATGATTCACAAAATTCTTATAACATTGTTATCTTGTTGTTACTAAAGAGTACATGAAATTAAACCAATGTTGACATCATTATATCCTTGATTTTACAGCATAAAATTTTTAATTAAAAATAATTCAATTTCAATTAAATAATTACATTATTAATTAATTTAATTAAATTAATTATTAATTTAATATATATATATATATATATATATAAACATTTTAATTTTTCTTTTTTCAAGAGAGATACATAAAAATGATAAATAAAAAAAAAATAGTAAAGAAAACAATTATAGTATTGTTTTTTAATAATAAGAGAATTTCATATTTTGAACAGGAATAAGAAGCGCGCGCATTATTTTAATTGGTGGAGGGGGATTCGATAGTTATATTGAATCGACCGCGCCAAGTTACTGCTACCAACTGTCACCTGCAGATGCCAGTTAGTCTCGCAGTCAACGTTCGCGAAGCGTCGTGTGGTCATAGTTTTTTTCACTCTCTTCTCAGCTCATCAACCCCTTCGATGGTTTTTGTTATATATGGTGAATCCAGTTTTTAAATTCTTGCAAAAAAATTCATCGGTTGACGATGTATCATTTGAATGAGTGTACACGGAAGATGTGTCAAGCTCGATGAATGCTTATGAAACCGGGTCCAGTGTCAGTCAAAGCGACGCGCTTCCAAGTCGCCCTTTCGCCGTCTCAATTCCTCTCACCGCTGCTACTAGTACGAAATCCGGAAGCCTTCCATGCATATATCGTCAACATCAATAAATTCTCTCATTCAATTAAAAAATTTATCTTTTTTTAACACGGGCAAATTTCACAGTGACGATCAACGGGGTGTGTGTGTGCCTCGCCCCCCCGGTGTCAAATTATTCATATCAACGACGCGTAAACCGGCTTTACGTGGATGTGCACTGAATCACGGGGTCGCAATGTATCGGAGAAGAAAATTCACCGCGAGGATGAGGATCAATCCCGATGGACCTCGATAATAAGGATATGTCAAAAATTTTCAATAGGGATGACAGAGCTACATAACCCCACCGGCCGGTTAAAAAGTAGCATAATGATCATCCTATGAGAATAAAATTTAGAAATATCGAAAGATGAACTACATGCTCTGTACCCTGTATGGGTTCGCGATATTTTTTATGATATTTTGGCTGTCAATGTGGTTAGTGCATATTATTGCGTTGGTGGCCGGTCGTTGGAAGCTGCATCGAAAAGTTGCGCAAGTGCCGATCTACGAAACGCCCTGGCCCGGTGTTTCAATAATCAAACCGCTCATGGGTGTTGATCCAAATTTATTTGGAAATTTGGAAACGTTCTTCCTATTGGAATATCCAATTTATGAGCTTCTTTTTTGTGTTGAAGACGAAACAGATCCAGTGTTGATGCTTGTTTATAAATTAATGGAAAAATATCCTCAAGTTGACGCGAGATCATTTGTCGGTGGTTGTGGTGTTGGTGTTAATCCAAAGATCAACAATATGCAACCGGCATATGAGGCATCAAAATATGATTTAATATTAATTAGTGATAGTGGTATTAGAATGAAGGAGGATACATTACAGGATATGGTGAATTATATGACTGATAATGTTGCATTGGTGCACCAAATGCCTTTTACATGTGACAGAGAGGGTTTTGCGTCTGTTTATGAGAAAATATTTTTCGGTACAGTACAATCGCGAATGTATTTGGCAGCTGATTTATTAAGGATCAATTGTCATACGGGTATGTCGGCACTATTGAGAAAGGCACCGTTAGAAGAGGTTGGAGGTTTAAAGAGTTTTGGTGTTTATTTAGCGGAGGATTTTTTTTATGCTAAATCATTGACAACTCGTGGTTGGAGAATAACAGTGTGTTCGCAACCAGCAATGCAAAATAGTGGACACTGTGAAGTACAATCGTTTCAAGCAAGATTGAGACGATGGGCAAAACTTCGAGTTGCAATGCTTCCATTGACTATTGTACTTGAGCCCCTTAGCGAGTGTTTAGTTCTTGGCGCTTGCACTTCCTGGGCAGCTAGTGTACTTTTTGAATGGGATTCCCTTGTTTTTTATTTGGTTCATATACTTTTGTGGTTTATGTTTGACTGGACCATGTTGTGTGTTGTGCAAAATGGACCTTTACCCTTTAATAAACTTGAGTTTATTATCGCTTGGCTACTCAGTGAAACCACGAGGTAAAATTATTATTATTATTATTTTTTTTCAAATGCATGCATTTTTAAATTCCTCCAAATTAAATAATTTCTTAATAAACTTTGTCGAGTAAATCGATTTATTATTTTGTTGATTCACCTTGAGAATTTAACTATACAGCTTCAATGTGTGTATATATATTGTGAACAAACTGACCATCTAAAAATGAAATCAATGTTTGGCTAAAGAAAAGTGAAATTAGAAACAACGATAGAAATATTAATTACTAACTTATTACTTTGTAAACAATGACGCAGTGGAATTTTTTTCTTTTTTTTTTTACATTAATATTTATGTGGAAAATATTAATAAATTATATAAATGATCAATTTGAGGCAAATTTTTCTTTTATTTAATTATGATTGCAATTTATAGTGTGTGTACTAAGATTTAAGAAAACAATTTTCATTTATTATCTTTTAATCTATTTTTAATAGAAACATTTTATTTGTATAATAGACTCCGAATTATTTTCACAACTATGTATTTTAAAACAATATACAATATTGTACTATCATTATAATTTTTATTCTAATTTAATAAAAAAAAAGGTTAAATTGATATTAATTATCGTAGAGTAAATAATTATGAATATATTAAAAATATGTAACTAAAAGTTCAATATCAACTGAAATTAAATTCTTCGGGTAATAAAATTGAAAACTATTTTGTTTTTCAAGTTCCAAGGGTTCATTTAAATGAAACTTTTTGTTTGAATTGAAAAACATTTTCGTAAATTACTTTTGGCTTTTGAATATATATATGAAAAGATGAATTTATTTTCATTTTTAATATAGTAAAAAGTAAATAAATTTTTTGTGGACGTTCAATTTTAAGTTTTCCAATAAAATTATTAGTTATTTCGGAAATGGAAAATATTTTTATGAAAAGATATTTAAAATTTTTTTTTGATGAACTAAAAGTTTTGAACGTTTATATGAACGAAATTTTTTTTTTGCAACTTCTTTAAGTACAAATTTTATTACAAAATATTGTTCAAAATATGTATCTAAAAAGAAGTTATTAATTTAATAATTATTTAATTTACTGTTTTATTTAACATAGTCATTATAATTTTTTAATAATTTATAGATTGAAAAAAAATATTTCGTTCATATGAACGTTCAAAACTTTCGGCTAATTTATTTTTTTGAAAATTGTCCAATCTTGTTTTATGTTACCACATATAAAATTGTGAAGATTGTGCTTTATATTTTTTATATACTCTTAAAGTGAATTGAAATTAAATGTTTAATTTTTATTTTCAGACCATATTTATTCCTGCAGGCAGTTCTTGATCCTTTGATTCAATGGAGATCGCGGGTCTACAAATTAAAATGGGGTGGAATTGCCGAGGAAGTTAAAGCTAAAGTCAAATACTGAAAAAGAAGAATCAAGTACTTAAGCGCATTCATAAGAAAATGTATGTATATGTACATATATAAAATCACATATATATATATGATGCATATTACATACGTAGTTGAAGAAAACAGTAAACCAAAAAAAAAAAAAAAAAAAAAACAGAAAAAGTTTCATACATAATGTGTAAAGAATCTCAAATACCAGATCATATTTAAGAACCGTAATTGTCAACAAAAAAAATTATTGTGGTATGCTCAAAAAAATTCTAGTGCAATGGATCGAGAAAAAACTGTTTCTACCTATAATAGGTAATATTTAAATATTAATTCAAATCTAGGAATGTTATTTATTTCCAATATAGTTATTTCATGCCTGAATCTTGCTATATCAGTCTAGAAAGAGAAAGAGAGAAAGAAAAAAAAAGTACATAACAACCAAAAAAAAAAGGATAGTGGGAAATTTTTCTTTTTAATCCTTGTGTTCAAAAAATAATGAAAAAAATAATAATTTAATAGTGAATTTTACAAAGAGCACAAAATAGTCGCAGAAAATGAAAAAAAAAAAATGAGAAGATTGTAAGGGGAAACATTCACAGTGCTCAAATCAGTCAAAATTATTTTTATTATTATATAATTATTATTATTATAACAATTATTATTATTATTATCTAGTTTTTAGTTAGATATTTAGATAGGTCAATGTTAGGTAAAGAAAGTAGGTTTGAGACAATGTCATCGGCTTGACTTGAAATGAAAAATTAATTCGTCCCTCACGTGTGGTAAAGTTTATTATAAATTGAAATTTCCTTTAATTATTATGTCCATCGTATAAAAAATTAAAAAAAAGAAATTTAATTCCTAAAAATATGAATGTATTTTTAAGTTTGTAAAATTTAAAATTAGATAATTGAAAATTAATTATTTAAAAACTATTAAAATCATTATTTGTCGCGATAAAGTGTATTATAATTTAATTATCTCGTTAAATTCGTTAATTATTAATTAAATGAATTTGTCGTTTTTTATTGGGATAATTGTTTACTTTTCCTTGAAGCATTAATTTTGTTAATTACTGAAATAGTCCAATTATGTATATTGATTATAAAACTGTAAATTAGAAATGTCAATAATTAAAATAATTATAAACTTTAATTGAATTAATTAAAATTTTTTTTTTCTTATTAAAAAATAAATATTTTTATCTAAAATTCAAAGAGTATTAAAAAAAGAGACGAATTATTTTTTCTGTTAATTAAAAAAAAAAAAAAAAAGTGCATTGCACTTTGTCGATGCATCAAACCATCTGCCTATGACAATGAAATATCACTTCGGATGTACCTCATTTCTAATTAGATTTTTAGAATTAGGCGTATATAATATATATATATAGGGTAAGGGAATAATGAATTCGAAAAAAAACTCAATTGTGATTATCTTGACGAGAGCAGCTGAACAGATACTCGAGCAAATAGGTATTGTAAAGTGATTTTAGTACAGCGTTATATTCCTATATATATATATTTTTTTTTTCTCGACGCGAGGGCTGGTTTTACTACAAATTTAAAATGGAAACGAGGTCGAAACTTGCTTCGAAACACCGAGATATTGTTGTAAACGAGAACAAATTACCAAGAAGATTAAAATCTATTTTAAAAGTCTCTTTTTTTTCAAGAATCGTGCGCTTTTAGGCTTAAAATACGTATTAGTTTAAACGGGACTTTTTGCATTATCAGATATTTTCAATTCGATTTTCTCTTATTGTTAAACTCGGGATTTTTTTTTTCTGTAGCTTTCGAATAATATACGAACAAATTTTCCGGTGAATTCGCGCGATAACCCGGAATTTCGTTCTTATCAGTGACTAAAATTTTAATTCTAATAAAAAAAAAATGAATTAAATTAAAATTGCTATTACAATTAAAATTATAAATTTCAATTTAAGAAAATGAGTTTTATATAGAATAAAATAATTGAATTTTTTTTTTGGTTGAAATTTTAGTCACTGATTTTATGATATTTCCTTGCACAATTGACGTCACACAAGTGATTCGATCTTCCTCTTCGAGTGACCTTTTTTTTCTCAAGGCATCTTGGGTACATACCTTTTTGGCCGACACTTAACCCTTGTCTCGACTTTTGATTCTTATTATAACGCTCGTCAACCTCCACTTTTTTTTTTCTTTTTTTTTTCTTATACACATTGTCATTCACGAACTTCCCTTCGTGCACCTACGGGACCTTTGAAAAGTGGCTTCCTCTACTTCTTGACTTAATAATGGCAACAACATTCGCGACACTCGCTTTTTTACAAGTGTCCTTAAAGGTTTGCTACCATCCTTGAAATTTGAGTGTCTGGAAACCAGACGCGTCTAAGCTTTTCCAAATTATAATTTTTTTTTCCCCACATTTTTTTCTCAATTCACCGAAACGAACGAAAAATATAAAATTTTTTTTTTTTTTTTTTTTTAAGTAGAAAATTTAATATTTTTTGAAATAAAAATTATATCAGATTGACGTAAGATTTTATATAAATTTTCTTATCGGAGATAAAATTTTTGCTCTACATTCTGATGAATGCAATGAACTTTTCTATTGTTGAAAAAAAAAATTCGAAATGAAGTGCAATATAAATATATGTTTGAAATTAAATACAAACCAAGTTGTATCCGATTACGAGACATTGTACCGCAGTAACGTTCAAAGAAATATCTTCAAGTTACAAAAAATAATATTCAAATATAATGTTGCGAAATTTTCTAAACAAATATATCATTGTAGGAAAAAAAACTTGATAAGAAACACATTTTTTTTTTTTTTTTTTTTTTCTATTTATTTAACATAAAAAAAGTAATCTCAAATCAAAAAATAAATAAAAGATTTGTGATTATTGATTTCGTTCGTTTCGATAATTGAAAGAAAAATGATTTTTTTTTCTTAAAAAGAAATCAGCAAAAAATATCAAATTTATAATCGATAACGTTTTTTATCGCATGGAAATATTTAATTTTTATCTATACACTATTTTTATTTCACTTAAACGATTTAGGCAAAATTTCGAAAAAAATATCAACGCGTTTATCAAAAAAAAAAAAAAAAACAAGGCACTTGTATCGATATTTATAAGGAACACGCGTACCTTAAAAAAAAAATTTTGTACAGTTATATTAATTGCAAATGTAAATAAACATTAAAAACGCTCTTTAGTAATTTAATTTAATTCCGGCGATTGAGGAAGCGATTTTATTTTTTTAAGAATCGAACATCAAGAATTTAAAATTTTTTTTTCTCTTCGAAGTTTATGGATTTTTGTTTTACGATCTTCACCATATTTATGATTAATTTTTATCTAGTTTCTTTTTTAGGAAAAATACGAAAAAAAATATATAGATTTTGTTTTAATTTATATAAATTGTTTTTTTTATATATATATATATATATTTTACGTTACTGCCACTGATTGTGAAGTCAAATTAATTTTAGCTGCTCTATTAGTTATATTAATGTTTCTCAATGCAAAGTATTTTCTTGCCAAGATTCTCAAATTTGTTTTTAAAGCCTTGGAGAAAGCAGTGAAATTATAATTTTTTTGGGTATTCCTCGCCGAGATGAAATTTTTTTTTTTTTTTTTATAAAATTTTTGTTATTTTCAATGTCTTATAAAAGATATTTGAAAATTAAGTAACACCAATGGTGGAGAATTTTACAATTTATATTTAAAAATTTAGATGCTAATAAATTTTCACTATTAAAGCTTTTGACAGATTTACAAACAGATCTGAATGACTTGGAACATTTTTTGTGGCAAAAAAAAAAAAAAAAAAAAAAATTGTAAAAATATAAAACCTTTTTGAATGTTATATTCAAGCATACCTATATAATGAGAATTTTTTCTTAAATTTTAAAAAATAGCTTTTTTGCTACAAATAGATTTTTTTTTTTTTTTTGCAACTTTCATATCGTTTTCGATCGAACGCGATTCGTACAATCTCGTACCATCTATGAAATATGTAAATCGTCACGATATGAGAAAATGTGCAAAAAAAAAAAAAAGAAAAAAAAAATTAAACTTGCGAATTTTCGACCAAATATATATTTATTAAGGAACATTTTCTCATTTAAATAGAGTCAAAACTGAATTATTTTTTTTTTTTTCTAAATGAGAAATGAATTAATTTTTTTTAATTAAGAAAAAGCGAAATATTTTTTTTATTTCAAAAAAATGAGAGGGAGAAAATGAAGATTGGCTTGTTTTTTTTCGATTATTTATATCGTGTTGCAATATAGCAGGTGTTATTCTAATTAAAACACGTGTTCAATATATTAACTATTTTGCAGTGCAAAGTAATTTTCTCGACACTTGCAAAAAATTATTTTTATTAAAAAAATGGGGTCATAAAATTCATTTCTCCTTTAAAAAAAAATAATAATAATAACAATAAAATTGACACGAGCTTTTAAATTATATGTATTTAATATAGATATATCTAGAGGTTTTATCGCTTCTCGGCGAATTATATATTGTGTATTATATAGGTATGCAAAAATGTTTTCATCATTTGTACATAATCATGTAATGGCGAATTATTTCATCGATTTTTATTTCACCTCACGAATATTCGTGAAGATAAATTATTACAACATAAAATGCATATATATATATATATATATATATATATATATATATATATAAATAAGTGAGAATGTCCGGTTTTAGAATATACGAAAACTTTCCTAATTTAATCCGCTTTGTATGAAAAAAAAAAAAAAAAATATTTAAAATATTAAGACATGACGTATAGCTAATTATTATTCTCTCGTAAACAAATAAGTATGGTATAGACAATTATTAATTATAAAAAAATATTGTATAATTATTAAAAAAAATCTTCATTAACAAGGGCTGTCTTTTTTGATTTTTTTTTTTTTTTTTTTTAAGTGTGATTGTTAGACAATTATTAATTATAAAAAAATATTGTATAATTATTAAAAAAAATCTTCATTAACAAGGGCTGTCTTTTTTGATTTTTTTTTTTTTTTTTTTTAAGTGTGATTGTTAGACTATAAGCTGAAGTATATTGTGTATACTTGAAAGTGGCCAAGCAAAAAAGCAGCTGTGATCAGCATTACATAGATTTCTGCGAGTTCCAAAAAATTTTTATTTTTTTTCGAAAATTCTTTTTAATCTTTTAATATTTATAATATTTATTAATATATTAATATATTTATAATATATTTAATATATATATTAAAATTCAACGTAATCGATCTGTTTTTTTCAAAAAAAAAAAAAAAAAAAAACCAGTTTCCGATGACATGAAAATGATAAAAACAAGGCAGAAGATATAACTAATTTCATTGTGTTATCAAAGTTTATTATTTTAACGACAAAAAGCAAATGATAAAAAAAGCGTGTCATTTGCATTTAAAAAAAAAAAAATATATTTCCTTATTTTCTAATTATTGAAAATAATTATATGACGTCAAAATTTTGTTCTATCTTTAATAATATAGAGAAAATGGAATTTCATTTGTAATAGAGAAATTAAATTTTTAAAAAATATTCAATTTGAAGGAAAAAAAATTTATGGAAATAAATTTTAAATAAATTACATTTTTTTTTGTTCTTTTATCTCACACAATTAATAAGCGAAAAAAAAAATTATTTTTAAAAATATTTTTTATTCATTTAGTAAATTTAATAAAATACTTTTTTTTTTTTATTGAAAATATCGAGTGAAAATTTACTGATTAGTAATAATTATCCTTGATCTTATTTTATACGAGGAGTTTCTTTAACGCATTATATTGAGAACATAATTTTGTTTGCTTTTAGTTTTTCTAGCCAATCCATTATAGAGTTTTGTACATTTATAGTCAGTCACTTTCTGAGAATGCTTTTAGTCAAATTAAAGCCATAGATACAAATTTTCATTCAGAAAAAAAAAAAAATGACGTGCCATTATTTGAATGAAGTTTGTAACCAATATTAAATTATTGTGATAGTATTGATGTTACTTAATTTAATCTAATCGTTTTTAAACTATACATGCGATTCTCACGTGGGATGCTGCGGATATATTATATTTATCGGGAAAAGTACCACCAAGTTGAATTTAGATTCTAGTTTAGATTACAATATTTAAATAATATTATTACTTCGTTCAAAGAAGCAAAGTCATATTTATAATAATATTTTTCAATATTTAAAAATAAAAATTATTTTTTAATACAAAAAAAAAAAAAAATCTCTTTTATTTTTTTCTAATTTTAAACATGATTTATTTTAAAATCAGTGTTTAGTCATATCTTTTGTCTGGTTTTTAAACATTTTTGACTTTTTAATTTTTTTTTTTATCTGTTTAGTTTATCTTTTTAATATTTATTTTTCAAACTTGTACTGGAATATGGGAAATTTTTGTATGTGTCATTGGAAATTATAGTTTACTTTGAAATTATTATTGTTTAAAAAAATTACACAACTTTTTAATCTCAAGTTATTATTAGATTCAGAATTTTCAAACCTCTGCTCGTTTTTAATGTAATTGAATTTTAATTTTAATTTTAATTAATTATTATTTTTGATTTTGCAATTTTTTGTCAAATATTCTGTTATTAATTTAAATTATCTTTTTTCTATCGATAAAAATTAATAATAATAATAATAGAAACAATATTTTCTATTTTTCATTAAAAAAAAATTTAGTTGGTTAAAAAAATTAAAAATTAAAAAAAAATGTATTTCGCTGAAAATAGTTTGCAATAAAAATATCTTGTAAACATTTTGTTACGATGCGAAGCCTTAAAGTATCGAGACTCATTTGAAAAGTCACTTAACACCAGTCTGATAAATTGGATTAAAATAAGGAAATCGTTGGAATAGTTGACTCGAACGTAATAGGAAAACTTATTCTCGTTAAGTTTTACAAACGATCGACTTTTCTCTCACTCTTCGAAATTAAATCTTCATTTATTCTAAAACTCTTAACTATTAATTTATTTAATATCAAATTTTGTAAATTTTTAAACATTTTTATTAAAAAAAAAAAAAATTTCCTAATTAAATTAATAACAGAATATTTCAAAAAAAAAAAATTGTTTAATTAATTTTTTTACGATTAAATAATTAAAATAGTTAAATTTTTATTTTAATTAAATAAATAAATAAAATAATAATTAAATTAATAATTATAAGTAAATTAATAATTAATTCAAATAAAAATGTTAAATATGTTTGATAATAATTTTTTATATAATAAATGTAATTGAAAAATGAAATTTTTTGAAAGAATGAAACATATCAAAAATTATATTGTATATTGCATGTGTGGTGAATTTGATTTATTTTCTCTAATTTGAAATGAAATATTCACATTTTTTTTTTTTGGATTGATCGCTTAAGTCTATTAGACTGTCACTATGACCATTAAATTATCAAATTTCCTCAATTGAATTCTCTGGGCAGTATATGTCAATATTGAATTTAATATTGTCGGTGAATGACCGACTCAACAACTAGTCAATTGCTTAATTTAAAAAAGCTCGTGCTTGTATAAATTCGCGAATTCTATTATTAAATATTAATAATAAATATTGATTTTCTGGATAAATAAATCGATTCATTTTTCGCCAATGAAAAAAAAATTTTCTATTTTACACTTGAGAAATAATTAATAATGAATTATTAATATTGGTTAATTAATTAATCAATATTTTATGAAATTAGGAATTAAATTATAAAATTTTAATTCCAAAAATTAATTTTTCCATTTATTTTTAATTTATAGTTAATTGTAATTTTAAATCTTAATTTAAATTTTAATTGAACATGGTAAATTACTGCGTTAAATTTATTGAGGATTTTTTTTTTTTATCAAAAAAGCATATCAAATATTATTGAAAATAAGATCAAATTTAATTAATAATAAAAAAAAAGTTTTCCAATTAAAATGTACTTTTAATTACAAAAAAACTTATTGGCTTCTATTGATGAAATTTTTTTTTATTTTTTATTTAAACATGAACATTCCACTGTCATCAGGGAAAGTTAAATAATTAAATAGGAAATGTAAATTTTTTGTAAAAGCAGTTAATTAGCTATAAAATGTAATTTAATTAATTTTATTAAATTAAATTAATTAATTTAATAATTTAAAATTAATATGTTTTTAATAATTTAAATTTGAAAAAAATGTAAATTCAAAATATTAATTAAAAAAATTCGAAAATTAATATTTTCGAAATTAATATAATTAAAGATAAAATTTGTAAAAAGTGAATGGACTCGCAGAAATCAATTTAAAAAAAAAGAGGATAGCGAACTAATTAGTTCACAGATGTTTAGATTTAACGTAGAATAATTACCATACCGTACTTATAGAATCACGAAAAAAAAAATGCCAACTTACGATTTATTGTATATCTAATATTTAAAAAAAAAAAAGAAAAAGAAAAAGAAAACGAAGAGAGCCGGATTGAGTGTGAAAAAGAAATAAAAATAATGAATAATGATTTTTGAAATTAATTGCGATATTTTTCATTCTTGTATTTGGAAGAAATTTTTCTACTATATATGTGTATGTGTATTTGTGAGCGAGAAGGCAGAGGCCTATACGACTTATTTGTGAAAAAATGAATTTTTTGTTCTTTCGAGAGCAAGAGAGAGAAAGCGAAAAATTATTCTAGAGAGAGAGAGAAAGAGATAAAAAATTAAACGTTTTTTATACCAGTTTTGCTATTGTTTTTTATTGAAAAATTATAAGAGACAAGCGAGACTGTCCTTGGAAAAAGTAAAATGATTCTCTTTTAATTTTATAATCGACACTTTCATGTTTCTCTATGACTAAATATAGTTTCGTCTTGTCATTTCCATTAAAAAAAAGAAAAAAAAAAAAGAAAAAGAAAAATACGTTGTGATAATTTAAAATTCACTAAAATGTTCTTTTTTGTAAATAAAATATGATTTTCTATTTTTTTATTTTACGTCTTTTCTTCTTTCTCCTGTTTTTAATAAAAAAAAAGACAAAAAATTGTCTTCCTGAAGAAAAACAAAATAATTACATATAATTTTACCCCCCTCCATATATATTATTATATATTTAATTATCATTTATCAAATAAATTTCTTGAAACAATGAATTAAGAAGTTTATTTATTGATGGAAATTATTATTTATTTAATGACTTAAAAAAGGGAGTCAGAGATTAATTAAATAATTGCAATGAAGTGCAGTGGGCGCGCCTCTTTAATTTTTTTAAAACGTTTTAAGAACAATTGTTCAAATTAGTTACAATTCAGTATTATTGTCTTTCGCGGTAAATTTTATTATTTTTCTTTACTTTTATTAAAAAAAAAAAAAAATATATTTTTTCATAAGAAAATTTACATTTCACTGATTTGTCATTTTTATAAAAATACTTTTTGCCTTGAACTTGAAAGAGGTTCGAGACGAGTAGAAATAAATAATAATAAAAAAATTTTGAAACAAAGGAAATAAAAGGTATTTTTTTTTTATATAAAAAATTAGGTAAATATAATTTTTTATTAAAGGGGAATTTTTGTTTCACGATTCTAAATATATAAATATATTTTTTTAAATATATAGTATTTATATATATATTATTATATATTATTATTATTATTATTATTATTTATATATATTATTTTTTTTTTAAGATATTGATACAAAATTTGTATATTCTTTTTATGGGAATTAGATGAGATCTCGAACTTGGGGATTTAATAGTTTTTTTATTATAATCCATTTTTTTTTTTTGTTATCGAGACTGCAACCTACATTTTTGAATTTAAATGTTCAACATCACGTCCTACACTAAGTGGTTCTGCTTTAGTGAATTTAAATGCACAGACACGTTACTAATGTCGTTTAATTTGCGACTCTCTGGGAACGCGCCAACGCGCGTCATCGTTTTAACACCTGCCTCAAGGTTGAAAATTGATCCTCCTTCAATGTATAACGATAATTAATAAAGTCAAATCATGAAAATAATATTTAATAATTTCTGTGTGTGCAATTTGAAAATTTTTAAATTAGACAATTTTTCTCTATAACTTGAAAATGATTCAAACTATTCATAAAAAAAAAAAAATTCCCATTTGATATAAAAATTAAATTTTTCAAAAAAATAATAAAATAAAAAAATATATTCATACCTCTGGAACAGCGAGATATTTTTGGAATATATTTCACTAGAGGAAAACTATTTCTGTTTTAGTGAAACATATCGCTGTTCTAGGTGAAGATTTTTTTTAACCTGTATAGAAATGATTTATTTGAACCAAATAAAATATATTTGAGTTAAATAAACGTATATTTGTCAGAAATAAATTTTTCTTTGGCTCAAATAAATTTTTTATTTGTCAGAAATAAAGTTTTCTTTGTCTCAAATAAATTTTTTATTTCAATGAAATGAAATATATTTGCAACAAATAAATGAGTTAGTAGACTCGGAGACAAATATGTATACCATTTCTCTGAGTGATAATAAAAATTTTAAAATTAGAATTTTTTTTTTAATTTATTAAAAATAAAAAAATGAAAAATTCGAGAGGAAACTTTAAGGTAAATTTTCAAAAAAAAAATATATATATAAAGCAAAATTTAAATTGCCAAAATAATAAAAAAAAAAAATAAAAAAATCTTGATTTATAAAATTTTTGTTTCGCAGGCTGTGCCGAGTTTATAAGCTTCCGTATACGGACCGCGGCTGAAGGGCATTTATCGATCCAAGCGGCCTTTTTTACAACACAAAACATACCACTGCAGTTTTAATTTCACTTAATAAAACGTAAAATAAAGTTATTTTTTCAAGTACTCTTAAAATTTCTTTATTCAAAATAAAGAAAACCAAGAATTTCGAGTTTTATTTTCATTATTATATTTTGAAGTAACAAAAAAAATTTTTTTTTTTCTAACATTAATGGCAATAAAAATTGAAGATATTATATTACTTCATGTAATAATCAAATTTATTTTTTTATTCAGAAGTTTGTACATAAAAACCAATATGAAGAAAAAAGTATAAAAAAAATTGAGGTAAATTTAATTTTTTCGGTAATTATTTTTTTTACAAACGCAAATCACTGATGGACCATTAAGGGTTAAATTTTTCTCTGTATCAAATAATAAAAAAAAAAAAAAGCTTTTAAATTCAAATTTTCTTTGAGATTCTTGAAAGATTGGAACTTTTTTTATATATATATATATTTGAAATTGCTGTTTTGAAAAGACACTCAAACGATTCTTCTATCATTTTTTTTTGTGGAGCTTTTATAACAACAAAAAGGTTCATCGACGGGTACCTTTAAAAATAGATGCTTTTCAAAGTTAAAGCTTTGCAAACTGTAACAAGGTCATTTGCATTGCCGGAGAGGAATGAATCTCCGGACATCTTTTTCACTCCCGGTTGCTTAAACCGATGATCGATAACCCAGTTCTTAATATCAGTGTCAATGTGACAAGCCTAGCTTTCATATACCTATATATATATATATATATATATATACATTCACACCTTGTTGTTTGATTTCATTAATAAACAGAAAATGATAACATATCGATCGTATACATAAAAAAAGCCTTATAATATACAAAAATCCAATTATTTATCGCGTGAGATGGAAAAAAAAAATGTAGATTCTAGGTTATTATCAATTTTTTATTAGCGCTTAAAAATTTATTTTACTCATATAATCATTTAATATTTATATGTTTTTTTTAGAGTGTATACCTAAGTCTCAAGATGGCTTTTGACAACAAAATTAGTGTCGTTAAAAAAAAGGGGTCCATATTTTTTTTTTTTTTTTTGGGGTTGCATGATTATCCCATAAAAAATTATTAGTGAGAATTTCCATTTTCAACAATTTCATTACATATACTCTCTAAATCTGAATTAGTAAAAATGTTTACTAATTTGAATTAGTGACTCACTTTTTGCTTCTGAATTAGTTAAATTTTACTAATTATTAGTAACTTTTACTAACAATTAGTAAAATTTTACTCTGACTCTCTAAATCTGAATTAGTAAAAATGTTTACTAATTGGAATTAGTGACTCACTTTTTGCTTCTGAATTAGTTAAATTTTACTAATTATTAGTAACTTTTACTAACAATTAGTAAAATTTTACTCTGACTCTCTAAATCTGAATTAGTAAAAATGTTTACTAATTGGAATTAGTGACTCACTTTTTGCTTCTGAATTAGTTAAATTTTACTAATTATTAGTAACTTTTACTAACAATTAGTAAAATTTTACTCTGACTCTCTAAATCTGAATTAGTAAAAATGTTTACTAATTGGAATTAGTGACTCACTTTTTGCTTCTGAATTAGTTAAATTTTACTAATTATTAGTAACTTTTACTAACAATTAGTAAAATTTAACTCTGACTCTCTAAATCTGAATTAGTAAAAATGTTTACTAATTGGAATTAGTGACTCACTTTTTGCTTCTAAATTAGTTAAATTTTACTAATTATTAGTAAAAGTTACTAATAATTATAGTAAAATTTTACTAATTCAGAAGCAAAAAGTGAGTCACTAATTCAAAATAGTAAACATTTTTACTAATTCAGATTTAAATTAGAGAGTATAATTATTTTTTACACGAATTTTCATTTTTCAAATTAACTTTTGTCAGAATTTTTTTTTTTTTTTTTAAAGAATTTTTAATTAACAAAATTCTTAAGCACCGAAATTTTATGTAGCAGAATTCTTAAAACCGTTGAAATTTCATTTGCGTCCGAAATTGCAAATGGCCGAAAAAACAATCGACAGAAAGATTTTGACGCAATTTTTAAAATCAACCAATCAAAAATTATCCATAAAATTGTGATTGGTTGATTTTAAAAATCGCGCCAAAATCGATTGTTTGTTCGGCCATTTGCAATTTCGGACGCAAATGAAAATTCGGCATTTTAAGAATTCTGCCAAATAAAATTTCGATATACTTATACACAGGAAATTAAAAGGCATTAAAATAAGCTGCAACGGTTATTATTTTAATTCAATTTTACTTATTTTAATACCAAAATGGATTAAAATAAGCAAAATTGGATTAAAATAATAAGCGTTGCAGCTTATTTTAATGCCTTTTAATTTTCTGTATATGAATTATGTTAAGTAAAAATTTGTTTAAAAAGTAATTCTGTCAATTGGAAAAATAAAAATTCGTCTAAAAAATAATTATATATATCTAATAAAATTCTTTAAAATGAAAATATTAACTAATGATTTTTATATGGGATAATTATGCGCCCCCATATTTTTCTCCATATATTGAATCAAATACACAAATTTATTTATAAGTCAAGAATAATAATTTAATAATTGTATAAGAAAACTGTTTTGTCAGCAAACAAAAAAGTGAATTCAATATTTTGTCACACTATGTCAGTAAAAATTTATGTTTTTTCTTTGTGTTTCAACACACAATAAAAATTGTTTTCATTAAAGAATAACTTTATAATAATAATAATTATTTAATGGCAATTTTTTCAGTTTCTGTTTTTTCTTAAAATATTACGGTATTAAAAAATACCCTCCTCAACAGGAGGGCAAAGCTATTTTTATAAAAGGAAATAAAATTTCAAATATATCACTGAAAAAAAGGTTTCCTATTAACAACCAAATATTTGGTTGGTATTTAAGCAATCAACATTTTTTTGTTGAATCAACAAAATTTTGGTTGTCCCAATCAGTTAGGACAACAAAAATCGTTTTTTTTTTTTCTAATTTTGGTTGTGTCAAACAAATTTTGATTGAGACAATTAAAATTTTGTTGATTCAACAAAAAAAATTTTGGTTGCTTAAATACCAACCAAACGTTTGGTTATCAATACCAAACCTTTTTTTTTCAGTGTATTATATGGAAATTACAAAAAAACAAAAAGTGTGACTTTTATAATAGAAATTTTCTTAAGTTATCAATATTTATGCGTTTAAAATTAATTATTATGAATTCTTGCGAAAAAATTAAATAGAAAAAAAAATTTCAGTCAACAAAATTTTTGCTACACATCAGTGAACACGAAATGTTTACCGCAATTATCCGTATAACTTCTCAAGGGTAAAAATACCGCAGTCCCGTGAGCGAGACATATGGAATAAAGAATTTTTTTTTTTTTTTTTCTAAAAAAGAATCTCTTTCCGCTTCTAAATCATAAAAGATAAATTACCTTCTATATATATATTATAATATCATTAATTAAACTTCAAAAATTCTATGTAGACACAAAATAAGGGAGAATTTTTGGCACTGTTGGACTTATCATATTAATAAAATTATATATAAAACCAAAAGATTAGGAATTATATAATTAAATGTGATTCTTGGATAGTTTCCCGTTTAAAAAAAAAAAAAAAGAAAAAATTGTAAAAAAATTATTTTCAAAATAACAGAGAATTATAAACGCATAAAATATATGAAATAATTGTCAGTGTCAAGAGAATATATCTTCGTCGTGTCAATTAAATGATTCATGATGCGAGATTTTAACCTTAATGATGCAACTCTCGTCTACAAAAAATAAGGAAAAAAAAGCTTATAGCTTCTCTTGATTTTACAGAAAATTTTTTTTTTTATTGTTATTTAATTTAGAAGGACTATTTATATTATTATAATTAATTTATTATTAGTATTTAATAAGTAAAATAAAAAAAAAATAAATAAAAGACTTGAATGGAGGAATAAAAAAAAGGCAAAATTTTAAAAGAGGATTTTTCTAAAGGCAATTTTTATATAAGTTTTTAGTTAATCGTTCAAGGCCATGTAATAACTTGAGAGTATAAATTTCAATATTATCGTAATTATTTTAAAAATTATTATTATTATCTCTTATAACGAACTGATATTTAATCTATAAATTGGGACAAAGATATCGTAAAATTTCAAAAAAAAAAAAAAAAAAAAAAAAAAACTTTAGTATAATAGGAGAAAAATGGAAAAACGAATAAAGTAACTTTTATTACTTTAAAAAATAAAATCTGAACCGTCCGCAGTTACTGCGTATTTCTCTCAATTTTTACTCCGAAAATAATAAAATTTACTTCAGAAATAGTAAAAATTATTTCGGAAATAGTAAAATTTACTACTGAAATAGTAAAAATTATTTTGGAAATAGTAAATTTTACTATACTTCTGAAGTAAAAATTAATAGAAATACGCAAAAATTGTTGTTAGTTATGGTTTTACTTTCAAAGTATAGTAAAAATTACTTTATTCGTTTTTCCATATTTTTCTCTATAAATTTTACTGATTTTTTTCGAGTTTCTTATTATTTTTTTTTTTGAAATAAAAAAACAACTAATTATATAAATATATTCATGTGGCCTTAAAAAAAAAATTTTTTTTTTCCCCCTCCTTAATATTAGACAGGAGGGTTTACCTTTCGAGAGAAAATTCTATTTTTCATTCCGTCATATACATAGTTCATAAATCTTTTGCCCCAGGCGGCACATAAGGATAAAATATGAATCGAATACATTATTTATTTTCGCGCAATGTATATATATATCTTTGGAATAACAATATAATGGATAAAAATCTGCATTGCTCGCGCAAAAGAGAAATGTCAGTGTTAGAAATTCAATTTTCAAAATGTCATTTATGCACAAAAAAAAAAAAAAAAAAAAAAAAAAAAACACGAATTTTTTCATAAAATAAGAATATTTTAAAATATTTTACTGCATAAATTATTTAAAAATTCAGTAACAATAAACAAAATTGAAAAAAAATTTATTTGATTCAACTTGATTAATTATCAAATAAATATTTACTTGAACCAAATAATTTTTGTATATTTGATATACCATTTTAAATAAAAATTATTTAGTAAATATTTATTTGAATCAAATAAATTTTTTTTATACTCTCTAAATCTGAATTAGTAAAAATGTTTACTAATTTGAATTAGTGACTCACTTTTTGCTTCTAAATTAGTTAAATTTTACTAATTGTTAGTAAAAGTTACTAATAATTACTAATAATAATACTAATAAATTTTTTTACTAATTTGAATTAGTGACTCACTTTTTGCTTCTAAATTAGTTAAATTTTACTAATTGTTAGTAAAAGTTACTAATAATTAGTAAAATTTTACTAATTCAGAAGCAAAAAGTGAGTCACTAATTCAAATTAGTAAACATTTTTACTAATTCAAATTTAGAGAGTAGGAAATAAATATTCTAAGCGGAAGGGAAAATGAAAATCAATAAAAAATTTTAAATCCTACCTTTATTAATTGTCCAATGATCAGTCATCCAGTATTTTGGCGGCAAGTCTGAAAAAAACGAAATAAAAATTTTATAAATTTTTTTTACTGCTGTCAAAGTTTTTTTTTTTATTAAATTATTATAATACTGATTTAAAAATAGATAATTTTTTTTAGTAAAATTTTTAACTATAAATTTTTTTTTTGCGCGAAAAAATTGCAATCTAAAATTAGATTGTTTTTTTTTAATCATAATATTATCTGGAGGATTATATTGTTAAATGTTGTTACATAATTTTTTTTTATGTTTTTCAATATCAACATTGCATTCATTGGGACCTGACCTTGTAATGAATTGAATGAAAAATCTTTTAAACACTTGCATTTTTATATAGCTATATATATATATTACCATTTCGCGACCAATGCACTGAATGACTCGGTGTGAAATTCAAATGTAATTGTTGTATCGTGAGTAACGATCATTACCATAAAAACAGGAGGTGATCCTGAGCGCGACATTGTTAACCATCGGTGCGTGGAGTTCATTTTTTTTTCATGATGCTTGATTATACTACGCAGTTTTAATATACTCACGATAGTTAATTTATTATTATTATTTTTTTTTGACATTCATTATTTAATGAGCGGATAATTATTTATCTGCCTAGCGATCAAAAATTTCAAATATTTGCTATACCTAATTAGATATATATATATAATTTTATTGAAATTTTATTATTTTTACTGAAATTTTAAAATTTTGTTTTTTATTTTAAATTAAAAATTTTTTTTAAATTTTTTTTACAAAAAAATATTTCTGTCTGTAGTTTCAATTTAAAATAAATTTTTTTACTTTAAAAATTAAGATGTTATTTTAAAAAGTAAGATTTTCCTTATTTTTAATATAAATATATATATATATATATATATATATATATATATATATATATAAATTGTCGGTGAATGCACTAACATATTTTATTGAACTGAAAATTGTGTCCTTCAAGGATAAAATTACCGCACTTAGTTTATAGATTTATGGGAATATGGAAGCGTTTCCAGGGTGATGAGGATCTTGATTAGTCAAACGATACGCCTGAAAATAGAGGGGATGGAAAATCGTATTTGGGTCGATTGATATTTAGAATATAATTATTATTTTTTTTTTTTCATTCAGGAAATTAATTTAGTCTCAGCGACTACAACAATTTTTTTTTTCCCTACATTTCCTGTTTTCTGAAGTAGATTCTTTATCATTGGAAAATTGCGAAATTTATTTTGATTTAAAAAAAAAATTTTTTCATAAAAATTATTTTCCAAAAAAGCAAGATTTTAATGTTTTATTAAATTTTTATTATAAATATAAAGAAATAATATAAATAAAATATTAATAATTAATATAAAATTAATAACATTATTATTAAATAATTATATTTATTATATATTATCAATTATATATATATATATATATATATATATATATATATATTATTATTATTATTATTATTATTATATTATCAATAATATTAATATAATTTTTTCAAAATTAATTAAAAACTTTTAATTAATTTTTAATAATAAAAAATTTATTAAAATATTAACTATAATTATTAAATTCGGAGGGAAAAAAAAAATTTCTATTCGGTTCTTTGAAAATATTTTCTCTCCGTCATGCGGGTTCTTTTATAGATAATATTAATTGTACATATGACACTCCAATGTATCTTAAATTTAGACATTTAAATGAAGCACGTATTTTATAAAATAAAGGAAGAATTGAACTTTGGACTTTTGATTATGATTATTTCGTTAATTAAATAAGGTATTATACTGATTTTAATTATCACGATTTAATTAAAAATTATTTTTTTTTCTCTAATTAAAAATTACACAAATTAAATTCAAGTAAAAAAAAAATAGATTTTTAAATAATTTTCCATTTAGCCAAATGTATTAGCCATTTTTTTATTTCATTATATTTAAAAATTTAATTTTTTTTAATTTTATAGATATATTTAAAAAAAAATTAACAAATATGGTTTTTATAATATATTGTCAATATAGATTTTAAAAAGGTGAGTCTAATTTCCTGTAGGTTTGTCACATATATATTACACATCCGTGCGGTAAGTGAAAGTGTTCTTATCAGTTAATCGCTAAATACATACTCATACCTACATACGTATTTACGATATAGTGTAAGGCAATTTTGTTAGACATTAATGAGATAAAAGGTACACGCAATTTATATATAAAAAAAGAGGACAATTATTATATATGCATTTTTGTGCTATTTTTTATTCGAAACAAAATTATAATTATATATAAATTTCTTGACAACCGAATTTCAAATTTTTATTTTTTTTATTCAATAAAAAAGAGGATTTAAACATACGGATATGAAATTGTATTTAAAAAAAAACAAACGTCATTCTTTTTACCATTTAACTTCTAATTAATTGACTTTTAAATCAATTTTAATTAGTCTCATTGAAAAGAGAGAGAGAGATAAATATTGTTTATTTTCATACTTGTACATTTGCTTCAGCCGATAAACAATGAAAGTTTACAAAAGCTTTAGAAAATCCCTGTTATTTTCTTTTGTTGAAATTTTTCTCTATGATTTTTATTTTATTGTGTTTTATTTTTACAGTCAATTTAATTGTTATAAACTTTAAACACATGCGATTATTTATTTAGTCTTGTTCATCATAAATATATCTAAATTACATGCGTTATTATTAATTGCCCTCCATTACATTAGTTATCTTTTTTTTTTATATAAAATTTACTACTATCAAAAAGTTGGAAATATGTTATAAAAAATCATTAGTTAAAATTTTCATTTTATGGAATTTGCCATAATTATTTTTAAGCCGAATTTTTATTTATACAAATTAATATTTTGCAGAATTTTCATCAAATCGATTTTCTATTGGGATTTTTTATATAACCGAAAATTCACTTCATAGAATTTTTATTTGTCAGAATTTTTATTTACTTGAATTTTCATTTAATATAATATAGTAATTTTAAAGAATTTTTATTGGATAGAATTTTATTGCATATAGAATTTTTATTTGTTCAAATTATTATTTGTTATATAATTTCCATATAACCGATTTTTCATAATACAGAATTTTTACTTAAAAATCATTTATCAAAATTTCAAATTAATAGAATTTTCAATTTGTCCGAAATTTTAAATGTCCGAATAAATAATTGACAGAAAGTTTTCGGCGCGATTTTTAAAAATCAACTATCAAAAATTATCCATAAAATTGTGATTGGTTGATTTTTAAAAATCGCGCTGAAATCTTTCTGTCAATTATTTATTCGGACATTTAAAAGATTTCGGCGCGATTTTTAAAAATCAACCAATCACAATTTTATGGATAATTTTTTATGGCTGATTTTTAAAAATCGCGCCGAAAACTTTCTGTCAATTATTTATTCGGACATTTATAAAATTTCGGACAAATTGAAAATTCTATCAATTTGAAATTTTGTTAAATGATTTTTAAGTAAAAATTCTATAGTATTAAAAATCGGTTATAGGGAAATTATATAACAAATAATAATTCGAAGAAATAAAAATTCGGCTCAAAAATAATTATGAAAAATGAAATTCCATTAAATGAAAATTCAAATAATTTTTAGAACATAAAATTTTTTCTTCTTAAAAAGATATATTTTTTTTTCAAATAGTTTTTCCGTTTCTAATTTTTAGTGTATACAAATTAAAAAAAGAGAAAAATATTATCCGAAGGCGAAAAGATAAAAAAAAAAAAAAACGATATACATTAAAATAAATAATAAAACAAAAATTAATGAATAAAAAAAATAATTGAAGGTTTTTCCGCATAATCGTTCCGAGGTTGAATGCAAATAATTAGTAAAAATTTTAGTCTAGCTTTATCCTACAACTCAATAATAATAAAGTACACGTTCAATGTCAATGAAAAAGCATAAAGAATAAAAGCGTAATTTTTTAATTTATAATTGATTTGTATAAACTATATATGCGTTATATAGATTCTTGGGGGAATATAAAATAATATTAGAATAAAGGTATATAAAGCTTACTGGCCCTGGTTTTGAACTAACAGCAATTGTTTCTATATATATATGTACCTATATGTCTATTGTCTATATAAACTATAAGGCGCATTCAAGATTCCTGAGGCAAAGCGATTGATTTGAGTTGGTGCTCGAAGACCCACTTGACATTTCAGTGGAAATAAATTGAAGTGACCTTGCTATGAATTCTGAATGCGTTCGATAGAATCTCTTTTCTAACGGTCTTTTTTGCAAGCTCGATTTATCTAATTCTTATGAGAAAAAAAGGGAAATTAACGTTCCATAAATTAAAAAATATTTTAAAATAGATTTTTCAAATTCTGTTATATAAGAATCATAAACCGGTATAACAATTAGTTTTTATGTCACTAACAAGGAAGTATAATAATAATTGTTTTTTTTTTTTTGAATAATTGCAAAAGGAAACAGAAAAAATGACAATCTGAATTATGAAATAAAAAAAGATTCTTTTTTTTTCCTAATATAAATTTCTTTTTGATAATTTGATTCTAAAATAGGGCGACAAAACGTAAATGACCCTCTCAAACTATATATGTGACGCTCCATGAGAAAAGTGACCTTACGTACTTTTGACTTAAGGTTCGCTTTTACAGTGACTTGACATAGAGAATGAACCTTAAGTCAAAAGTACATAAGGTCCCTTTTCTCGTGGAGTGTCACATATATGTATTCTGGAGGTTGAGGTAATAAACTTAAATCTGAAACTCCCTGTACAAAATAGAGTGCTGTTGTGTCATCACATACAAATTATAGAACTTTATTTGGCTTTCATATATTCATTGTTAGTGTTGTGCTTGGCCCCTTGTTAACATATATCCTTTAAAACCCAAATCAATATTATCTGCCAGGTCAAGAACATTGTCTAGCGTGTTTAAAGCATTTTTCGATTCATCAATCAATATTTATTTTATATCAATAAATAATATTATGTTTGGCAAAAAAACCGATTTTCTTCCTTTTCGAATAATCAAATATTAATTATATGCAAAATGTTATTCCTTTTCATATTATTGACTCTAAAGGGATATATGAGCTTTGAACTTTAAGTTTAGTTTTTGCATAATTCAACATTAAATTATCCGACAATTTTCAATAATTTAAATTCCATTTTGAAATTCAATGCAAATATGTATTTTATAGCTTTATTATATTTTTGATTTTTGTTACAAAAAAAAAAAAAAAAAAAAAATTGAGCAAATATAAAATCAAATCTCTCTTTTAAACGACAAAATTTTTTTTATTTATTTACCTCTGCAGATTTATTAAAAAATGTAACCACTTTTTTGTAATAAACAAAATACTGTATAAAATACATTTTTTATATCTTTTTTAAAAATATTTAAAGTTTTTTCTTATTTCAAAATTCTAAAAATGAAAATAGTAAAAAAAAAAACCTGACATTTTATATATAGTTAATTGATTAATATGAATGAGTAAAGTTTGGTGATACAATTTTGATAATTAATTTAACTCCTTAAACATTGAAGAGCATAAAAGATGCTGCAATGTCTCAATGCATAATAAGGCACTTTACATGCATTTCCTTGGAGAATTTTCAGATCGAAATATATATGTTGGCTTTGTCCTTCAATTGTTTTCTTTTTTAATAATGTAACAATTATTAAGAATTAGATGAAAAATTACTTTAGTTTATAAAAAAAAAAATTATATCTCTATCACGGAGTGAAAAGAATTGTTGTGGTTACTAAAAATTAAGTTCACACAATAATTCCGGATTGTCAATATAGAACCAGCAGTTCTATTTGTTTTTGGGACAAAAAAAAAATTGTTGAAATGTGATTATTATTAAAACTATTCGGATTGTTCGGTGAATAAAAACAGAATTGTTTCACAGTAAACTAAAAGGCATTAAAATAAGCTGCAACGCTTCTTATTTTAATCCAATTTTGCTTATTTTAATACCAAAATGGATTAAAATAAGCAAAATTGGATTAAAATAATAAGCGTTGCAGCTTATTTTAATGCCTTTTAGTTTACTGTGTTGATGAACAAAGAAAATTGTTATGGAACAGTTGAAATAACAAAACTAAATTGTAAAAATCGGCAATACACTGAGGAAAATATGCTATTGAATCAACAGCATTTCTGCCAAAGGTATAAAAATTATTGATTCAAAAGCATATGCTATAAAATTTGTAAAACATTTTATAGATTCTATAGCATGTACTTTTGAATTAATAATTTTTATATCTTTGGCAGAAATGCTATTGATTCAATAGCATATTTTTCTCAGTGTACAATTTGTTGTATAAAGAAAGCTTTGATCCGTCTAATACAATTTATTCAGTTTTTTCGCCATCTAAAATAATTGATAGCAGATTTTCGTAGGTCATATCACCGCAGTTTCATTTGCATTAAAATCTGTGGAACATGCAGTTTCTAAATCAAATTCTTTGACCTAAAACAAAAAAATTATTTTGAGTTGAAATTTGTTGTTTAAATAATATTTAATATACATTTTGTATTTTTTAAGGTGAGATTATGTTGAATTGTCCACAGAAAATTAAAAGGTATTAAAATAAGCTGAAACGCTTCTTATTTTAATCCATTTTTGCTTATTTTAATCTATTTTGGTATTAAAATAAGCAAAATTGGATTAAAATAATAAGCGTTGCAGCTTATTTTAATGCCTTTTAATTTTCTGTGTCTCTTCATTCATTCACTACACTTGCAATAGATTTCTCACTTTAACCGGATTTATTATTTAACAGCACTTTGTTATTTCTTTTAAAAAAAAACTAATAATAAAAGCAAAAGTGGAACATGTGCCAGAAGCTGTACGGAATTGAAAACTGACAACAAAAAATTCGTATTGTTGTTAAAACAACATACATTTGTATTGATAACAATCCGAATTGTAATATTAACATTTGGAATTGTAATATTAACAAATCTACTGACAAGAATACAAAAATTGTTTGCACAACAATCCCATTTTTCTCCGTGATAGAAATATACACTGAAAAAAAAATTCTGGTTAGGCTATATTTAACATTACTTTCTAGTTATGTTAACCAGAATTCTAGTTGAATTAACTAGAATTCTCGTTAAAATAACCAGAATTCTGGTTAACCTAACCAGAATCAAAATGTTAAATATACCCTAACCAGAATTCTGGTTAGAATTTTTTTCAGTGTAGTAAAGAGAAACATTTTTTTAAAAGATATTTTATTGCGTATTTTTCTCTAGGGAAAAATTGTACAAAAACAAAAAATTCTACTTTCAGTAAATCTTTTTCCATCTGTATACTGTATTTTTTTTCAAAAAAAAAAAAAACAAAAGTGCAATGTCACCTGCACTGATCGATGACTTGTATTCGTTCATTCGTATGGAAATCGAAATATCAATGAAACTCGACATTCTCTTTTCAAACTTGTTTCAATCTTTCAATTTGTAAGCTTTTATATTTGCTCAATTTCTATCTTCTATAATTGAATTTTAGTTTCGATTACAAATTGAAATATTTTAATTTAAAATTATGTTTTGCTTTCTGTATAAAAGATTATTATTATTATTATTATTATTTTTTTTAATTTTATTGCGGACAGTAAAATTAAATGGTTCATTAAAGATATCGTTTGCTCGCGCTGGTCACGTACATTATAAGTATGAATCATGTCAAATGTCACGGCTGGACAAGAAAAATACACTAGTTAAAGAACAACATTTTAAAAAATTAATACTGTTATTGGGTACAAAAGGTTCAAACACCTCAGAATATTTTTTTTCTTTTTCTCTCTGATTACTGATCTCAAAATAAAATAATAATAATAATAATTATTATTATTATAATTTTATAATTAATTTAATTATTATAAATTGTTTTTTTAATAAATAAAATTAATTACAATTTTAAAAAATTTCGATTATTTAAATAATTTTATACTTTATAATATTCGGAAAAAAAAATCTTCACCTGAGACAGCGATAAGTTTCACTGGAATAACGATATGTTTCACTAAAACAGTGAAAGTTTTCACTATTCTAGAGAAACATATCGCTGTTTCAGATAAAGATTTTTTTTCCGTGTCTATCAACAAAAATGATTGATTCATAATTATAAAAAAAAAATAATAAAATATAAAAAAAAATATATATATAAAAATTATATAAATATAAAAAAAAATATATAAAAAAAATTATATAAATATTATATAATTAACATAAAACCATTTTTCGCGAGTTCCTTGTTATAAAATTCTACAGAATTGTATAACAATTTAGATTTTTTTTTATGAACTTTAGTATTTAATTGACGATTTGATTTTTCCGCATAGTTTCAACATAATCGAATTTTTGTAATAAAAAAAAAAAAAAAAAAAAGAAAAAAAAATGTCGCGAGCGATAAAGAGTCGATTGCGATATTTTTTCTTGAAAAGTCTCGTTAATCCAACACTCTACTTATGACGTCTCGAGTCACGTCACACACCGAACGCACAGGTATCGCCAGAAATATACCTATATTTCTACTATATATATATTTACACGTATATATGACTTTAATGATTCACGTTTCTATGTTAAGAATATTTTCACTTTCGAAATAAATATTTAATAAATCAATACACAAAAATACAATAAAAAAATATTTTTTTTACCCCCACAACAAAAAAAAACGTAACATAATAAATACGTGTCACCTGATGTATTTTTTTTCCCAATGAAGGGTAGTATTTAATATTTAGTGAATGAGAAATAAAATAAAAATCTTACCTTGTATTATATAGAAATGGTTTGCTGTCTGATGATCAGGTAATTAGTCCATCTGAAAAATTTTGAAAAAATTGTTACAAATGCTTGTAAAGTTTTATAATAATAATAATAATAATAATAATAATTACAGTATTAATAAATTTTTTTTTGAATCAGCGGGATTTAATTTCTGTAATTTAGAATAATTTTTTTAATTTGTTGATTTAATATAATTTTTCAATAAAATAAAATAAAAAAAAAAAAAAAAAAGAGACAAATGGAAATAAAATACGTGATGATGTTTCGATAAGCGTGAGACTATTATAATGACGGTGTTGTTCACCTTCAAAAGTTACATTTAAATGAACCAATTGTCACGTACGTTTATATTTGATTAGATAGATAGATATTATAAACTAGCGATAATTTTTATGATTATAAATTCCCGGTCAATTTTCTCTTTTTTCCGGACAAAATTTTATAAATAATTTCTTTCACACAAAAAATGATCATTTTTCTAAAAAAAAATTCATAACTTTTTTATTTTGCGATATAATAAAATTTAATTCTACTACAAAAAAAATTAGTTTAAAAATACATTTTATACATTTATATATCAAAATTTATTTTATTCAAATACATTACTTGACTATTATCAAATATATATATTTATTTGTATCAAATAATTATTATTGGAAAATGGTATTTTTTCAAAATAAAAAAATTATTGGTTCAAATAAAATTTTAAATAAAAATTATTTGGTTCAAGAAAAAATTATTTGGTTCAAGAAAAAATTATTTGGTTCAAGTAAAAATTATTTGGTTCAAGTAAATATTTATTTGTATGAAATAATAATTATTGGAAATGGTATTTGTTTTAAATAAAAAAATTATTGGTTCAAATACAATTCAAATAAAAATTATTTGGTTCAAGTAAATATTTATTTATATCAAATAATTATTATTGGAAAATGGTATTTTTTCAAAATAAAAAAATTATTGGTTTAAATACAATTCAAATAAAAATTATTTGATTCAAGTAAATATTTATTTATATCAAATAATTATTATTGAAAATGGTATTTTTTCAAATAAAAAAATTATTTGTTCAAATATAATTCAAATAAAAATTATTGGTTCAAATACAATTCAAATAAAAATTATTTGGTTCAAGTAAATATTTATTTGTATGAAATAATAATTATTGGAAATGGTATTTGTTTTAAATAAAAAAATTATTGGTTCAAATACAATTCAAATAAAAATTATTTGGTTCAAGAAAACATTATTTGGTTCAAAAAAAATTATTTGGTTCAAGTAAAAATTATTTGGTTCAAGTAAATATTTATTTGTATCAAATAAATAATTATTATGGGAAATGGTATTTTTTCAAATAAAAAAATTATTGGTTCAAATACAATTCAAATAAAAATTATTTTGTTCAAGTACCTAAATATTTATTTGTATCAAATAATTATTATTGGAAATGGTATTTTTTCAAAATAAAAAAATTATTAGTTCAAATACAGTTCAAATAAAAATTATTTGGTTCAAGAAAAAATTATTTGGTTCAAGTAAAAATTATTTGGTTCAAGTAAATATTTATTTGTATCAAATAATTATTATTGAAAAATTGTATTTTTTCAAATAAAAAAATTATTGGTTCAAATACAATTCAAATAAAAATTATTTGATTCAAGTAAATATTTATTTGTATCAAATAATATTATTATTTGAGATGCGATATTTGTTTAAAGTAAAAAAATTATTTAAAATACAATTTATTTAATTCAAATATAAAAATTATTCGACCCAAGTAAATATTTATTTGATTGTCAAGTAATTGAATATTTGGATTAAATAAATTTTTTTTTCATATCTGAAAAATTCACGGTTTTTTTTTTCTTTAATAATTCATACGGAAAAAATAAATAAACAATTTTTTATGAGAGAAAACAGAAATAGTTGGCTTTTGTTTTTCTATATATTAGAAATAATGTCAATTCTTATGAAAATTCAATTAGATTTTTGAAATGCGAAACAAATAGTGAAATGGTTATACATATATATATCGGAATTTATTGGATGCACCGGAATACAATTCAATTAACTGGGCCAATAGACAGACTGAATATACCACGTTGCTATGTTAATGCATAAACGTTACTAATACGATTTCAAGATGTTTCACATATAATATATATGTGTATCAAGTTAATGATAATAATGCATGTTTCACATTTTGTATTTAAAAAAACAAATCTCGCTGACAACAGTATTTTTGAAACTGAAATTTTTTTTTTTATTGGTCCAGTTTCAATAAATATCAAATTTTGATTAAATAATTAATATTTTTTTTTTGTTTTTAAATTTTTTTCATTCAAATATAGAAAGTTTTTTTCAATAAATAAAATGAAAAATTTCTTTTTTGAATAAAATTTGTTGTATCGAATTTTTTTCTCTGGCTTTTTTCCCTTATCTCTCTCTTTTTTTTGCATCTATTTTAGGGTAATAAAGTTAGGAATGAAACTGTGTAGAAAATCTCCAAAGGATCCTGGGTAAAGTTGGCCAAGTTCACACGTGTGACAGTTTACGAGACAAATCTTCCTATTCGTTCCAGTTGAAGAATTTCTCAAGGGACGTGTGCCTTGATAGAAATAGTGGAGATTGATGCTCTATATTTGAATTTACGCTTTTGCAAAGTTATATACTTGTTATATAAATAACCACCGAATCTCGACACTTTCGTGATTTTCAACTTCTGTATACATATATATATATAAACGTTTATGTGTGTGTTAGAAATGCATCCGTAATAAAATTTTTTTAAATAAGATGTAATTTCTATTATCTTAATTACCATTTAATGATAAGAAAACCTCGCGTAGTAAAAGTACGTGTTCAAGTGTATAAAATTACTTTAAACTTGTGGATAAACGATTAATTACTTGTAATCACTGTTGATTATAAAAGACATTTTCAATCACTTATTTTACAAGTGAGATAAAACATTTCCATGAAATTAGATATCAAATTAAAGTTGATTCATTTTTCTGAATATATATTTATTATTTTTATATAAAATACTTTCATTTTAAAATTATTTTTAAGTTGAAAATAAAATTATCACGCCTCGGATCGATTTTAAGGCACAAAAAAAGTCGTTTTAGTCGATTTATATTGAAAAAAGTCGATTTTTTTATTTTTACAAAAACATTTTACAGATTTTTAAATCAAATTTTGTTATTTAAATAATAATACTTTTGAAAGGGTTGATGTTGAAATTTTTAGAAATAATTGAATTTCAAAAGATTTTGTTAATTTTCAGACAATAATTAAAAAATTTTACAGAACTAAAAATAATTTATCAAATAATTTGTGGAATAACATTTTTTTAAAATAATTTGCGAATTTTCAAATTTTTTACAATTGAGATTTTTGAAATTAATTGAACTTCAAGTGATTTTTAAATAAATTTTTTTAATTATTTCACTAAAAAAAATTTATTAGAAATTGCGGACAAAAATACAATAATTTTGAAAACAATTTTTAATTGAAAAATTGTTTCAGATAGTTCAATTTTCAAAGAATATTATAAAAATAATTAAAAATAATTTAATTTCCTTAGAGTTATAATTGAAATTGTTAAATTTCAAAAAATTTTCGATGGAAAATTTTAGAATGCTTTTAAATTCAAATTTTTGAAAATAATTGAATTTTAATTAAAATTTTGGATAATAATTCAATTTTAGTTGATTTTTGATATAATAATTGATTTTAAATTCAAATTTTGGGTAATAATTGAATTTTAGTTGATTTTGAATTGAAAATTTGGAAAATAATTGAATTTTAAAAGATTTTAAATTGAAAAATTTAAAAATAAATGAATTTTCTTTGATTTTTGAATTGAAATTTTGGAAAATAACTGAATTTTAATTAAAATTTTTGATAATAATTTAATTTTAGTTGATTTTTGATTAAAAATTTGGATAATAATTAATTTTGAATTGAAATTTTGGATAATTTTTGAATTTTAATTGATTTTGAATTCAAATTTTGGGTAATAATTGAATTTTTTTTGATTTTGAATTGAAAATTTGGAAAATAATTGAATTTTAAAAGATTTTGATTTGAAAATTTCGAAAATAATTGATTTTTTTTTTGACTTTTTAATTAAAATTTTGGGAAATAATTGAATTTTAATTGAAATTTTGGATAATAATTTAATTTTACTTGACTTTTGATTAAAAATTTGGATAATAATTAATTTTGAATTGAAATTTTGGATAATTTGAATTTTAATTGAAATTTTGGGAAATAATTGAATTTTAATTGTAATTTTGGATAATAATTTAATTTTAGTTGATTTTTGGTTAAAAATTTGGATAATAATTCATTTTGAATTGAAATTTTGGATAATTATTAAATTTTAATTGATCTTGAATTTAAATTTTGGTTAATAATTGAATTTTATTTGATTTTAAATTGATTTGTGATTTTGAATTAAAATTCTTTGGTAATTTTATTTGATTTTTTTTTTTAAATTATAAACAATTGTTAAATTTTATAAAAATTTTAATTGAAAAATAATTTGAAATTATTGAATTTGTGATGAATTTCATTTAAAATTATTAAAAATAATTAATTTAGTGAAGAATTTTAGTTAAAAATTTGTTAAATAATTGAAATAAAGAAGATCTGAAGAAGATCTGCATTTTATACTAAGAAAAATGGATTTTATTTAAAAAATTTTTTTTTAAATGTAAAAAAAAGTCGAAAAAGTTGCATTTTATTAAAATAAGTCAAAAAAAGTCGGAAATAGTCGAAAAAGTCGTATAATCCGAGGACTGAATTATTTAAAAAAAAAAAAAAAAACATAATAATGCACTAAGAAAAAAATTTATTTAATTCAAATAATCAGTTACTATTAAATAAATATTTATAATTGAACCAAATAATTTTTATTTGAATAAATTGTATTTGGACCAATAATTTCTGTATTTGAAACAAATATACTTATTAATTGGCTGAAATAAAAATTATTTGATAAATATTTATTTGATAATAATCAAGAATAACTGAATATTTGAATCAAATAAATTATTTTTTTTCATTGTTTTTACTTTCATAAGTTTCTGATTGAATTAAATTTTATAAGAAATTTTTGATTTTGACAATTTTTACGATTTGAAAAGACTTTGGTAAAAAAAAAAAAAAAAATTGAGTTTTAATGATTGTTTGAAAAATTGTCTTCTGAGATCAAAAAGAGGCTTTATGTGGTCATAATACCGCCTATGACATACAAAGCTTTTTCCGGAAGCATTTAAAATAAGAAAGAACCGATTGTTCTCATATGTCCTCGAATAATTTTGCAACTTGGGCTGCGACCAAGGATTTTTTATCATTAACAGGTGCAAATACTAAGAATTAATTACAAATAGAGAAAAAAGTAAATAATTTTCGAAAATATAAAAAAAAACCTAAATCCTATACCAAAATACGTTATCATTTTGACCTAAAAAAATAATTAAAAATTTTAATTCATTTTTTAACAAAGACATTGGAAATATAGTATAAAAAATTATTTATCTGGAAAAAAAAATGTTCGAATAGAAAAAAAGAAATGTAAACAAATTTCTAAATCCGCTCTCATTTTAAAAAAGTATGACAAACGTCTTTTCTTGTCAAGTGTGAAAACATTGGTATCACACCTCAAAAACCTAATATAATAATAATAATAATAATAAAAATAAAAGAAAAAAAATTCAAATAAATCTTATTTTCCGGAGACAAAAATCCGAGGGATAAATCTCACAGTAGGTGATGTGATTTGAAAATCATGTTACAATATACTTTATTGTTTCTACAGATGTTTCGCGAATACGAATGGCTTTTCATTTTCCTTATCTATATTTTCTAATATTGTAGAAAATATTGCAAAATTATATATATATATTTGAAAAAAAAGAATTTTTTAGATTTTTTTGAATTAAAGATAATATTTGTTTTCGTTATTTTTTACGAGCGGTTTCTAATTTACAACCCTTTTTTTTCTGAGAAATAAAGGTCATTTCGTCACAATAAGGAACCCATAAAATTGGTAATACTAATTTGGTTTTATTATTATTTTTTTTTTGACGTGAATATAATATAGTCAACGGAAGTATGACTCATATATGGATTATAGTAATTGAATAATAGAATTATGGCTTCTTTTGAATCTCTTATATATTATACATATGGCCCTGATAAAATTCAAAAGAATGCGTAATGTATGAAATAAAATATTAAAAATTAAATAATTAAAATTCTTTCAATAATGAAAACATAAAAGAATTTTCCCAAACAAATTTTTTTTTAATTTAGAAAAAAAAATTAAAAATAAATTTAATAATTAAATTAAAAATTAGAATATTTTTTTTTTATTTTAAAAAATTTTTGTCAAAATATTATTCTCATTGACATGAAATTACACTCAGAGAAATGGTATATTTGTCTCCACGCCTATACTAATATTCATTTATTTGTTGCAAATATATTTTATTTCATTGAAAAAAAAAAAATTTATTTGAGCCAAAGAAAAATTTATTTCTGACAAATAAAATTTTTATTTACACCAAATATATAAATAAGTTAGTAGGCTCTGAGACAAATATATATACACTGAAAAAAAAATTTATTTTTATTTTATTTTAAATACCAGTGTATTTGGTTATTATCAAATAAATATTTACTTGAATCAAATATTGAAATACTGAAATATTTAATTCAAATATTATATATTTAATTCAAATAAAAAATATTTGATTCAAGTAAATATTTATTTTATAATAACCAAATACACCGGTATTTAAAATAAAATAAATTTTTTTTTCAGTGTACATTTATTTAATTCAAATATATTTTATTTGATTCAAATAAATCATTTCTCTGTGTGTAATTTGAATAATAATTAAAAGATATTTTTAAATAAAAAAGAAAGCGAGGATAATTATAGTAAAAAAAAAAAAAATCTGTGATTTGCGTAACCGGTTATATTCTTGGCGCCTATATTTAAATATGGCAAATATTCTTGCGTCAAGTATAGTATATTCTTTTTTTTTCAGTGTAAGGAATTACAGAAACAAATAATTGAATACACTCGAAGAATGGTAAATGATGTGTGCAATTTAAAAAATGAATGCCCGATGCATGTGTGAGTAAAGAAAAAAAAAAAAAAAACGAATCGCGTACTGCATACAAAATAACCAAAACTAAATAAAATTCTGTGGCCATGAAACGGAAGTTTCCTAATACGTGTTCATCCGGTATTTTTTCTCCTTTTTTTAAGATCAATTAAAAATAAAAAGTAAATAATTTCTTTCAAAAAAAAAAAAAAAAAAAAAAAAAAAAAAAAAAAAAAAAAAAAAATTAGAAAATTATTTATCTTTCATTTTTAAAAATTACATTTCGAGTCACGTACTAAAAATTATTTTTCAAATTAGACATATAATAATTTTTTTTATTTAAATCAAATAAAAATTTATTTAAATAAATATTTATTACGCTCTGAGATAAATATATCAGGTAAAAAATTGTTAAATTTTTTTTTATGTAAATAAAACTACTATTAATTAATTAATTAATTAACTAATTAACTAATTAACTAATTAGTATACTACGAAATCGTATTATAAAATAAATAATTAACATTTACAATTTTATGGAAAATTAAATTTCAAATCAAGTTTAAATATATTAATATTACAAAAAATTGGCAAAGTTGAGCCTTGGCTTTTGATTTATTTTATTATTAAATAGGTCTAAAGTTGTCATTGTTCTAAACTTGTGAATAATATTTTATAAATAATAAATTTATGTAATAATAATAATTATCAAAAAAAAATTTAATAATATATATATATACATAGTTACTGATGTAAAGTTTAACTTTATGTTTTCAATTATAAACGTTTATGCAAAAATAGATTTCGTTATCGCTAGACAATACAGGCAAGGCCAAGCAAGCATGTAATTTAAATGCCTCTTTGATTATAAATTAAAACCATTATTTGCTCGTTTGGTAAATATATGAATTTAACATGTTCAGAAAAGCATCGCCAGAGGACAGAACCTGTCGGGCATAACTCTAAGTACTCTATGATAAAATCAATATTAAGTTTTTTAATTCACAAAAAAAAAAATTACGTATTTAAATAATTTTAATTATTAAATATAAGTATGGTTTATGATAAATTAAATTTTTTAAACCTACATTTTTACTATAAAAATATATTTAAAATTTTTACTTTTTAAATTTTTCATATATTATTATTATTATTATTATTATTATTATTATTATTATTATTATTATTATTATTTTTAATTGTATATTTTTCAGTTTATGCATATGAAAATAAGAGTTTATTAAGCGATAACAATTTTTTTTTTAAATAATATATGTTTCCTATTTCTTATCTACGGCTGATAATAAAAAAAACTTTTATTTTTCGAGAACATTTATAAGAGTTTATCAAAACAAAATTTTTAAACTTTTTTTTAACAATTTTCGATTTTAAATAAATTAAAATATATAGATAATTTTACTCAATTTGATGCGCTTGCGAGCGTTTAATTTTGCTAGTATTAAATAATATATTATAATAATAAAAATAATAATAATACATATACTTTGTAGAAATAGGTCCATATGTTCGAATATAGATAATTTTTTATTGAATTTATTGGAATAAAAAAAATAATTATAAACAAACACATTAAACATTACAACACATTAAATTAATTAAATTATTAAGTAATAATTAAATTAATAATTAAAAATTAAATAATTAATTAATTAATTAATAATTAAATTTAGAATTAATAATTTAAATAATTAATTTTAAATAATTTAATTAATTAAATAATAAAATAATTAAATTTAGAATGAAAATTTTTAATTCTTTTAATTTTTTTCTTTTATTATTTTTTATCTCTCTTTTATTTTTGTATAAAAAAAAATTACTGATTTCGAAATATGAATTTTTAAAAAAATTATTTTCTCTAACATTTCAAAAGTTGAATTTTTTTTTTTAATAAAACAAAAATTGTACCATAAATGAAAATTTTTTTTTTTTTTTGTACATTGAAAAAAGCGCAAACTCAAGTGAAGCTTGCGCATAAAGTTAAACCGGAAGTTAAAATCAGCGCGCGCATTTTGTGTCTCATGCTTTAAACATTGTGCTTCTCGACTTTGATATTTCAGTAGTAAATCGCGCGTTCTCCTGTTCGCGTGGTTTATATGACAAATAATCGTTTTTCTCTTTATTAAATTCAATTTATTCAATAAGAAAATAAAATTTTTTATGTTTCCTATTTGTAAAAACTTTTTTTTTAAAAAAAAATTCTAATTTATATTTTTCTCGAAAATTTTTTATTCCATTTTTTTTTAAATAAATTTTTTAATATTAATACAAAAACAATATTTTTTTTTTATAAAATTGTTAAATTTTTTGCCTTTTGGGGATTTTTAATATTCGGCAAAATAAATTTTTAAAATATTATGATTTTCTCGCCTTTATTTTTAGCATGTGAGTTTATTTACTCTGGAAAATGTTATAGTCACAAATCAATTGACTTTAAAACAAAATTTTGTGCATTAAAAAGATTTAATTTTATTCTTTAACAATAAAATTCTTATTTTTTTTTTTTTTTGAGAATGGAATTTAAGAAAATAAATTAAAATAAGTTTACTTGCATGAACGAATCGTTTACTTATCGCAAAAAAAAAAAATAAATAAAATCCATCAATGAAATGGTTTACTGAAATAGCAAATTTTATTATCCTAATAAAATGGAAAAAATTTACTTTCATATATAAAATAAAACTCTTAGAAATTGATATCTTATTAAAAAAAAAAAAGTTGTAGCCGTTTGCCTTGTTAAATCATCAATTGCATATTATTATCAAACTGCAATTAAAAGATAATGAGATATCGAAAAAAAAGAAGAATTACGAGGGATATGGTATACGAAGATAAAAAGACCGGAAAATGCAAATCAAAACTTAATTTTCCTCTCAAAATAATATTATTGAAAAGTTGTAAAAAAAAAAAATTACGAAAAGTTAAAAAACGAAATTAAAAGGAATAAAAATATTGTAGAATAAAGAAAATAAATCAAATAAAATACAAAGAGGATTTTTTTTTTTTTAATAAAATTTAAATGATCGTAAAATTGTCAATAAAAAGTTGAACGACAATTATTATGTTTTTTTTAATAAAATAAAATTCATATATGAAAATATAAACTCCACAGGTGTTTCTCAATGGATAAAAGATATTGGTATATCGTAGTCATGGGAAATCTATTCTGCACTTTCAAGTATAAAGGAAAACGATTTTCTTTATTATTTTAAAAGAAAGAGAGAGAGAGAAAAAAAAGAAGGAATTAGTTTAATTGACATCGCACACAAATTCGCATCGAATTGACTAAAAACTTTTCTATAGTGTAATCGATTTAAGTCTTGGTGTTCATCGGGGAATTTGTGACGTCTTATTTGATCTCCTGCGACGTTCCTGGGTGTAAATTAATTTCAAGGTAATTACATTACATTAAACCACAGTAAACAACATGTTTCCCTTTTCTTCGTCAAAATTAACAAATTTTTAATTTGATTTCCAATTTTTCATATGACAATTAATGAATAATCAAATTAATTTCAAGGATAAAAATTCATTTTTAAATTAGAAAATATAATTTAAAAAAAATGTTTTTTAATTTATTTTTTCTTTTTATTTATTTTTTTTCGTATGTTTAAAAATTTTTTGACATTTAATTTACAAGTGAATGTATTATAAAGTTCCTATAATTAATTTTCCTTAATTAACTTGACTAAGTCACTTTGTATCGCGAGCAATAAAATCGATGACTAAATTGATATAAGAAAAGAGGAAATAGAATTGTGGAAGACATAAAAGCAGGAAACAATGTTAAAATCTACTTTCGTGCCATGAAGGGTACCATTATATACACAAAAAAAAAAAAAAAAAAAAAAAAAAAAAGAACAAGAAGAAGAAGAGCAAACAAACAAAGGCACATTTAGCAGATTAAAGTTTACATTGAGCTATAGTTTCAAAAGGAATTCGCGAAAGAAGACATTTCTTCGACACTAACGATTCTTTTTGACATTTTTGAAAACTTTATTTTTCCGGGTCACTTTCTTCATACCTAGAAATTTTTTCATTTTTTTTTTTTTTTTTTTTTTTTTTTTTTTATATCAATTTCAACATGCTTTTCAGAGAGAAAGAGATGCTTTTCAGACACAAAAATGTTTCTTTTTTTTTGCGACAAGCAAGAGTTCGTTTAAAACTTGTGTCATAAAATAATTGCTTAGTATATTATACAAAAAAAAAAATTATATAAAATAAACTTATTTTGATGAAAAATAAAATAAAAAAATTTTAAATAATAAATAATTATTATTTTTTAAATTTTAAATAAAATAAACTTATTTTATTACTATTAAATTATAATAATAATTATTATTATTAATATATTTAATATTTATAGTAATAATATTATTATAATAATTATTATAATAAAAATAATAATAATAATAATAATAATAATAAATATGTTTTATTGTAGGCAACGATAATAATTATTATTATCATTATAATTATTATAATTATTATCATTATAAATTATTTTTATTGTATTTTTTCTATATATATTATGATTCCCTTATGAAAATTCTTTATAAGAAAATAATGTTAAAGCTGAAATGTTTTTCAGTATAATGTTTTTTGTATAATATTTTCGCGATTATAATTTATTATAAGAAATTCATTATAAAATTTTTTTTTCTCAAATATAATTATAAAAATATAATTATTAGAGACTCTGTAATGAAATCATTACAATTTTATAATTATAAGAAAATGTAATTATAGAAAATAAAATTTTTCACTTGCAAAAATTAAAATATTATAAAATTAAAATTATAAAAATTTAATTACATAAACTAATTAATTTTGTATTTTACTGATAACTATATATATATATATATATAGTTTTGTAATTTTATAATTTAATTTTTGTAATAATTTTTATAATTTTAATTTTATAATATTTTAATTTTTGCACGTGAAAAATTTTATTTTCTACAATTACATTTTCATAATTATAAAATTATAATGATTTCATTACAGAGTCTCTAATAATTAAATTTTTATAATTATTTGAGAACAAAAATTTTATAATGAATTTTTTATAAAAAATTACCTATAATCCCGAAAATATTATACAAAAAACATTATACTGAAAACATTTCAGCTTTTACATTATTTTCTTATAAGGAATTTTCATAATAATATTATTATAATAATTATAATAATAATAATAATAATAATAATAATAATAATAATAATAATAATACCGAATAATTATTATCATTATATCCAAATTATTTTTATTGTATTTTTTCTATATTATGATTTTTCAAAATTTTCCTACAAAGATTTTTCTTAATTGGAATATTTTAATATAACAATTCGCAAAATTGAAATAAGTTTCATTCAAGTAAAACTAATTTAATTTTCAGTCCTCCTAACAATAAATTGTTTCAATTTCATCTTTTGCTAAATATATAAAGTCAAGTATTATATATATATATATAAAACTTTTTCTGAAAATATGTGCATTATGTTCAATTCATTGAACTGTAAAGAAACTAGATTAGATACAAAACCTGTTTCAGCATCTCTTTGATTATGTCTTTTTGAATAATGTAAGTTTATTATTTTAAAAAGCAATTTAGCTTTATATATAGAAATTTTAATTAGAAATAAAAAAATTTTATATATAAAAAAACTTTTATTCAATTAATGAAAATTGAATTATTTATATATTTTTTTATTTAAGTTAGATCGTTTTTTAAAAAATACTAAAAAATATAAATTTAAAAAAAAAAATTCATTATTTAAAAAAAAATTCATTATTTTTTTTATAAAAAAAAAATAATTTTTTTCTTATCCGATTTAAAATTTTTTATATTTGAGTGCGAAAATAATTTTCTAAGCTTTTCTAGCTTCTCATCTCGAGTTTCATATATGAATTGCAACCTTATCACCCCTCTCAAAAGGACCTTCTGCCTCTGCAAAGCAATTTATGCCACGATTTTCTGACAGAGTCGACAATATCGGAAAATTTATTACTCTGTTAAGTGTGTATTCGGACTAGATATATATATATATATATATATATATATATATACCCGTGTGGAAAAAGCCACGATCTTGCCCTCAAGAGTTCGGGGCCCCCGGCGGGGGCCCATGAGGGCTGATCCATATGGCGAATCCATGAGGGGCACCGTAGGGGCCCCGCATGGATCGCCCTCATGATCGATTAGCAAAATTTTCTAAGTCCAAAAATCAAATATTTTTTTATCACCAAAAAATTAATGTTTATAATGATTCACAACAATGAAAAACGCGTTTTTAATTAAAATATATTTTCACTTTTTTTGAAAATAACACTCACACTTATGGCGAATCCATGAGGGGCACCGTAGGGGCCCCGCATGGATCGCCCTCATGATCGATTAGCAAAATTTTCTAAGTCCAAAAATCAAATATTTTTTTATCAACAAAAAATGAATGTTTCCAATGATTCAAAACCACGAAAAACGCGTTTTTAATAAAAATATATTTACACTTTTTTGAAAATAACACTCACACTTATGGCAAAATAGATGAGGGCCACCGTAGGGGCCCGCATGGATCGCCCTCATGATCGATTAGCAAAATTTTCTAAGTCCAAAAATCAAATATTTTTTTATCAACAAAAAATGAATGTTTCCAATGATTCAAAACAACGAATAACGCGTTTTTAATAAAAATATATTTACACTTTTTTGAAAATTCGCCTGAGATGATTCATGATAATAATCATAAAGCATATAATTAATTATATTTTATAAATTGCATTTGATTGGAAAATATAATTTAATATCTTAACTTTAACTAAATGATGTAAAGCACTTTTCTTTGTTAGGTATTTTTCAAGTTTAAATAGCATCAAGAAGTTAGCATTCGTTTTGAAGTAGCGTGCGTAGCGTAGTTGGTAAAGCGTTAGACTCATAGTCCGTAGGTCGTAGGTTCGATTCCCCCCATGCGTTAGATTTATTTATTTCTCAGGTTTGCGTTTAATCATTAATTCTATGTATGAATTAATTGAAAAATGAAAATATTCGTTAATAGTATGCATAAATTACATATTTTTTAATTTTTTAATTAATTAATTTATTATTACTTTTAATTATATCCGACAGTTAATTAATTAGAACGTTAATTAATAAATTCAATTTGAGTAAGAATTTAATTTAAAATTGAATAATTATTAAATAAATATGTTATTTATTAATAACTTAAGCTTATTTATTATTAATTAACTTTTATTATTAATATTATTGATTAAAAAACATTATGGCAAACTTGAGGGCAAGATGAGGGCAAACGTGAGGGCCCATAAGGGCGCCCGTAGGGGCACCCTCATGGATCGCCCATGCGGGCGCCCTCATCGATGAGCATGTCGTTTCCATGAGGGGCCCCTATGGATCATCCATATGCGGCCCTCATGGCATGAGGGCGATCCATAAGGGCCCCCGCTGGGGGCCCACATCACTTTTCCACACGGGTATATATATTTTTTATAAATATACACGGAAAGAAAAGTAATGGTTCGGTGATATTCATAGAAATATTATTGTCATCCAAGAGACATCCATATTTTTTGATGTAGCAAACTTTTTTTTCAAAAAAAAGTATTACAATTTAAAAATTTTAAAAAATATTACATTTTTAAATTCTCGTTTATTTATTAGTTTATGCTAGAATGAAAAAAAATTATTTAATTTAAATAATCGGTTACTTGATTCTTATCAATAAAATATTTATTAAATAATTATTATTTGATATATGGTATTTGTTGCAAATAAAAAAAATTATTCGTTCAAATATTTAATTCAAATAAAAATTATTTGGTTCAACCCGTGTGGAAAAGTGATGTGGGCCCCCAGCGGGGGCCCTTATGGATCGCCCTCATGCCATGAGGGCCGCATATGGATGATCCATAGGGGCCCCTCATGGAAACGACATGCTCATCGATGAGGGCGCCCGCATGGGCGATCCATGAGGGTGCCCCTACGGGCGCCCTTATGGGCCCTCACGTTTGCCCTCATCTTGCCCTCAAGTTTGCCATAATGTTTTTTAATCAATAATATTAATAATAAAAGTTAATTAATAATAAATAAGCTTAAGTTATGAATAAATAACATATTTATTTAATAATTATTCAATTTTAAATTAAATTCTTACTCAAATTGAATTTATTAATTAACGTTCTAATTAATTAACTGTCGGATATAATTAAAAGTAATAATAAATTAATTAATTAAAAAATATTTAATTTATGCATACTATTAACGGATATTTTCATTTTTCAATTAATTCATACATAGAATTAATGATTAAACGCAAACCTGAGAAATAAATAAATCTAACGCATGGGGGGAATCGAACCTACGACCTACGGACTAT